AAGTTGTCCAATTGGTCTGAAGATTACTTGACAGGTAGATCTAAACCTGTTTAACACTTTCACCTATGTCAGTTTTGGTCTTACTGCTTTAGTTTTTGATATGAAAGCCAAAAACTTAATTTGACCCCTATGTTCTATTTTCAGAAACTGCCACCATGTTTTTGAATGGATCAAATCCCCAAATACAATCTATAAACTAGATACCCTAAGGAACATTCAATTAAAGTTTTTAAGTATTTGGCCAAGTAATTTCAGAGAAGAAGATTTTTGAAAAAGTAATTAGACTTCCACAAAAAATGTAAAAAAATGAAAGAACCTTAGTGAGCGCGCTCACATACCCCACGTCCCCACATTGTCATTGGAGAAATAAAATGTGTAAGAAAAATAAATTGTATCAGAAAAAAAAATTGAATCATAATTTCCTGTCAATATGCACATCTACATAGTATGTCCTTATTATCTACACAGTTTCATGAAATTCTGTTGTGTGGTTTGAGAGGAGTTGCGATGACAAAAGGTTGCAGTAGTGTATTGGGCAAATAAGTTCAAAGGGGCGTAACTCCAGGAAAAAAAATTGAATCGTAATTTCCTGTCGATATGCACATCTACATAGTATGTCCTTATTATCTACACAGTTTCATGAAATTCTGTTGTGTGGTTTGAGAGGAGTTGTGATGACAAAAGGTTGCAGTAGTATATTGGGCAAATAAGTTCAAAGGGGAGTAACTCCTGGGAAAAAAATTGAATCATAATTTCCTGTCGATATGCACATCCAAGTAGTATGTCCTTATTATCTGAAAAGGTTTCATGAAATTTTGTTGTGTGGTTTGAGAGGAGTTGCGATGACAAAAGGTTGCAGTAGTATATTGGGCAAATAAGTTCAAAGGGGCGTAATTCTGGAAAAAAATTGAATCGTAATTTCCTGTCGATATGCACATCTACGTAGTATGTCCTTATTATCTGAAAAGGTTTCATGAAATTCTGTTGTGTGGTTTGAGAGGAGTTGCGATGACAAACTGTTGCAGTAGTACATTAAAGTAAATAAGTTCAAAGGGGCATAACTCCTAGAAAAAGAATTGAATCGTAATTTCCTGTCAATATGCACAACTACATAGTATGTCCTTATTATCTAAAAAGGTTTTGTGAAATTCTGTTGTGTGGTTTGAGAGGAGTTGCGATGACAAGAAACAGGACTGATTGACTGACAGACGGACGGACAGACGGACGGACGGGTCAAAAACATTATACCCTCCGCAACTTGTTGCGTGGGGTATAAAAAACAATTTAAGGGCAACACTTGGTCAGCACCTCATAAGGTACATTCATGCAAAATTAGGTTTCATTTCATTCAGCAGTTCTCTAGAAGAAGTTCAAAATGTAAAAAGTTAATGACGACAACGGACGACGAGGAACAACGGATGCCAAGTGATGAGAAAAGCTCACTTTGCCCTTCGGGCCAGGTGAGCTAAAAAGATGAATATCTTTTATATAACTGAATGGCTATTAAAGTTTTACCATAAAACACAAGAACAAAGACTTTCTTTTAAAAAAAGATACTTTATTTTATCCAAGTTTTCAAGAAATCTACTGCTATTGGATTATCGCTCCCTGTACTCTTATTTGCCAATAATTTTTTTCGTATGCAGTGACCTTAAAACGCCATATCTCGTTATAAATTCGTCAATCACACTATGAAAGTGCATATATATATATAGGGAAAAACTTCGATGGAAGAAAAAGTAAGCATATGTATAAGAATGAAAGTGTAATTGATTCTAAAAGAAAAAAATCAATATACAAAATTATTTAACAGCTGCTATGACAAGTTTAATTAAAGAACCTTAGTGAGCGCGCTCACATACCCCACGTCCTCACATTGTCATTGGAGAAATAAAATATGTGTAAGAAAAAAAAATTGTATAAGAAAAAAAAATTGAATCATAATTTCCTGTCAATATGCACATCTACATAGTATGTCCTTATTATCTACAAAGTTTCATGAAATTATGTTGTGTGGTTTCAGAGGAGTTGCGATGACAAACTGTTGCAGAAGTACATTGAAGCAAATAAGTTCAAAGGGGCGTAACTCCAAGAAAAAAAATTGACCGTAATTTCCTGTCGATATGCACATCTACATAGTATGTCCTTATTATCTAAAAAGGTTTCATGAAATTCTGTTGTGTGGTATCAGAGGAGTTGCGATGACAAACTGTTGCAGTAGTACATTAAAACAAATAAGTTCAAAGGGGCGTAACTCCTAGAAAAAAAATTGAACCGTAATTTCCTGTCGATATGCACATCTACATAGTATGTCCTTATTATCTAAAAAGTTTCATGAAATTCTGTTGTGTGGTATCAGAGGAGTTGTGATGACAAACTGTTGCAGTAGTACATTAAAGTAAATAAGTTCAAAGGGGCGTAACTCCTAGAAAAAAAATTGAATCGCAATTTCCTGTCGATATGCACAACTACAAAGTATGTCCTTATTATCTAAAAAGGTTTCGTGAAATTCTGTTGTGTGGTTTGAGAGGAGTTGCGATGACAAGAAACAGGACTGACGGACTGACGGACGGACGGACAGACGGACGGACGGACGGACGGGTCAAAAACATTATACCCTCCGCAACTCATTGCGTGGGGTATAATTAACAGATGGGAAAGCATGGAAAATATTTTTTTTTTTTTAAAACAATTATTACACATCTGCTCATCTGAATGTTCATGATCTATGTTTTTTGTTATTAAGGTCAATATCGTGTAAATACTGGCACCAAACATCAAAAGTCAATTAGCAGCCAAAATTTTCAATTATCAATCACAGAATTAATAATTAAATTTTTTTTTTTTATTTTACGTAATGAATTTGAAATAAATATAAAAAAAAATAAATGCTCAGATGACTTAGTTAAGTATATATGCTTGCTTACCTTCAATAATATTCTTAACATCATAATCACCAAAAACATGTCACTGCATGGTTGCAAAAACTAATTCAAACTGTTTTACAGTAAGAAAATGGCATTTCAAAAATAGAATTGCAGTTAACTTAAATACCAAAATAAAAAAACTGAAACACATAAAAATTTGTAAAGGATTGTCAGTGTAAAAGTGTAATGTTGACTGTTTATCAGTAAAATACAGACTTTTTTTTTAAACTCAAACTTTTTTCTTTCGATGCTATTTCCTAATCTTGAAGATAAGCTTCTGTCCAAGTTTCATAACAATCCTTGAAGGTTTACAAATTTATCATGTAAAAAAAATTTAATCCCATACTGTATGTAAAAGTGAACTGCAAAAAACTAATTCCATCTATCACTAAAATACAGAAAAAGAATAAAAAAAATATATTTTCAAAATTTTGCTTTAGATATTTAATATCTCTTAATCATAAATAGCTTCTGCCAAAGTTTCAAAATTTTTTATAAATGTTTGACAAATTAATTAATGTCTAACAAACTTTAACACCATACTGTATTAACATGCTAACTTAAAAAAACAGTATTAATGAATTACATGAAAAAAACACAGAAGATCACAAATAGAAGAATTAACAAGAGGCTGTCGAGTGACAGCAAACCGGATTTTCCTGCAGAGGTCGAATCCTGAAAAGATGAGCAAGTATGGACCCCTATTTGGACCAATTTGAAAAGTGGGCCCAAAATCAGAAATCTAAATATATGTTTATTGATGGACAATATAAGCTTACTTTTTAAAGGAGTTCATTTCATCAAAAAAGAAATATACAGCATTCAGAAAATTAGTTTTTACAAATAACAAACAAACTTGTCACAAAATTCTTCTAACAATTTACCAAAGAAAAGCAGAACAAGTCAAAATCGTGATTATTGAACTTGACCTCCATTTTGTTGTCAGTAACAACATATTAAAATTTAAAAAGGTTTGGTTGAACAGTTCATGAGTAAATGCACGGACACGACATTTTTTAAACTTTCAAGAACCGTAACTCCTGAACGGTAAAAGTCAAAATCGTCATTATTGAACTTGACCTCCATTTTGTTGTCAGTAACAACATATTAAAATTTAAAAAGGTTTGGTTGAACAGTTCATGAGTAAATGCACAGACACGACATTTTTTAAACTTTCAAGAACCGTAACTCCTGAACGGTAAAAGTCAAAATCGTCATTATTGAACTTGACCTCCATTTTGTTGTCAGTAACAACATATTAAAATTTAAAAAGGTTTGGTTGAACGGTTCATGAGTAAATGCACGGACACGACATTTTTTAAACTTTCAAGAACCGTAACTCCTGAACGGTAAAAGTCAAAATCGTCATTATTAAACTTGACCTCCATTTTGTTGTCAGTAACAACATATTAAAATTTAAAAAGGTTTGGTTGAATGGTTCATGAGTAAATGCACGGACAACATTTGGTTGCCGCCCGCCCGCCCGCCCGCCCGCCCGACCAACCGACCGACCGCCCGCCGTACATCCCCAAATCAATAACCGACATTTTTGACACAAAAATCCGGTTAAAAACCAATTGTTCAGAGATCAATTGAAAGTCTTTCCACATAAAATATCTAAATAATTGATAGGAAGCTACCTGCAGTTTACACAAAGTTACTTTTGGTGTCCAATAATACAAAAAAACAAATAGAAGAAGAATAATCCCACTTTACAGGATTTCTATGAAAACATATTTATTCCCATGTAGAAACGAAATGGCTATTAAGTGATACCATTTAAAGCACTGCCTTTAAAAACTAGACTTTTCATCACTAGAATACGAAAATATGAAAATAAATATTTTCATAATTTTGCTCTGGATACTGTCTCTTGATCATAATAAAACTTCTGTCCTAATTTCATAAAATTCCATGAAGGTGTGACAGTGTAATTGATGTCTAAAAAAACTTGAAACATAGAATGAGCCTAATTACTGATGCTATGATGACAACGGAATGGAGGATCACTCACTTTCACAACATAAATGTCACAGGGTTGACAAATTTAATTATTTATTTATATTTACTAACCTGGGATGCAATAGGCATAACAATCTGATGGAAAGCAGCTATATACTCAGCATCACCCATGAATCCCTGAAAGTAGACAGACATCTGATAATAAGAATCTAATATGCAAATAATATTAGTATTACAGAAAAACAAAAGATATAGCATTACAGAAAAAATAAAATGCTTTGCCGAGCGCAGCCTGATATGACTGCAGAGGTCAAACTCTGAACAGTTGGGGCAAGTTGGACACAATATTCTAGCTTGATACTGTCTGAATTTGGATTGTGATCAAATTTTTGACATAATATAGGTTACTGACACAAAATAAATGTGGTCAAAGATCTTAAAAATTTGAAATGGGACATTTAATATACCTAGTATGGTCTGATATCCAAAATCTAACAACATGATTAGATTCAGCTTATAAACAAATAAAAACACCCAAAATTAATTTTAGTTGAAATCAAAAAAAATTTCATTTTGGACCCTTCAAACCTTAATATGGACTAATTTGAAAACAGGGCCCAAAATAAAAAATCTAAATGCATAATAAGTTTCAGCATATCATAGAGCCGCAATAATTCAGTTTTTGATGAAATCAAACAAAGTTTAATTTTGGACCCTTTGGACCTCAATGTAGACTAATTTAAAAATGGGGCCCCAATATCCAAAATAGTAATAGAAGGTTAAAACCCCCAAAAATTAAAGACTTAATTTAATCCCATTGAAATTGGTTAAAAGATTTGTATTTATTTTCAATTGAAGATTTCTAGCTATTGCGCAATACTGTGCAATTGCGCAATACTGTGCTGTTGCACAATACTTAGTTAATCTGTTATATATAATAATTTACACACCTTGTTTGGTGTGTATCTCCTGCCATATCAGTATTTGTTGCTTTTATATATAAATCAGAAATAATCAATGTAAAAATAGAAATTTTGGGGGGAAAAAAAACAAAAAATTATGAAAAAAAAAATCCCCCCAAAAAGTTTTTTGAAAAATCTTGAAGAAAAAAGTATGAACCCACCACCTTCCCCCCAAAAAAATTGAGTTCCATAATCTTTAACACAAGTTATTGTCTGTAAACTAGAACTAGAGGCTCTCAAGAGCCTGTGTCGCTCACCTGTATCTACTGTGGTTTTGGAAATCATGTTTAATAAGGTTAAAATCATGATAAATAGTATTAAATACCCTAATGATGATGGAGGCCAAGTTTGGTTTAATTTGGCCCAGTTGTTAAATTAAAAGCAGATTTTTTTTAAAAGTTTACAAAAAATACCAAAAAAATTGCAGAAAATGACTACAAGGACAATAACTTGTCAATTGACGACTTTGGTCATGTTGACTTTTTGTAGATTTTACTTTGCTGAACATTATTGCTGTTTAAAATTTATCTTATCTTAAATAATATTCAAATAACCAAAAACTGCAAAATTTCCTTAAAATTACCAATTCAGGGCAGCAACCCAACAAGGGGTTGTCTGATTTGTCTGAAAATTTAATGGGCACTTAGATCTAAACCTGATGAACATTTTTACCAATTCAGATTTGCTCTTAATGCTAAAGTTTTCGAGATATAAGCCAATAAAATGCTCCGCAGGGCGCAGCTTGATACGACCGCAGAGGTCGAACCCTGAACAGTTGGGGCAAGTATGGACACAACATTCAAGCTTGATACAGCTCTGAATTTGGATTGTGATTAAATATTTGACACAGCATAGGTTTCTGACACAGAATGAATGTGGTCTAAGAACTTAAAAATTTTAAATTGGACATTCACCTATTATGGTCCAATATCCAAAATCTAAATACATGGTTAGATTCAGCATATCAAAGAACCCCAAGAATTCAATTTTTGATGAAATCAAACAAAGTTTAATTTTGGACCCTTTTGACCTCAATGTGGACAAAGTTGATAACGGGGCCCAAAAATCAAAAATCTAAATACATGGTTAGATTCAGCATATCAAAGAACTCCATATATTCAATTTTTGTTGAAATCAAACAAAGTTTAATTTTGGACCCCGATTTGGACCAACTTGAAAACTGGGCCCATAATCAAAAATCTAAATACATGTTTAGATTCAGCATATCAAAGAACCCTAAAAATTCAATTTTTGTTAAAATCAAACTAAGTATAATTTTGGACCCTTTGGACCTTAATGTAGACCAATTTGAAAACGTAACCAAAAATTAAGAATCTAAATACACGGTTAGATTCGGCATACCAAAGAACCCCAATAATTCAATTTTTGATGAAATCAAACAAAGTTAAATTTTGGACGCTTTGGACCTCAATGTGGACCAATTTAAAAACGGGGCCCAAAATCCAAAAACTTAATACACGGTTAGATTCAGCATATTAAAGAACCCCAAGAATTCAAGAATAAAACCCCATTGAAATTGATCAAGAAATAAGCAATTTATACGAAGTATCTTCTTTTGCACAATACTGTGCAATTGAATATTTCTTGCTATTGCGCAATACTGTACAATTGACAATTTCTTGCTATTGCGCAATATTGTGCTATTGGATATTTCTTGCTATTGCGCAATACTGTGCAATTGAAGATTTCTTGCTATTGCGCAATACTGTGCAATTGAAGATTTCTTGCTATTGTGCAATACTGTGCAATTGAAAATTTCTTGCTATTGCACAATACTTATTATATAATAATTTACACATCCTGTTTGGTGTGTATCTCCTACCATATCATTATTATTTGCTTTTAAATATTAATCAGAAATAACCAACTTAAAATGGAAAATTTTAAAAGAAAAAAAAAAGGAAAAAAAGAAGAAAAAAAATCCCCCCCCCCAATTTTTTGAACCCCCTTATGATTCATCACCCCCAAACACAATCCCAGCCTTCCCTTTGTGGTATGGTACCTTGCAGTACAATTTCAGAGAGATCCATACACTTGAACACAAGTTATTGTCTGGAAACTAGAAAAATGCTTATTTTTGGCCCCTTTTTGGCCCCCAATTCCTAAACGTTTCGGGCAATTACCCCCAAACTCAATTCCAGCTTTCCCTTTGTGATATGGAACCTTGTAGTACAATTTCAGAAATATCCAAACACTTACACACAAGTTATTGTCATGAAACTAGAAAAATGCTTGTTTTTTGCCCCTTTTTTGGCCCCTAATTCCTAAAATTTTGAGGCAATTACCCCCAAAATCAATTACATCCTTTCCTTTGTGATATGGAACCTTGTGGTACAATGTCAGAGAGATCCATACACTTACACACAAGTTATTGTCTGAAAGTTACAAAAATGCTTATTTTTGGCCCCTTTTTGGCCCCTAATTCCTTAACTGTTGGTACCATAACCCCCAAAATCAATCCCAACCTTCCTTTCGTGGTATTGAACATTATGGTAAAATTTCAAGGAGATCCATTCACTTAAACTAAAGTTAGAGTGCGAAAACCAATGTGTCTTCGGACGACGCCAGACGACGACGACGATGACGATGACGACGCCAACGTCATACCAATATACGACCAAAAAATTTTTAATTTTGCGGTCGTATAAAAACTGTATTTTACCCCATATGTTCTATTTTTAGCCATGTCAGCCATCTTGGTTGGAAGGTGGGGTCATCAGACACATTGTTTAAACTTAATACCCAAATGATGATTGTGGCTAAGTTTGCTAAAATTTGTCTCAGTAGTTTCCGAGGAGAAGATTTTTGTAAAAGATTACAAAAAATTGTTAAAAATTGACTTTAAAGGGCAATAACTCCTTAAGGGGTCATTTGACAATTTTGGTCATGCTGACTTATTTGTAGATCTTACTTTGTTGAACATTATTGCTGCTCACAGTTTATCTCTATCTATAATTATATTAAAGATAATAAGTTAAATAACCAAAAACTTCAAAATTTCCTTAAAATTACTAATTCAGGGGCAGCAACCCAACAACGGGTTGTCTGAAAATTTCAGATAGATCTTCAACTGATTAACATTTTAACCCCGTCAGATTTGCTCTAAATGCTTTAGTTTCAGAGATAAAAGCCAAAAACTGCATTTTACCCCTATGTTCTATTTTTAGCCATGTCGGCCATGTTGGTTGGCAGGCGGGGTCATGGGACACATTTTTTTAACTAGATATCCTAATGACAATTATGGCCAAGTTTGGTAATATTTGTCTCAGTAGTTTCAGAGGATAAGATTTTTGTAAAAGTTAATGACAACGGACAACAAAGACGACGGACAACGACAGACAATGGACGCCAAGTGATGAGAAAAGATCACTTGGCCCTCTGGGCCAGGTGAGCTTAAAAATGCTTGTGATTGGCCCCTTTTTTGCCCCTAATTTCTAAACGTTTGGGGCAATTACCCCAAAACTCAATCCCAGCCTTCCCTTTGTGGTATTGAACCTTCTGGGAAAATTTCATAGAAATCCATTCTCTTAAACTAAAAAAATTCGTAAGGGTTCCACGGAACCCGGTGTCTTGCATACTTTTGCTGTTAATCGCAGGCTCAACAAAAATGAGGAAAAAAATTAATAAAAATATTCCTCTCTATACTATCTTTTGATTGTAAGTAGCTTCTGTCCAAGTTTGGTAAAAATCCAGGATAGTTTATGAATCTAATAAATGTTTTAATAAAATGCTCGCTGGGCGCAGCTTGATACGACCGCAGAGGTCGAACCCTGAACAGTTGGGGCAAGTATGGACACAACATTCAAGCTTGATACAGCTCTGAATTTGGATTGTGATTAAATATTTGACACAGCATAGGTTTCTGACACAGAAAGAATGTGGTCTAAGAACTTGATTTTTTTTTAATTTACCTATTATGGTCCAATGTCCAAAATCAAAATACATGGTTAGATTCAGCATATCAAAGAACCCCATATATTCAATTTTTGTTCAAATCAAACAAAGTTTAATTTTGGACCCCAACTTGGACAAACTTGAAAACTGGGCCCATAATCAAAAATCTAAACACATGTTTTAGATTCAGCATATCAAAGAACCCCAATAATTCAATTTTTGTTAAAATCAAACTAACTTTAATTTTGGACCCTTTGGACCTTAATGTAGACAATTTAAAAAACAGGACCCAAAATTAAAAATCTAAAAACACAGTTAGATTTGGCATATCAAAGAACCCCAATAATTCAATTTTTGATGAAATCAAACAAAGTTTAATTTTGGACCCTTTTGACCTCAATATGACCCAATTTGATAGCGGGCCACAAATAAAAAATCTAAATACATGGTTAGATTCAGCATATCAAAGAACCCCATATATTCAATTTTTGTTGAAATCAAACAAAATTTAATTTTGGACCCCAATTTGGACCAACTTGAAAATGGGCCAAAAATCTAAAATCTAAATACATGTTTAGATTCAGCATATCAAAGAACCCCATATATTCAATTTTTGTTGAAATCAAACAAAGTTTAATTTTGGACCCCAACTTGGACCAACTTGAAAACTGGGCCCATAATCAAAAATCTAAACACATGTTTAGATTCAGCATATCAAAGAACCCCAAGAATTCAATTTTTGTTAAAATCAAACTAAGTTTAATTTTGGACCCTTTGGACCTTTATGTAGACCAATTTAAAAAACAGGACCCAAAATTAAAAATCTAAATACACGGTTAGATTTGGCATATCAAAGAACCCCAATAATTCAATTTTTGATGAAATCAAACAAAGTTTAATTTTGGACCCTTTTGACCTCAATATGAACCAATTTGATAGCGGGGTCCACAAATAAAAAATCTAAATACATGTTTAGATTCAGCATATCAAAGAACCCCATATATTCAATTTTTGTTGAAATCAAACAAAGTTAAATTTTGGACCCCAACTTGGACCAACTTGAAAACTGGGCCAAAAATCAAAAATCTAAATACAGGTTTCGATTCAGCATACCAAAGAACCCCATATATTCAATTTTTGTTAAAATCAAACAAAGTTTAATTTTGGACCCTTTGGACCTTAATGTAGACCAATTTGAAAACTGGACCCAAAATTAAAAATCTAAATACAAGGTTAGATTCGGCATAACAAATAAATAAATGTGGTCAAAGATTTTACAAATCTAATACGCCATACTGTGCAATTAAAGATTACTTCTTGAAATTTTTCAATATTTGAAATTTGAAAAAAAAATAATATTTGAAGAATAATTCTTTTTAATTTCTGAAATCTGATATGAGAAAAAATTGACTCCCCATAATTTCTTTTTACCCCCCTCCCCCTTTTTTCCCACAAAAAAATTCTTTCCCTCAAGATATGGTCATAATCTCAATTCAAATTTCCAATGGAGTTTGCAACCATAATTATCCATTTAAATTTACCATAGACTTAACTTAATCTATTTTATAATAGAATTTAAAATATAGTGTCAAATCTTTCATATGGATTTTTTGGTAAAAAAAAAAGATGCAACATTTGCAGATATTTTTACTGGTCTTCCTTTATAAATATGCATTTCTTTAAACATAATTTAAAAGCAGTGTAAGGGAAGTAACCAAAACGTTGTATTTGGATTACCTCCCTTACACTGTTTTAAATTATCTTAATTGTTCATTAACCATTACTTTATACATAATTTAAAAGCAGTGTAAGGGAGATAATTTCAATGATGTATTTGATTTATCTCCCTTAAACTGCTTTAAATTATGTTTTGTACTAAAGTATTTGTCCATTAACCAGGACAACCTTGTTTTTCCCCCTTTTTTGCCCCTAATTCCTAAACGGTTTGAGCCATAACCCCCCAAAGCAAATCCTAACCATCCCTTTGTGGTATGGAAACTTGTAGTATAATTTCAGAGAGATCCATACACCGTTCCACAGTTATTGTCTGGAAACTAGAAAATGCTTATTTTTGGCCCCTTTTTGGCCCCTAATTCCTTAACTGTTGGTACCATAACCCCCAAAATCAATCCCCACCTTCCTTTTGTGGTATTGAACCTTATGGTAAAATTTCAAAGAGATCCATTCACTTAAAATAAAGTTAGAGTGCGAAAACCAATGTGTCTTCGGACGACGACGACGCCGGACGACGACGATGACGTCAACGTCATACCAATATACGAACGCAAAAATTTTTAATTTTTGCGGTCGTATAAAAACTTAAACTGCAGACTGTATGTAATGTTAACTGGAAGAAAAACTAAGTCCATTTATAAGTAAAATACGGAAAAAATGGAACAAAATTTTACCAACATTTCCTTCTAGATACTAGCTTTTAATCATAAACAAGCTTCTGTCCAAGTTTTGGTACAAATCCAAGATAGTTTAAGAAAGTTGTTAAAGTTTTAAAAACTTTAACCACAGAGTGAATGTAATGTTAACTAGCAGAAAAACTAAGTCCATTTATAAGTAAAATACTGAAAAAATGATTTTTTTTTTTACAAAATTTACTTCTGGATACTATCTTATGATCATAAACAAGCTTCTTTCCAAGTTTGGTAGAAATCCAGGATAGTTTAAGAAAGTTATTAAAATTTCAAAAACTTTAACCACAGAGTGAATATTTGTGGACGCCGCCGACCACGCCAACAACGCCGACGGAATGTAGGATCGCTATGTCTCGTTTTTTCGACAAAAGTCGAAGGCTCGACAACTATTGTCCGAAAACCAAATGTGTCTACACACGACGACACCAAAGACGCCGCCGCTGCCCAGAACGATGACGACATGATAGAATTATACAAACACAAATTTTTTGTGGTCGTATAAAAATCTTTATTTCTCCCATTTTGTTGCAACAGGTTGGTACAATTTCCATTTTATTAAGGACTATTATTATTCTAACATTGTCAATTATATAGATCCCTATTGCTTAATGAACCAAAAATTCCTATTGGCAGACTACAATATGATTATTTTATGATTTGCAGTATGATCTAAATCTATGTCAGTTACTTGCAATGCACCAACAACATTTTTCCATTGCATTTTTCTTACTAACTACTCATAAATTTCTAGTATTTATTGGCAAGCTTTCTCTGAAAAGTGCATTTTTAACCACTCCCACTTTCATTTAAGTAGTTTTTTTTAAACAGAAAAAAGGAACTACTTAAACTTTAAAACTTTTAGTTGGTTCTCTCTTGACATACAATGTTTTATCATTTTGTAAATAAAATTATATGATAACTAATATGTGTTTTTTTTTTCTTTTCAAAGGAATCTTTTTAAGATTTGAATAGTATAAATGCAGGCTTAAATTGTTCATTAAGTTCAATGAGTTAATTATACAGCCATATATTACCACCATATATTGTTTATCAGTGGCGGATTTAGAGGGTTTTTCAGGGGGCCCGGTCCCCCCTTTTGTAGGAAAAATTTTGTTGATTATATAGGGAATCACTGAAGCATGACTGAAGCGGGCCCCCTCTTAGGCAGTCAGTGGGCCCCTCTTATGAAAATTTCTGGATCCGCCACTGTTAATAAACAAAAACCTCACAGACTTTTGTTGACAGGTGTTGGTAAAACGTGAATTTTGTTTCTCAAAATTTTTACCTAATGCAAATCACGTTTATCCATCAGTGGAATGATTCTAGCAAAGTTGGACTTAGTATTTGGTGTAATAAACTTTTAACACACTTCACTCATAAAATGTACAAGGTTTATAACACCTTCAAATGTAAATTGTTTTTACAAATATATTAGTACTTAACATCTTTTGGTATGAATATATGGTTTATTCACTTTTTCCTAACTTTTGATAAATCTAAATGACTTTTATTCAACTCTTATCAGCACTAGTAGATGAACTTTTCATTTAAACAACATTTAAAATGATTCTTATTGACCAATTATAATGTATAGTGTTTAGTCTGAAAACCCGTAACTCAGATTATGTTTCTTATTAAATATGATAAGTAGTAAAAAGAGGGAGAATATACCAACAGGGAAACACCCTGCTTAATTTATTTGGTAAACAGGAAGTTGAAGAGCAATGGATGTGAAAATGCATCACACAGTAAAACATGAGTGTTGATACCAAATTTCAGGTTGTTCTGATTTTTAATTCCTGAGAAAAATGTGACTAAAATTTCAGAAATGGTCATTGTACGTTAGTATTAGGTAAACAAATCTTGAGAATTAATGAATTAGAAAAATAACATCACATGTGGTTCATACAAAGCCCAATAAAATATTTCAGGAAGCTCTGATTTGAAAGTCCTGACAAAAATGTGATAAAACATTATGTACAAGAAGATGATTAATTTTGTCTAAGCCACAGCCCCTGTTTGCCATTGAAATTCAGGAAAGAAACTGTTAGGCATTTGGGGAAAACAGGTAAATTTCAAGTTGTATGTTTTTTTGCTGTTATTTCTTTGTTAAACTTGCTCTGTTTGTCATTAACCAGTAATTACAAAATTATACAAGTGTCAACTTTGAAGTAAAACACCCCTGTAATTAAGTAAAATGCAGATATTTATTCAACAATTCAATTTTTGAAGGATTTTCAGTTTAAAGAAAACGCCAGCAGCTTTCTTAAACACCAAACCAATTATTTTAGGACTTTATATATTGTTAAGTAATGCAACCAAAAAAAAAAAAAAAGAAATTTGTAATGAAGAGTCGATTTTTTTTTTTATATTTATCAGCAAGTACTTAAAATTATTTAAAACAAAAGTTGCAAAATAACATTGATTATGAAAATCATTAAAAAATGAGTAAAGAAGTTGAGAAGAAATTACAGTGCCATCCATTGGTCAACAAAAGCATGGCAGAAACAAACAAACATCATGAAATAGACTTGTTCTCTTATTTCTTGCTTGTACTACTGGATTGTCCACATCCTTTCCTTGCAATTTTATTTCGGAGTTAAAAACTCCAGATTAAAAAAGTTGATGGTTTTGGAAAACTTTTTTAGCAAAAGCAGGTATGAAATTTCATTTTTCAAGACCGTTGCAGTTTACAACAATTCTGTATTACCATGCGCAGAAACGAAGTATGTAATATATTTGTTAGTAAATCATTTTGCAAAGAAATTAACACCAGTTTGATTTCAAATTTCAATCCATGTAAATACTGTGAATAGGGATAGGTTTTAAACAGTTTAAACAAAATTTCTATATTGAATCAAATGAAAAAAATACTTTTGACTTTATCATGAAACAACTAAAGAATGTTTAGGCAATGAAATATACAGCTGCGCCAAGAGTGCATGATATGCCCTTATTCTGCATATTGAAATTGTTGTAAAAATAAAATGGGATATTTGATGGCATTTAATCAGGAGCAAATTAAATGACTCCGCAGAAAAATATACATGAGGATACCCTTAGATGTATAGATATTGTGTCAAATATGACTGTTTAAAATCCCATAACTATTGAAGGACAAATTTTCAAAATCAAAACAGTCTTTAAAAATGTTGAAAAATAGTTGTAATTATGCAAACTCAAATTGTTTTCCTCAGAATAATATTTTACCTCCTATGCCAATCTTGCAGTAGATTTAATATCTTGTGTAAACATTTTTGGTTATCTTTTTATTTGAAAATTGACATAATGTAATTGATCATGCAAAGCCTGTAGATATTTTAACAAATTGTTTACACATAATTTTACTGCAGACCTAATTACAATATAAACTACAGTAAACCAACTCATTCTAATCATTTTTGCCAGGAGATAAATGAAGTGAATATAAATTGATGCAAAAATGTAAAAACTGAGAACTTCCCTTAATATATAAATGCATCAAGAAAATTAAAAAATCACCAAAAAAAATCTAACGCCATATATATATTTAATTATAATAAAAAAAAAATTTACCTGTATACCCCAAAATAACAAGTTGGAGATGCATGAACATGTTTAGTATCAGAAATCTAAGATGACATTGGCCAAGTTTGACAAAGAATGTTCTTCAACATATTGTCCATAATAGACTTTGTGAAACTATATATGGTACTGTTGGCTATTTTTGACTTTTAAAGATGTAGTAATTACATATTTGTAAAGAAACAATTTAAGAATAGCATCATGCAATGACAGTGTTTTGGGGATTGTATATAAAATTGTAGTATATAAGCTTACATGATTCCAAGCAATGTTAACATTGTATCCCTCTCCTTCTCCTTCTCCTACTTTCTCTTCTGAACCATCTTCTGATGATGGGTAGAAACAACCATAATCATACCGATGTAGATTTATTAAGAGAACACTAGAAATATAAATATTCATAAAAAAGTAATGTTCTTTACTTCATCAGTAATAAAAATCATATCTGTACTAAACTAGCAATAAATAATATATTTCTATGAGCTTAGGTCAATTAATGCAAAACTCACTGACCATTTCTGCCCATTTGATGTTAAGATATCAAATATAACTAGAGGAACTGTGAGCAAAGCAGTCCCTTGCTTTGGTAAAGGAAACCCCAAATGTATTTGGATCAAAAACCAAATAGGAGGTGCACAATGGCATTATATGCTTGAGATTGTGAACATTTTAGGTTTAGGAGGAGTTGCAGATACAAAATGGGTACCCCAAAAATGTGTGTAATAGTTTAAAGATATGACTAAGTCCATGTCATTCCAAATTAAACACCAAAAAAACATTCTGATGAAGAAATGATATAGGAGTGCAAAAGTTCATTATATGATTGATTAAGAATCTGTTAAAGTATAACATAATTCTGTAAAGCAGTTCAGGAGCAGTTGTAGATCCAAGTGTGTCAGAAAACCAAGGAACAGACGAACAAACAGATGAATGTACCATCAGAGGGACAACTGGATAGACTCCCCCTTCACTATATACAGTGGTAAAATTTAGAAAATTCAACTATCTAAATCAAAAATATCATCAATGACCAAAATCTTATTAAAATCTATATTTAACAAGAAATTACATGCGTTGTCATAGTTACCATACCTTCACTCCAAAAAAATGCATTAGAAAGCAGAAAGTAGGTTGTCTGACAGATCGAAAAATTTTGAATGTTTCAAGTCATCACTGTCAAGCTGCTGACCAAATATTATGTCATTCTCTTCTGTAAAACATTTGTACTGGAGAAATGTTACAAAAATATTACGATCATTAAGGAATGACTGTAATATTTTTTCTGTCTATGAAGAAATAACATCAAAAATGTGGTGCACACTGAATAACTCGCATATTTTATGTTATTTCGAATAGACAGAAAAAATATAACAGTCATTTCTTATAATTTAATTCTAAATTCCATTTTATTCCGGAGTAAACCATGATAAAACGTTGATGACGTCACGATCACATGACAAAATTATGTCTATGAGCTGATAAACAAAACAACGTCAGCCAATCAGAAGATGCGATACATCCAAAATTAAATTATTTCAATATATCAAAAATTCAAAGTATCAACAAACAATCAATCAGTGTCTAACAGATTTGAAAACTAATCATTTGTTCAAACTCATCACTGTTAAGCTGCTGACCAAATATGAAGTTACTCTGTTCTAGTAGTACCTGAGAAAAGTGACTAAAATATTTGTAGGAAGAATGCACAGACAAGGTGAATGCACTATAGCCCCACTCCTAGAGTGGGAATATAAAAATTCATTACCTGTTATCCTGATAAAATTGGTGCTGAGTTCCATTACCATGGTGAACATCCCAATCTAAAATCAATACTCTGTGAAAAAAAACAAAAAATAGAGCAAAAAAGAATACCTGGTACCTGGGAACAGTATATCTAACGGGAAATTTCAGTATAAAATTGATAAAATCTCGGACTCCACGAGACTTCCCGAGATTTATGGATTTTGGTAGCGTCTGACTGAAAAACTATCGGAACTGCACAATAAATTAACCACATAATTCTAATCGTAAATAGAAACTAGTTTTATCATAAAGTAGATATATTTTGTCATATTAAATGACCAAAATAAGTGTGATTTATTTGATGTGAAGTGTTTTTAAAATGGTGTGAGAATTTGGGAATGCAATTGGCGCCATTTTTTTATTACAGTTTGCATTCTGTACCATTCTGTGATGAAATGAATTCGAAAATAACAAATTTGAAGTGACAGATAACAAGTTCGATACACTGGCATCACTTTAAAACTATGTATGAATGACATTTTATTGATATTATCAGAAATTATTAGGATAATAGTGAGTACGTTTTTAACACATGTTCGTTTCTGTATCGTATCTTTATTAACTATGACCCGAAGATAAAATCGGCTACAATTAGTTAGTGTCAAGTCCTGTCAATATATATGTTCCTGCTGGTACGAGTCATAAATTAACTCCTATCACAATAATTTATAAATGCCTTTCAAGATGAACTAAAACATTTCCACCTTTGTTACTGTTAAAACTGAAGCAGTTTTTGCTCTATGAGTTATACAGGAATGTCATATTCCTAATGAGACCCACATGAACTAAACTTGGGTAAATTTAAAGTAATTTCATCTGAATTAAGCTATTTTACCTGTGCAATATTGATTTCAACACCTAGTAATTTTTACATTAGCTCCTGATCAAGTTTCCAATGAACTGATTAGTTTCAAGTAACATGACTAATACATGTATGCTTTATGGTATGCCTCACTGTGACTTTGAGACGAAGAACAGCAATAAAAGCGCTGTTCCTTAGCCTTTTTTATGTGTTTTTTGCTGTGCATGTCCTGATTTTGTGTGATGGATGGATACCCCATATTCTTTGTTTTTCTATCTTATGTTGTTAACTTTTATATTGCCTTGTAGTCACGGTAAATTGATAAATCAGCACTAAATAATTTACAAAATTCTAACCTTTTTAATCCAAACTTTTCCTGTGCATACTTAGCAGCGATTGCTACATTATTGAAGAAACAGAATCCCATACATTTTGTACACTCTGCATGGTGCCCAGGAGGTCTACAAAATACGTTTAATCAAAGTAGATTGATATGATTCATTTGACATCCATGATCATAATCATACTGATGAGGATATCTGTTATCCGAAATATTTATAAATAATTACATTTATAGTTTTCTTTTTTTGTTATTGGTGTTGTTTTGTACACTTTTCAGGCGTTTATATATATATATATATATATATATATATATATACAAGTCTAAATTGAAAACAACATTCAAACCTATGATTGCATTGGATAAAAACCGCAATTTTTATACGTGTGCATGCAAAACAAATTTCTTTGTAGAGGGGTCTAAATACAGCACAAACAACATTTTCCAAAAGACCAAAAAAGTGAAAAAGTATATTTTAACAAAACGCATTTGACTAGCAGGTTGAACAACGGATGTTCTTAAACCCTGCTGACTGCCATGGCGATTGCCAAATAAACGGATCACAGATGTAACACAATGGATCTTAATTATATTAATTTAATACCAAACAGAAAACAATAAACCTGCGGAAAAGATGGTATATGGCAAACATGAGGTGCAAAAATTTGTACACCATATCCGGATTTCGACTTGTTTATATTTTTTCGTTTGGGCTTGTATTATATTTGCCTTCGGGTTTATATGATCCGTTCATCCTATTTCGACTCTTCAAAATTCAAGAGTCAATCCCAAATTGAGGTAAATTATATGGCCTTCTAAATACCGTTTCGATTCCTAACATCACTGAAGAGACATTAATTGTCGAAATCCGGATATGGTGTACAAATTTTTGCACCTCATGTTTGCGATATACCATCTTTTCCGCAAGTTTATTGTTTTCTGTTTGGTATTAAATTAATATAATTAAGATCCATTGTGTTACATCTGTGATCCGTTTATTTGGCAATCGCCATGGCAGTCAGCAGGGTTTAAGAACATCTGTTGTTCGACCTGCTAGTCAAATGCCTTTTGTTAAAATATACTTTTTCACTTTTTTGGTCTTTTGGAAAATGTTGTTTGTGCTGTATTTAGACCCCTCTACAAAGAAATTTGTTTTGCATGCACACGTATAAAAATTGCGGTTTTTATCCAACGCAATCATAGGTTTGAACGTTGTTTTCAATTTAGACTTGTATATATATATATATATATATATATATATATATATACAAGTCTAAATTGAAAACAATATATATATATATATCAGAATACTGTCATTCTCACTTGTAATATCCAAATGTCAAACATTCTATATTTTTTGCAGTACATGTATATTAACAATAATTTTCAATATGATACAAAAGAGGGACAAAAGATACCAGAGGGACAGTCAAACTCATAGATCGAAAACAAACTGACAACGCCATGGCCAAAAATAAAAAGACAAACAGACAAATAATAGTACAGATGACACAACATAGAAAACTAAAGACTAAGCAACACGCAACATGCAAATTTTTTGTTTTTGTAACATAATTTCAAGGTTATATATTAAAAGTGTTACATCATTGATGAAGGTCACGGCAACAAAAAGGTTAAACACCTATAAACCTGTTACATGACACCACAAATATAAATTCCTATCCAAGGCAGATAGTTCTTTAAGTGTGCATGCTAGACCATAATTTTTGTACATTTTTAGAAATTATAGATAATAATGGTTACTTAGCTTACAAAATTAACATAAAGTACTTCAGACTTTGTATGCCCCCGCAACTAAAAGTTGTGGGGCATATAGTTTTACCCATGTCCGTCCGTCCATCCTTCCATCTGTCTTTCCGTCCATCCCATTATGGGTATATAGCTATTCCACATAGCTCCTCCTACAGTTTGAATGCTAGGAAGTTTTCACTTTGCTGGCTGTTTGTACATATATTGAAGGTGTGCATGTGGTCAGGGTTTTGATTTTTATCAATATTTGCTCTTTTGGGAGATAGTTGAACTTTGTCATTTTTGGAGTATATACTTGCATAAGAGGTGCATAGCATTTCCCGATAACTCCTCCTACAGTGAACCATAGACCTATGTGCTCCCTTGCTCAACTTTGTGTATTTTAAAAAAGCACTATGCATCTGCGGGGGCATTTTTCCAAAGAGATGTAACCTTTCACATTGCAATTCTATAGATATCTTATTCATTACTTAAACAATTAAAGAGTCAACAAGAATGTGTCCATAGTACACAGATGCCCCACTCGCCCTATCATTTTCTATGTTTAGTGGACTGTGAAATTGGGGTCAAAACTCTAATTTGGCATTAAAATTAGAAAGATCATATCATAGGGAACATGTGTACTAAGTTTCAAGTAGATTGGACTTCAAATTCATCAAAAACTACCTTGCCCAAAAACTTTAACCAAAAACTTTAAGCTGAAGCGGGACAGACGGACGAACAGATGGACTGACAGACGAACAGACGAATGGACGCACAGATCGAAAAACATAATGATCCTAAGTGGGGCATAAAAATGAAACAAACAACATTCAAACTGATGGCAGTAAGAATCTTTCATATTCCGGATAAATGAAGCATAAATCATTTGAAAAGATTGATATTATAATGATATAATGAGTCTTAGTTTGTTTAACTTACCTTACAACTGCAACTCCACTGGAAGCCTGAAATTAATATGCAAAACAACTGTGTTATTAAATTTCATATTGAAACATGCTCAAAACAAGAGGCTGTCAAAATGACAGCTAACTGGGATTTTCTGAAAATTATTAAGTTTCACTATTAATGAATTCAAGGCCCATAATTCCTGAACAGCAGACATAAAATGAACAAAACCATTCTTCCTGAACCTCCAATTTGTCATGAGAAACAACATACTAAAATTTGAAAAGGATTAGATCATTTGTCACATGGAATTTACATAAAAAACAGTGTTCCAATTAATCAGGGCCCATTAACTCCAGAATGGCAAAAGTGAAAACTGTCAATATTTAACTTGACCTCCATTTTATCATCAGTTACAAAATGCATGTTTGTTAAATTTTGAAAAGCATATATTTAACAGTTCTCAAGTTATTGCCCACAAATGACATAAAATATCATTTTCCAATTATTCAAGGATGATAACTCCAGAACAGCGAAAGAAAAAATGGTCAATATCAAACTATACAGATGATTTATATTCTCATTCCTGATAAATGATGGGATTCCAGCACTTTCCTTTTGTAATACAGAATTATATATCTCATACTTTTGCACATTATTATAATTGCATTTAACATTTTGATCAGTGAAATCATATATTTTTCTTTGAAGTTTCAGCAGTTGACATTGAAATTAGGGACTCCGTGGGATTTTTTTTAATGAAAAAAATACACAAAAAGCATTTATTATTTGAAATATATATGTGGTAGAAATATACTAGGACAAGAGTTTTCATTTTTATGTTTGACCTTTGACCCCAAGCATCTGCCTGATATTCATGAATATATACCTTTTGTCTGCCAACATTCCAAATTTACAATAAAAACACACTTAAAAACTTAGTAATATAACTACCGCAGCACACATCATAAACAAAATGAGCAGAAAGGATGCAAAAACTGACTTTTTTTATAGCGTATGACCATTGTACCTGAAAATCTTATTTTGCACAGGAAAATACTGGAAACTGTACTAGTTAGCACAAAACATTAAAAAACAAAATTTTCAAATGTTTTGAATTTTTAATTTCTATGTACTTTTTGACCATATGATTTACACAAATAGCAGTTTCTTGTTTTAGAAGTGTAGCAAGTGTTTAATAAGACTACCATTGTTGGATGCAAAAGTCGGTTTGTCTAAGGTCCAGGGTAAGAACTGACTCACCCCCCCCCCCCCTCCTTCTATTTCTACCATTTTTTATTATGATAAAATCAAAGAAAATTAGTTTCAATCCACCTTTCCATATGAAACTCTCTACATCAACCTTAAAGATTTCCAGATTTCAGACAGTAATTAATAAATTAAGCATAGAAATAAAAATTAAAAACACAAATCCAGGCACGTATCATATTTATTATGCACATAATTTGTTTTTCATATTTACTGCAAATTATAACTTAAAAGAGTCAAAAAGAAAGACACGCAGCTTTGCTTCAAGTTATGATTTTGTAATTATTTTTGTGGTTATGTTGCTGTCTTGTTACTTTATACATCTCCTTTCATTCATGAGCCAAGATAAAAAAATTATTGACAGTTTGTTTCATGTCCAGTGGCAAATATTTCAAACACATTCAGGATGAGAACAAAATATAAATAGATGTAATACCTTGGTTCTGTAATAGGGATCGACCGGGGAAAAGGAGGGGAATTTCAACAGTCACCAGCTGAAAATGTGGGTATAATGGATAGGGCATGAATTTTCTCCTTTGCATCAGGCTACCCACAGACCCATAAAAGAGTTGCTGCAAAAATTCCTAACATGCAGGGAGAGTGGTACTCTCTCTTCGTGAGGCCTCAATTCGTCCCTATTCTAACCGGACGTGGTTGTGTATTCACACATCCCGCACAACCAAATGGATGCTCCACTTTGCCAAGGGTTTTACTTGCAGTCGGAGGAAAACCATATTCCTATACCACCAGTCACCTTTGGGGTTCAAGGATGAAGACATGCTACTGTACATGTCTTGTATGTACAGAAAATGAGAATAACACAGGCCTGTATAAACGTAACATATATATGTACAGGCACTCTTTCATACATTCAATTCAAAATATGGACTTAAAATATGAACAATTTCATTATATGTTATGAATTAATCTAATTTAATACGGCCATGTTCAGATATTATTATATTGGTATCTTCTTCTGAAAAAAATAAAGCTAAATTTCCCTGAATATATTAGAAATCCGGACAATTTCCAAAGAGTCTTCATCATTATCAATATTTAGAGTATGGTATCTTCTTGTGTATACTTTGAAGGTCAAACCATCATTCTTCTGAATCGATAAATTCTAGTTCTTTGCTGCAAATCCTCATCTTCAAAGGCATTGACAGTTTGATTTTAAGTGATAGTCTTCTCTCATTTCTTTGTTTAATGACTTGTGACGTGTGAACCAAAAAGATAATAGATAACTGCATACGAAATTCCAATGATCCAACTATTTTCTCCATAATTTTGCAGTGTGTGATATACCACGCGTAACACACTCGTTATTATTCAATTCTATTTTTACGATTATTTGTTAACGAAATGTAAAGTAATCCGGTCAGACCGGTTCTGTTTATGTTGCTGTGTAAACGTACTAGATTAAATAAGATCGATCTCGATCGATCTTGCTTGTGCAAATGTAAACACGAACTACCGTAGTCGTTTTAAGATCGATTTAAATAAAGATCAGTTCAATTTCGTACAAGTGTAATATTTTAAAGAAGACGAGTTTCATGTAGTATGTGTTCTGTGACATAAATTCAATGTTGAATCAAATGCTTATTACAAATATTATACTTGTTTCCTTCAAATTTAATCAATACTGAATGGTAATAACTGAGGACAATCAATAACAAGCTTTTATAGCCGACCATAGGGTATGGTTTTTTGTTCTCATTGTTGAAGGCTGTACGGTTGCCTATTATTGCTTACATCCACATCATTTGAACTTTGATGGATAGTTGTCTCTTTGGCAATCATACCACATCTCCTTATTTTTATTTTGTTTGTATCCATATCATTTTAAGATAAAACATGAAATGTTAATTCTTTTTTGCTTGTTTTGCTTATTTTCATTTTAATTTTTCGTTAAATCATTTTGACTTTTCTTTTTCGTCTTGTTTTATGTTTTTGTTTTTGGTTTTTTTTGGAAAAGGGAGGGGGGGGGTATAGTTTATTTTTATTTTTTTCAACATTTTTTATAAAACCTGGACCATTCTAATTTTTATAATGGAAAATTTTTACGTTGCTTGTATTGCATATTTTGTTTGAATTCAATTATAATAATATATTTTTTCTTTAAAGGAAAGTATTAATTGGTTGAGTAAATAGATTATTTATACTTAACTCTTACTATTGCATTACAATTTTTATTAAGTTATGTGAATTCAAGTGTACAGAATATCCTGCACAGTACCTCAAACTATTTTTTTATAAACAAAGGGAATTAACCCTTATCAGGTATCTATAATGACAATATTTCATGCAGTTAGTTTTTGAGCGAATCTTTGTCAAATTTGTGCAATTAAATATGTATTCGAATTTATAATCTGATTAATTGACAACAATAGATCGTGAATAATGCAACCATTACGTTCGAGTGTAATTTTTTTTTTTAGCAGAAATTGAAAGTTTAACTGACTGCATGATGATGTGAACAGTGAATAAATCTAACGTTACAAAACTTTTTTTGTTCTTTTAATGCTTGACCTTGCCGCCTTTGACGCACTGGCGCCTCGTCAATTCGTAACACATTTACATAAACTGGACATTGTTGTAAAGATAATATGTTGTAGATTGCGGGGAGCGATGGATCCTTGAAAAATATGTGAACATGGGGTATCTTTCGGGGGAAAACTCAAATTTTTTTTGATTTTCTTCATAATTAGACACCTTATTGACGAAATTGGATTAGGATACCTACAAAATTTTACTGTTCTCAACTTCAGGATGATGCATGCAAAATTTTGATGTCTGTTTACGTTTCTATAAATAGCGCTAGGTCCCGATAGGATATTAAATTGTTGCATATGATAGCGAAAAATAAATGTTGTGGATAATATTACAGATTTTCACATTGCTATGAAATATAGATACAAAAGGGTAAAGTCTATAACTTTTAGCCTAGTTTGAAAAGCTAAAGTTCAAGTTTCCTGTGATATTATATTTTTAACTGACATCGAATGAAAAAGTTTTTTTTTGTAATTTTTACCAACGTTGATAACACCAATTATGCATTACGGCAGATATGAGTTTATTGACGTGATGTTCCCACAGAGTCCCTATTGAAATTACCATTTGCTTTCTCTTTTTTTTATTATACAGGTGTTTTATTGAAAAACATTCGTAGGCACTAATTATCACTGTTTAATAATATAATAGAACATGTTTTATAATGAATTTAGTTATTTCATTTTTTTTCTTTTTTATATATATTTTTTTGTAATTTAGCATGTACATGATAATAGAACAAATTAGAAATATGAAAAATGAAAACTGTAAAAAAAAAATTTACTGCTAATTTGCTGTCAATGATATATAAAAGAATAAATACCCTTGGATATGAATTAAACTGATTAAATTTATTCAATGGAAAATATGGATTTCAGTGGGTTTTAAAATTCGTGACTTTTTATATATTACAAAATACAAATCAATGAAAATTGGTTATTCTTTTGTGTCTTTTTTCAACTTTTGATTTTTGTTTGACCTACTTGGTACTGTTTTGTACCTAAATAGAAACAATCCTTTCAAGTTAGTTATCCAAAGTACTCACCTGACCTGTCAATACTGTATGTACAACATTCAATAAACTTCCTGTAGCTAACAAGGCACAATTATAGGTTTCCTTCAACATAAATGAACAGCGATTGTAAGTCCCATATATTTTACTTATATGTAATATAAGTATTGTTTATACAAACAGAAAAGCCATTACAGTTTACAAGTAATTAATGTTATGATAAAGATGCTGACATCATGGATACAATTAATTAACATACACTGACCACTTGTTATATCTTGAGGTTAATTTGCCCAAGGAGGTTATATGAGCAGGAGAGAGGACGAAAGACGATAATTACACATAAAATGTTACCGCCTTATTTGTAAGTGGGTGTTAATTAGTTGAGATCGACTAGGTCGCAGAGGGAGACTGTCCTAATTACACATCCGAGTAAGAACGGAAACACCCGAAGTGTTAAAACCCGACCGAGATTTTACAAAATAAGCCTGAGATCATGGCTCAATTCTCGACAGTATATATATAGCCTTCCTTACAAAAAGTAAAGGTTTGGCCAGGGTCCCAGGCTATGAAAAAAATACACACCGGATGTTTTCTGTTGACGTATTTCAGTCATCATTTGATCATGGTCAACGATTTATTTATAAGTGATGCGTAAATGTTGGGGCTCGAATAAGAATTTGATCTAGAAAAATTCTGCATCTGCAAGACGAATGACTCATCCCACCTGAATTGCTTCGTAAATGATGTATATATAAGGAATTAAAATTTAAAACAAAATATTTATAAAATGTGCAGGAAAAATGTCAGTAAATAAAGAATAGGCACACTTTCCTATCGTGGTATTTTTATTAACAAATTGACTTATTTATCTTTTTTTTTAATAAATATTACAACCGTGCATGGCCTGAAAAGAGTATTGATTGAGAAGAAATCTCAAATACCATGTGCATTGTCCGGGGGAATCACATTTAGAGAAGACCAATCTACATGACTGGCATTCCAAGTATTACTGTACAAAATGCATGTGTTAATTTTCTGACATTTTACTGTTTCATTAAGCCAATGAAGTACTGGTTTCGACAAAATCTTAATTAAACTCTGTATGACAAGGTACTGATTTGGCGTGGTCACATTGAGAATTTTCATTATCACTTTTTTTTTTTTTTTTTCATTCTTTTGCTTTCAGTGAGAGCCCGTCACTTTAACAAATGTGCTTCACATATTCCTTTTGAGGATATAACCTAGCTACCATTTCCCATTTCCAGAAGTCAACATGGGAAGTGAAAATATAAGCGCCTATGCCTATATCTACAGCCTAACGCCATGAGAATCAATCTTTTCGCTGGCTCTCGATAAATTTCTCTTCGTTTCAATTATAAATATTCGCACCGGTCGCAACTGTTCACCGTAACGAAAGTACCTTACATATTCCTCTATTTTCTATGATATTACCTACCAATTGTCATGGGCAGCGCAATACAGGTGAAGCGAAAATCTTTGTTTAAAGCAAGGTGGGGTTCAATAGAAATTGCATTCTTAAATTTCTTTAAACCCTCATAACTTTGTCATTTCTTAGTTGTTTTTCACCGTAGTTAGACGATATACTTTCGAATTTTGCGTCAAATGATATTGCACAATAAAAACATATATAAACTGATTTGAAACGATAACTACACCTGTATTTTGATGACCCACTCACCGATTACAACCACGTGACATTAGCGATATTCCTAATCACACGGACTGTTAGCGGTAACAGCCTGGTACATCAGAGGACCGTATCAAGTGGGTGATAAACATGTCGGTTTCTTTATATTTCTATCATTTTCCTCTGATCGAATTGCTATCCTGGGGATGCTAATTTTATATCAAGCAGAGTGTTCACTCTCCTTCTCATATAACCTCCTTGATTTGCCACTTTGAAGTTACAACTGGAATCTCACTAGGAGGCACACTAATCTTTTCTTAACCGGATACATGTCACAAACAATCACTGTAGGAGAGGAAAGCAGGATATGATACCAGATCTCTTTAGTACTGATTACACAATAATTAGTACTAGTATATTATTTGAGGGTCAGTAAGGTCAGTCTCCTCCCACTGGATGTTAGATGTACCCAATCTGTGTGTAAAGCCATATGCATTGTCTTTGTATAATCAGTTTCTTGTCATAGCAGTCTTACTAGTTGATGTAGTTTTACAGTGCTATTATTAAATTTACCTCCCACCTTCCCCTTCCTAACACCTTCAATATTGTTTCATGACTAGGGAAACAATCAAGTTTAACTAGTGATATATATTTTTTCTTTATTTTAGTTTTTCCTTAATGGAATTTTATCACTGGTCATTTCTAAAATTTCATTCATCCCCAAGCATTTCAGGGACAAATTTTATCAAATTTATTCCAGTGCCAGTTTGATAAACCCCTGCTACTCTACTAGCACATAGGCTATCCCCCATGCAGACCTTGCACACCTACAAGGAAATTCAATATGAGACTACAAGGAAATACAATATGAGACTACAAGGAAATACAATATGAGACTACAAGGAAATACAATATGAGACTACAAGAAAATACAATATGAGACAACAGAATACAAACACCATTGAAGTTTGTATAAACATGTATTTAGATAATTCATCATCACATACCACAGTATTTCAATAATCTTAAGGAAACCTTTATATAATTTGTAAATTGAAAAAGTAAGGAGAAGCACTTCTAGCAGCAGGACAAGGTCATTATATGAATAAATGCATTATAGTGTGTCTTTCTATGTTGTGATGTTGTGATGTTGCACTATTGTTTCAGGTAGGGTGAAGGTTGGCGCCTATTAAAACGTTTAAACTGCTGCATTTGTTTCCACCTGTTCTATGTCAGGAACCTGATGTTCAGTGGTTGTCGTTTGTTGATGTGGTTCATAAGTGTTTCTCGTTTCTCGTTTTTTATATAGATTAGACCGTTGGTTTTCCTGTTTGAATGGTTTCACACTAGTCATTTTTGGGGTCCTTTATAGCTTGCTGTTCGGTGTGAGCCAAGGCTCAATGTTGAAGGCCGTACTTTGACCTATGATGGTTTACTTTTACGAATTGTGACTTGGATGGAGAGTTGTCTCAATAGCACTCATACTACATCTTCTTATATCTATGTATATAGGATTTTGCATTTAAATTAAAAATACAACGAAAAAAGTGAATTGCACTCTTTTTGCAGAATATAAAGTATCATTTCTTTGTTTTTTTGCTGAATTTGAAAATGAGTCTACTAAAAAACCATTATTAGGAGTGCTCTAAGACAAAAGCTTGAAAAGCCACAGATGCAAAAATCAACTGGAATTATATCAATTTACCAAAAGAGGCTTAATACAGCATTATGTAATTAATGCATCTGATTCCGGACCCAAGTTCTTGTACAATCAATAAATATTTAAAAGATGTAAACGTGAACTATAGTAAACAGTAGCCTGAATTGCTCACCTGTATTTCAGAGGTTTTTAAATGTTAGCAAACTTGATGAACAAATTGTGTAAAATTGTCTTTAAAGGGCAATAACTCCTTAAGGGGTCAATTGACAATTTTGGTCATCATAACTTTTTTGTAGATCTTACTTTGCTGAACATTATTGCTGCTTACAGTTTATATATATCTATAATAATATTCAAAATAATAACAAAAAACTGCAAAATTTTGATAAAACTACCAATTCAGTGACAGCAACCCAACAATGGGTTGTTCGATTCGTCTGAAAATTTCAGAGCTGATAGATCTTGACCAATTGAACAATTTTAACCCGTGTCAGATTTGCTCTTAAAGCTTTAGTTTTTGAGATATAAGCCAAAAACTGCATTTGACCCCTATGTTCTCTGTTTAGCCATGGCGGCCATGTTTGTCGATGGATCAAAACTTCGGATACAATTTATAAACTAAATACCCTAAGGAACATTTAATTAAAGTTTGAAGGTATTTGGCCCAGTAGTTTCAGAGGAGAAGATTTTTGAAATAGTTTACGACGACAGACGACAACAGAGGATGACTTATGGTTTAGGGGTGGCAGGGGGTGGGGGATGACCCCTGGGGACTAACCCTGTATATCATTCAAACCATCTTTGCATGACAAACCAGAATATATATGGTTTAGGGGTGGGGATCTTGACCACTTACAAGATATTAGAACATTGGGGGTGGGGGGAACCCCTGGGGACTGATCCTATACGTCATTCAAATGTTCGAGACATGACGAACAGGAATATATATGGTTTAGGGGTGGGGATCTCGACCATTTACAAGATATTAGAACTTTCTCAAATGGCAGGGGGTGGGGGATGACCCCTGGGGACTAACCCTGTTTATCATTCAAACCATCTTAGCATGACAAACCAGACTATATATGGTTTAGGGGTGGGGATCTTGACCACTTACAAGATATTAGAACTTTCTTAAATGGCAGGGGGTAGGGGTGACCCCTGGGGACTGACCCTGTATTTCATTTGATTTGCTTTATAGTGACAAACAAGAATATATATGGTTTAGGGGTGGGGATCTCAACCATTTACAAGATATTAGAACTTTCTCAAATGGCAGGGGGTCGGGATGACCCCTGGGGACTAACCCTGTATATCATTCAAACCTTCTTAGCATGACAAACCAGAATATATATGGTTTAGGGGTGGGGATCTTGACCACTTACAAGGTATTAGAACTTTCTTAAATGGCAGGGGGTGGGGGTGACCCCTGGGGACTAACCCTGTATTTCATTTAATGTGCTTTATCATTTAGAACATTTTCAATTAAAAAGATTGTGTCTATCACAAACGGTTTTCAATTTATAATCATTTGAAAATTTAAAAAAATAAGTTCCCATAGGGTTCTATAGTAAAACCCTCCTTTCTTTTTGCCCCTCAAAGTACCCCTTTATAAACCCTATTGCACAAACAAAACCCTGATTGCACCACTAGACATGTTAGTCTAACATATTGTGAAACCCTAAGTTAATCTGACAAGTGGTTTTGGAGAACGGGTGCGGACAAGTTCAAATTTAAAAGTGGCGGAAGAGGAAGAGGAAGAAGAATAATAATAATAATAAGAACTGAGCAAAAACAATAAGTCTTCCCAAACTTCGTTTGGGAGACTTAATAAAAGTCATATAAATATGGACACCAGAAAATGAAATTCTCATTTAGTTTTCAATTTTGAAACCATTACCTACTTGACAAAGGTAAATAGAATTATAGTTCCATGCTAGTCTTCTCAAATCAAATACAGTCTTCTCTGGTAATTCTTTCATTTCTTCTACATATTTTGAACTAAAAAATAATAAAAATAAAACATACTAAAAATTTTGAAGATATGTAATTGTAACTAAAGATGTAGACTTACTTCTTTCAAAGGTATTATAACTTTACAAAAGGATTTTTTTATTTCCACAAATGTATACTAATGTCTCAGTCACAACAAATGATGTCATCAGACAAGGACAATCAATGGATTCACACAAAACTTTGAACTATGTGAATGTGGTGAAGGACTTTTTTGCTTCTCATATCTATTGACTGGGAATTACATAAATGTTTATTGACTGGGAATTATATAAATGTGTATTGACTGGGAATTACATAAATGTTTATTGACTGGGAATTATATAAATGTGTATTGACTGGGAATTACATAAATGTTTATTGACTGGGAATTATATAAGTGTGTATTGACTGGGAATTACATAAATGTTTATTGACTGGGAATTATATAAATGTGTATTGACTGGGAATTACATAAATGTTTATTGACTGGGAATTATATAAGTGTGTATTGACTGGGAATTACATAAATGTTTATTGACTGGGAATTATATAAATGTTTATTGACTGGGAATTCTATAAATGTGAACTTTCAGGGCCTTTTATACCCAACTATGCTGTACGGGTTTTTCTCATTGTTGAAGGCAGTACGGTGACCTATAGTTGTTAACTTGTACATCATTTGGTCTCTGGCAGAAAGTTGTCTCATTGGCCAAATACCTCATCTTCTTCTTTTCTTTCAAAGCAACTAATAAATGTGAATTTTAACTTTATTCAAAAGATATGACAACACAATAAAAGTTGTTGTTTAATTAATTAATTAACCAAATAATGGAAATTCAGATATTCACTTCTTGTCTTCTATAATTTTGATTGAAAATTTCAATATTAAAAATGTCATTCAAATATAAATCATAAATTCTTCATAGTTTCCAAACTTCAGTAAATATATTCTATATGCACAGGGGGTCTCTTCCTATATGAAGGTATATACATATGTGCCGCTAGAATGGGTCCCTTTTTTGATACGTCAAATATATCAATGGGGTGCAATTTTACCGAGGAATATATCAATAGGTAGTAATTGACCAATTGTGATATTATAACCAGATCTGAAGTCCTATGTTTTTGTGGTATTGCACCTTCAAAACAGTGTTTTACTTGTTATTGTTTGAAAAGTTCAATATTTCATATAAATTGAAGTATATTATATAATTGAAAAGTGTTTTTAATATATATTATTTCATATCGGTTAAGAATTAGCTTCTCTTATTGGATAAAAAGGGACCACATGACATTCTTTATTCTTCAGTAATAAATTCCATTGGTCTTTAACAGAACAAAACAGACCAGAAAACCAGTCCTTAACGGACTTTTACATGTTAATGACCGGTGGGGCGTGGTTTCTCTGTTTAGAGAGATGTCCCTTTAATAAAACATTTTCCTGTTTTCAATTTCATATTTAAGTTGTTAAATTGTTTACCATATGTTTTTGTAATTTATAAAATTATAGAAAACTTTATTTAGTATTCATATATTGAAAAATTGCACTTAAATGAATGCCAGTGACTTATAATTACATGTATTACTAAGACTGGTCTTCACTCTTTGCTATAGAAATCGTACAATAACTCAAGTTTGCTTTGAACATTTTGAATTTATGAGAATTTGTAAAAACATGGTTCCTCAATGAAATAAATATAATAGTTATTGAAGAACTGGTCATTATCGTGATACATGGACTGCCCGTAGGACAGTGGTATTGACTGTGACAATGTCCTGTGGGCAGTCCTTATATCAAGATAATGACCAGTTTTTCAATAACTATTATGTAAATAAGATTGTATATGTATATAGGTACTATTTGTGACAATAAAAATATGAATGGGTTATGATTTCGCTGTGAAATATACGTATAGGTAGGGATTTCACAAGTAATCAATATATGAAGGAGGGGGGTGGGGGTGGGGGGGGTGGGGGGGGGGTTTAAATCCCAGCTGTACAACTGTACCCAAAATCCCATGTTGAGACCCCCCCCCTCCGTGTCTATATGTTACTATAGGAACTTTTAAATATATTATTTTATTCTGGTTTTCCTATGAAATCACTTACATTACACTGGTTGTCAAAACTTTCAGTGTGAAGTTAACCTGATTTAGGGTACTGTAAGTTCAGAAATTACTGCATGTTTTTATTATTACGATTTTGAACTAACGGACAAAAATGTGAGTTTAATTACTGCAATGCCATGGCAAGCTGCATCAAAACTTAAAATACAATCTACATAATTGTGAAACCTCTTCAATCACATTTTTTGCAATAATAACAAGAATGTATATGTTATCGTGCTAAGCATACCCCTCTCATAATTCAAAGTATCTGAAAACTGAAAGTTGGTGTCTGGCAGATCTGAAAAGCAGTCATACTCTATAGCTCATCAGGAACGAAATTTCTGAAGTTGTAGTATTCAAGAAATATGTCATACTCATTAACATCACTTTCATAGGTTTATATCATATGATAACAGATTATGCTGTTGGTGTTATCTTTTTAGTAGTCTGTAGAATTCATTCCCAACTTATAAGCTGGGGGTGATTTAAAAGAGCTTGAATGTTTGTAGATCACTGTAGTAGGTTGACATCTGCACATGTTTTTTCACTGGATTTTTTTTAATTTGAATACCGTCTTGTTGTTTTCTCAACATTTTCTTTAATTCATTTAAACTATTTACCTGTGTATGAGCTGTAGTTCTGATTCCGTTGCATGCCGTGACTGAAACAAAATTAAAAGAGACAGACCATTAACAAGACCTTATTTAGACATAATGAATTTACAACTATAATTGTTCAAAACTTCACTTAAGCAAATACTTACCTAAGCTTCATAACTCAAAAACAGTAACAAATTAGTTAGTTTTATAAAGTATTGAAAGTTTAAGTGTAAGTAAAGTAGTATTATTGACAAAGAGAAGGCAATGAGATACCTGTATGAGACAGGTTGACAGTGGATCATTATAATTCAACTTTCCTTCCCCTTTGCAATCTCTCTCCTCAAATTTGACCTGCATAAATGACCCTCACTCGAATTTCTTTTCACTACTTCCTTCCTCAAAACTCCTGGTTCTCACCTCCCAAACTCAAAGTTTCGAAGCCCCTTACTCTTGGCTTAAGTCACCTAGTTAGCCTCTTGTGTGACAGCAAGAAAAAGCCTTACATTGGGATAACAAGCTTTTTAATTTCCATCCATGATATCTTTAATTACCAGTACTTCTTCATTAATAAATATAAGGCCACACCAATTTGATTAATAGTTTTTCGGACAAAAGCTCCAATAAAATATGGGGCGAGCGAGCGAAATTTTTTTGTTTTTATATATTTCTTGAAAATGAGTTTTTTTAGGCGAGTGCTCTACAAGTGAAGCGAGCGGTATAATTTTTTTTTTAAATTGTGTGATTTAGAAGTTGTACAATTTATGTACATGTTATTACTGGGTTATTCCATAGAAAAACGAGGCGCAACAGATGCTCTAGTGCATATAATTTGATTTATTGGTGCCTGTACCATATCAGACTTTCTTGTCTCACTGTGGTTTAGTTAATTTTGGTTATTTTCATCAAGTAAGCTTTGTCTGTGTGAAATTTCATTGAAATCCATATATATTTAGGAAGCATAGCAGATGCAGTTTTACAAGAGGAAGTATGTTAGTTAGGTAAATGACACATGTTGAATAAAATTAAAATATGTGTATGTACCCAAAACAATGCCCCTGAAAGATATTTGATAGTTTTCAATATATGGTAATGATTGTTTATTTTTGTAGTTCAGTGTTTCTGTTGTTCTGTTGTTTTCCTCCTATAGTTGATGTGTTTCCCTCAGTTTTAGTTTGTTACTCTGATTTGTTTTTGCTTAATCAAATTATGACTATTGAACAGCAGTATACTACTGTTGACTTTATATATTGGCTGCTTTACATCCAGTTGGAACTATTTATGCATATTTAGGATCAAAATAATGAGTGAGGTGAATATTTCTTGCTTTGTATTAAAACAACATCCTGGGTAAGATAGTTATATTTCTATACATGTAGATCGAAATGTATTAAAAAAATTCCCTTAAAATACCTGTCATCCCATTCATATGCATTTTTCTTCCTAAAAGCTGTAATGTATTCAAAACTCTTTAGCTTGACTAGAAGTGATTGAACCAATTACACACCCCTAATTATTATGAGCATGCCAATCACAATGCGGCATCACCTTCGTCTCGTTGGAACTCTTTAAATTCCCCCCCAACAAAAAAAGAGTTCTGCTTGTATGTCAAAAGACTAAAGATATGGGGTTTCATCAACATCAAATACTTCTGTGATTTTTTAAAAAGTTCATGGGAATTTACAATTCATTTCATCCAAAAGATAGATAGGTCTATGCCTGTTGAAACAAGGATCGGGGGTGACAATTGCTCTAACAAATATTGATGTATTTGTGCAGGGACTTTCTATATTAACAAAGTTAGTATAGAAAGTCCCTGGTTTGTGGTCATCTAACGAAAGATTTTTAATTTTTACATCCTAGAACAGGTCTTTAAAGGTAAAACGAGAAGCATTTCGGATAAGTGTGTGTTCAGTAACTACTTGTCCACGGTAAATTATGAGCTGACACAACTGCATGTTGGCATCTCGATTTTTGACCTTTTATTTACAAATCGATTTATTACATGTGCATTTAAAATGATAGGAGCACTATATGCAACATAAAAGCGTCTATGTGAAGAAAAAATTTCGAGGAGAAACTAATTTTGGAGCGGCATGTGGACCAAAAATTTGCGGAAGCAGTATTTTTTTTTATTATTAAAAAGTCAATTTCTCCAAAACAGGAGCAGGAAAATCCAAAGAACTATTAATCAGATTGGTGTGGCCTAATTTTAAAAAATCTAATTATAAGAATAAATACCTACTTGTACTCTAAGACACCTCTCCAAAAGACCCAATTCTACATGTTTATCGAATATTCTAGTGATTCTGTCTGGATCTTCAGGATGGCCTCTGGAACAAAATAAAAAATAATCTTTAAGTTAAACTTATTTTATATCAACCAAAGTATACATGCTTTCACCAACTTTTTACTAGTGATTAATTCTATTTTAATCAAATTATAATTTTTATTTTTTTAAACAATAGAGGGTGAAACCAACATAGTTCAAGCTCTTAGTTGATCAAATGACTCAAGCTATATCAACTGATTTCTACTTCAATACCTAAATGATGTTAAAATATCCCATTATTCTCTATTCTGTAAACCCCATCCAGACCCTCTATTACATATTGGTACTCTTAACTGACAGTAATTAGTATATTGGTATGTGTTCAATTTACTCACAGTGCACATTTTGAAGTATGGAACATCAGTGGACAATAGTTAGTGATACAATGTATACTGTTTATTATTGCAATAATAAAAAAATTGCTTTTAAAAGTATGTCTTTCTTTTTCTATTACTGGATAAATCTGAGAACAAAGGAGACAGAATATGTGCAATTGTGTACATTTTTGTCAAGCATCCTCAAGTTTTAGTAGTACAGATATTAATTACTGAAAAACAAGTTATTTTGGTGGATACATATTTTGAGGTAAGGCCTTTCTTAACTGGTTTGCTGCAATTTGTTTTTGTGATTTAATAACTTGTTTAGCAGATATATATATATATATATACTGGTAGAGAAGATCAAATTTTTGACATATTCACAACCATTTATCTTGGATTTGACATATTCACAACTATTTATATTGGGTTTGACATATTCACAACTATTTATCTTGGGTTTGACATATTCACAACCATTTATGTTGGGTTTGACATATTCACAACTATTTATCTTGGGTTTGACATATTCACAACCATTTATCTTGGGTTTGACATATTCACAACCATTTATCTTGGGTTTGACATGTTCACTACTATTTATGTTGGGTTTGACATATTCACAACCACAAGGTGAGTAATTGTTTTGATGACAGAGTATTTAATAATGGTTTACCTAGAATCAGCCTTGTGCGCCCTCATATCATCATCATATACTATACAGGTCCTGTAATAAAAAACCAGAGAGATCATAAAACTGAACAACTAATGCATTGTACAAATAATACTATACTTAGAGCCAATAGAAACCAAACACATCCTATCACATGCCCCCATTCGTCCAACATTAAATGACAACACATAATTGTTATGTCAAGGCATTCTTCATTTTCAAATCCGAAAGTTAATTACAATTTACTATACTTCATGTCAAAATGCCAGACTTTGATTGGTTTGATACGAGGGAGACAATTTACTCTATTACCCTTCATGGAGACGCTTGATCAAATGTGCGCTTTATTGAATACGGATGGTTGTTATGTACAAGACGTCATAATGTATTTCTTTTAATTTGAAACTCAATAGACAGTAATAACAGAACATTCAGTATAATAAATTAAATAAAACATATCTGAGAGGGTGATAGAGCAGATTGTTACCCCTTGAAAAGACATTGTCAACCTTGGCTTCGCCTCAGTTGACAATGTTTTCTCAAGGAAACAATCTGCTCTATCACCCTCTCAGCTATGTGTTATTTATATAAAGTCTCATAGGAGTCAAAAGCAAAACAGTGTATGCATATCCTATAACATTCAAACAATTGGTCAACTTCATAAAAAGGATCTACTGGTTTGAATTTTTATAAACAGAAAAATACAAATAGATGCTGCATTTTTAATGGCACTCAGTATACAAACCATTTTTCTCCATTGAATCCATATAAGGCAATATAAACAAACTAATGATTATACTTCGGAAGTGCATAAATTAAACAATACATGGTTTATAAAGCTTTTAACTTAAAACTACATCAACAAAAAGCAACTACATGAAAGAAAAACAAATAACAATTGCCACTGAAATTTCAACTACTGCTTTAAAAAAAAAGGTAAAAAATTATATATTTCATCTTTGTTTTAATAATGACTTCTCAGCAAAATTTGGCATATAAACTGTGAACACATGTGCAATCTTATCACAAACTTTAACAATTTTCGACAGCAAAACACTAGAAGCAGTACTCTTATGTCTCACATAAATGACTTTCAAGGGTGTTACTGTATCCAATTAAAAACCCTGATTTTATCAAAAGTATGAAATATTAACATAAAATTTTATACATCAGTAGAAATCCTTTTAGACAGAAATACATGTATGTATGAATATAATCAATAGGAAAGATGTCACCTCCAGTCCTCCACTGCTTAGCTGAGAAGTAGAAAATTCCAGTCCAGGATCGAACCCACAGCCTTGTACATTCAAAAGCAGGCTACCAATAGACCACTTAGGCAGTTGTTTCCCCTTGAAGGGCAGCATTTATCTTTAATTGGACAGTAAGTTTTGTATCTAGCTACAACTCTTAAAAATAGTATTTCTTATCAAGATTGAGTGGTTTGCTGAAGACAAACTTTTAAGATAATTCACAGAAAAACTGTATCTACCAAAAATTTGATACAAATTAAGTTAATTAATAACAAGAATGTGTCCATAGTACACGGATGCCCCACTCACACTATCATTTTCTATGTTCAGTGGACCGTAAAATTTGGGTCAAAACTCTAATTTGGCATTAAAATTAGAAAGATCATAGCATAGGGAACATATGTACTAAGTTTAAAGTTGATTGGACTTCAACTTCATCAAAAACTACCTTGACCAAAAACTTTAACCTGAAGTGGGACAGACAGACGAACAGACTGAAGAACGGACAGACGAATGAACGAACGGACGAACAAACTGACGCATAGACCGAAAAACGTTATGCCCCTCTACTGTCGTTGGTTGGGCATAAAAATATATAAATGCATAAACCTTATCTTCAACAGAACTGAGAAAACATTAGCAATTTTGTAGTCACAGAAAATATTCACCTGTAAGGAGGTCTCATTAATGCTGTCTCTGCAATAAGTTGATCTATGATGGGGTCAAACTTTTTCTGTAAAAAATAAACTTCTTTGACTTCTTCTGGGTATGTGTATGTTAATGGAAACATCTTTGAATCATTTTCTTCTTCATTAAATTTGACATCTGATCTATAACAGAAGAACAAAAATAATACTTTATCAATTATCTTTTTTATATGTATTGTATTTAAGGAATTTAATAAGAGCCTAAGGCCTGTCGACTTGTCTGATTTATAAGGGATTTCACTCATGAGAGATGTTAAAATGAATCTTGAAATCATCCTTCACATAAACTGAATACCACAAAACAAGCATTCAACAGAGTTAAAATTGCATCAAAGCACAAGAATAATCATTTAAATCAATAAAGTATTTAGTTAAATACATATTGCACTTAAGACCTGACTAAGGGATTTATGATGTCCAATGGATACATATTGTGCACCCTTACTGGTCAACTTGTTTTTGTACTAATATGAAGCAAAATTTACAAAGAACCTTTTCAAAGACAAAATGAAAAAGCATCTTACAAAGTTCTTTCTTTTCACTTTCAAAAATATTGATGATGTTGTGTCACTCAATAACCCACATTTCAAGGGGTCCTTGCATCTCCCACATCTTTGTTAATTTGAAAGAAACAAAACTACAGAAACAAAAAGGTTTGCTTCATATCTTGATCTTTTCCTTGATATTGACAAACTAGAATCTATCACAAAGGTGACTATTTCAACTTTACAATTGTCGACTTCCTATTTTCAGCAGTGACATACCCTCTGCCCCAACATATGGCATTTAAAAATCTGAAATAATAAGTTATGCTTGTGCATGTTCACACTATATGCACTTCATTAATAGGGTGTGCTCCTGACAAAACTGCTCCAAAAGAGTTATGAGGAAGAAAGATGGAAATTGGCACTTCATAAGTTTTAGTCATCACAACAAATTGGTGACTAATACAATGTGTTTGTGTCTGAACTCACTATGGACATGTTTTTAGGTTCTTAGATTTTAAGATACTAGAATTGTCATCTGATCTGTAAATCCTATACCTGATTGCAACATCATGACTGAGCATGGTTTTATCCTATCAATGCACCTCATCCTTATCCTTTGTGAAATCTATCCATTTTGTTTTTGAAAATATTTCCTTCTTTCTATTATAGTGGTCTTGCTTGTCATGTTTGCTAATTAGTTTCTCTCTATCTACTTTTTAATTTTCAATAATATAGCCAAAAACTGCAAAATTTGCTAATAAACTGTTAACACAGAGATATGTCTCGCCTATTTGTTATTTTGATAATGCAAATGTTGAAATTAAAATAGCAATACTTTAACATGTAAGTTATGCAAATATTCAAAGTCAATGAAGAACAACTGAAGGTACAGGGCTAAACAATCTCCATGGAAATGAGATGTGCCAATGCTAATACAACTGCAAACCAAATACCATTGATTTTTCATAAGTCGTTCCCTTTAAACAAACCAAAACACAAACATTAACTTGTAAACCATGTAAAAGTTTCAAAGTCAATGAATCATAATTAGGGGGTGGGGTTATATAATCTCCATGGAAATGAAACTTGCAAATGCCAATACATTTGCATACTGAATATCATTGACTTAACATTAGTGGTTCATCTTGAACTGACCTAATCACAAACCAATACATGTAAACTAAGCAAAAGTTTCAAAGTCAATAGACCATGACTGAGGGGTAAGGACCAAATATTCTCCATGGAAATGAGATGTGCTAATGCTTATACAACTGCATACTATTTATCATTGACCTACCACTAACAGTTACCCTTAAACTGACCTAATCACAAACTAATACATGAAAACTAAGCAAAAGTTTCAAAGTCAATAGACCTTGACTGAGGGGGCAGGGCCAAATAATCTCCATGGTAATGAGATGTGCCAATGCTAATACAACTGCATACCAAATATCATTGACCTACCACTAGTGGTTCACTATGAACTAGACCTAATCACAAACTAATACATTGTTGACGCCGATGCCGACGCCGGAAACAGCATACCTATGTCTCGCTTTTTGACTCCGTCAAGGCGAGACAAACATTAAAATTTTAGAGGCAATAACTTCAAAATGGAATGTCTAATTTTCTGAAAATTTCAGGTTTAGTAGACCTTGACAATCTGAAAGTATTTATCTTATCAATTTTTCTTGAACTGCTTTACTTAACACCAGCAGTTACGTGTTTTGAGGAATCCTCAAGGAAAATTCACACAATTATTTCAGAGATGACGATATATTAAAAGGTTTACGCCATTCAGACATCAACAGACGTCACATGATGGCAACAGTTCACATGTACCTTATATGCACATTATAATGTTTGAAGAATTCTACAAAAGTTCGATGTAAAATAACAAACTGCCAGACCAAACTGTCTGAGTGATTATATTAGCAGATGTAGTAAAATGTCAAACTTACTCTATTACAGAAAGATATAATTATCTTTTATTCATGCTGTTTTATTTATTAATCTGACGTGTAAATTTTAAAAGGTTACCTAGGTGGTAATTTGTTGACCTCTTCAAAAGAACACAAATCTTCAGAATCATCTTCCAGTAAGTCCTGGTAATGAAAGCAAGACCAGTGGGGCCTCAGTACTTTTATTACATTTAAGATGGTTTCTGCCACGCTAAAATAAATAAAAAAAATTTATTACGTTTCCTATTCCATCTTACAGTCACAAGCTTAACTAGCAGGTACAATACTAAAGGCCACAACATAAAAACATGTGAATAACACTCATCATGACAGGTTAATAAAAAAAGACATTTATATGTCATCTTCTTGTATTTTATGTCACCCTCAGTTTTTGGTAGGGTTAGTGTTGTGTTTTGTTTACTGTTGTTTGTCTGTTGGTCTTTTTCTTTTTTAGCCATGGCATTGCCAGTTTATTTTCAACTTATGAGTTTGAATGTCCCTTTGGTATCTTTCGCCTCTCTTCATCATATCTACATTTTAAATTTTCAAAATTGCAATGTCATATGATTACAGTACATGTATGTTTCATAAGAATCCATACTTTTGATTGGCTGACAACTAACAAGAGGCATTCCAAAATTAGATTTTATTTTCCAATCAAATTCAACATTCATGACAGCATGTGCTTCCTGTGACAACAACACAACAATGCATTGGAAATCGAACAAAACTTTTATAACACTTATAGTTTCATGGCTGTAGCATAAAAATATAATTATATGAATTGAATGCTTCTTTTTGTAATTTTACAGGGTTGTAAACGCGTTGCTTCCACGCTTCAAACAAAATGTGCTTCAGTCAACACTTTTACACCCCAATAAAATTACAAAAAGCATTCAATTCTTAAATAAGTCAAATAATGACAATTAGAAAAACCATCTTTAAATGAACTTATTTGTTTTTTTCATCACACACTTATTTGTCACCTTTATTTTTCAAATTATTTCCCTTAAAGGGAACATACTAAAACGTATATCTTAATTACAATAAGTCTAAAAAAAAAACAATTAACAATACACGGACTCGATAATATATATATATCAGCATTTCGTGCGTATTTAAGTCAGGAGGGCATCTATTTAACCATCAAGAAGACCTCCAGAGAATGCCAATACGGTCATATAACTCAATATAAACATAAATCAGTTTGGTTTCATGTTATAGGTTAAAAAAATAATTAATCATAGTTTTTACCTGTATAAGATGTTTCACTTTTAATGTTGACATTCTTTTCATTTTAATAGCTGAATAAGCCTAGTACATGCATAACCTATCTGCAGCTAAGGGGTTAATTGAAGTTCAAATGAAAACGGATTCACATGAGGTAAAATCAATCACTTGCAAGTCAATAATACATCAGTGATGTTTTTGAGCTTATTTTGAAAAATTTGGGCCAAACCAACTACTTAAAACGAAATGTTAATTTCAAAATTCCACTTTTATTTATACTTGAAAACAAAGAGATTTGTATTTTAAATTTTTGTTCTAAATCGTAGCTAATGCCTCTCCAAGGATGTTCTCTACACTTGTTTTTGACTTTTTGTCAGATATTTGGAATCCTCTAGTTTTATACATGTAGTGCCAATTAAATATTTTGCCCGCTAACAGAGTAGCGTAAACCTTTAATACAGATCTTTTGTATTATTGCTTACATTAAAGTAATTTGATGTAACTGTATCTAGACCCAAACAACATACAAGTAGTATTATAACATTCTCAAGATTCTGCCACACCAACTTCGATGACTTAAGATATCTATCATCATAAAAATGCAAGCTTTACCAAGAATTTGAAAATTAAACAATCAAAAGAAGATAAATTCTGTTGTTAAATGTTTAAAGCAGAAGAATGTGTTTCATTAACAATTTAATTGAAACAGCTGAGTGGATCTGGTGGGAAACACAAGACTTTAATCAACATGTGATTAATAAATAAACTGCTTCGCTGAGGGCAGCTGGATACGCCCGCAGAGGTCCAACCCTGAACAGTTGGGTCAAAAGTGGACACAATATTCAAGCTTGATACAGGTCTGAATTTGGATTGTAACAAAATATTTGACATATTATAGGTTTCTGAATAAATGTAGTCAAAGAACTTGAAATTGGTTATACGAATTGAATTTATATTCAATTAAAGATTTCTTGCTGTTGTGCAATACACTGTGCTGTTGCGCAATACTTAGTAAATCTGTTGTCAGACTATAAACAAATAAAGTTCAATTAATTCTCAATGTCATATTAGAAATTTATGAAAATGTAAAGGGAGCTTACATCAATAGATATAAACAATTCACCGAAGTTTCATGAGAATTGCTGACAGCATTTTTGAGTTATTGTCCGAAAACTGGAAAATCCCCCCTTTTTTAATGAATAAAACCCCATAACTCAGAAATGTAAAATGTAAAATTTATAAAATTCTAAATGGAGCTTACATCAATAGATATAAACAATTCACCAAAGTTTCATAAGAACTGCTGAAAGAATTTTTGATTTTTTGTCCGAAAACTGGAAAATCCCCCTTTTTTTATGAAAAAAACCCTGTAACTCGGAAACGTAAAATCTATTATATATAAAAATCGAAAGGGAATTCATATCATTAGATATAAACAATTCACCACAATTTCTTGCAAGTTGGTGAAAGCATTCTTGAGTTATTGTCCGAAAACTGGAAAATCCCCCTTTTTTTAATGAATAAAACCCCATAACTCGGAAACATAAAATCTAAAATTTATAAAAAACGAAAGGGAGCTCACGTCAATAGATATAAACAATTCACCAAAGTTTTATGCAAATTGGTTAAAGCATTTTTGAGTTAATGTCCGACATGTTGACGACGGACGGACGGACGGACGGACGGACAGACGGACGGACGGACAGACGGACGGACAGACAGACGGACAGACGGTCAACGGTATACCATAATACATCCCGTAAACGGGCGTATAAAAATTATCAAATAGGTCAGAACCAGTTTAAATGTATAAAGATAAACAAAACTCATCAAAAATACCATGATTAAAATTTTGTACACCAGATGCGAGTTTCATCTACAAAAGAGTAATCAATCAGTGATGCTTGAGTTAAAAAGGCAAAATAGAGTATGAAGTTAAAGACCAATGCAGACCAAAAATTCCAAAAAGTTTTGCCAAATACAGGTACAATGATCAATTCCTGGGGTACAAAATACTTAGTATTTTGAAAATTCAAAGTTTTGTATACACTTAGTTTATAACTATGACCATATCAGAACTAGGGAAAGTTATGTAAATTGTTTATACCTTGTCTAAATATATCCATTAAAATCTTACCTATCTGATGGTTCAATTTGAGGAGGTAGTAATGGACATGGATCTCTTAGTAATGCCTTCAATGTCAAGGCCACAGATTCGGACAGAGATTTGATACAGTAACCACCCTAAAATATTCAAAATTAATAATGAGTTTACCTGTACTTAATGATGTTCTTTTATTTTTTACTTCATTCTCAAATAGGTAAACAGAATATTATTTTTTTCTCTTTTTTAAGTTGGACTTTTTATTTAAATATGAATGTAGATGTATCACTGATCAACAGTCTATTTGCAAATTCCATAATTGACACTGTAGTTAGAAATCCATTTTTTGAGTTGCTTCCCTTAGGATGGACATAGATTTTTATTGACAACGAAGAGCTAGCGGAAATACCAAATGTATCTGTGCGCAATGTGTGTAATCTGTAAGTTTCTCAAATCTTTTCATTCAATTCAATCTTTTGTTAAGCAAAAACTTTTGATATCAATAGTTATTTTTTATATAAAAACTGGTTAAAACGCCTATATATAACTTTCAACTTATAATGTTTTGCATCGGCAGCAGCCCATTCTGTCAGGTATAGAACAGAATCAAATCAGTGATTGGCAAATGGACAATTGGAAGTAACAAAAACGTTTGATACTGATTCAGTGTGACCGACATGTTTCTAGAAAATATCCTGTATCATTGATGTTTTAGACATTATGTTTATGAATAGAAAGGAACACAAAAAATCTCAAAACATTACAACCGTCAATGTCCTAGAAAAAATAAATGTGGATAGTGTCCATGTGGACACAGATGATGCCTCCGCTTGCATATCATATAGTTATAAAGGGACATAACTGAAGAACGGTAAAAGTGATGCTACCCAAATTTGAACTTGATCTGAGTTTTGTGGTAATAAGCACTGTGTGTAAGTCTCATAACATTTGGTTGAGGCTAACTTAAGAAGGGAACAGAAACTTAAAATTCAGCAATTTTTCTATTTGTAAACACGCATAACTCAAGAACGGTTGTGTATAAGTTTTATAACATTTGGTTGAGACAAACTAAAGTTAGAGAACGGAAATGAAAAATTCAGCAATTTTTATGTTTATAAAGGGACACAAATCAAGAATGGTAAAAGTGTTGCCACGAAATTTCGTACTTAATCTGTATTATGTAGAAATAAGCATTGTGTATAAAGTTTCATATCATTTGGTTGAGGCACTAAAGTTAGAAAACGGAAACAAAAAATGTGACTTGATCTTAGTTTTGTGGTAATGAATATTGTGTATAGGTTTCATAATGTTTGGTTGGGGCAAACTTAAGTTACAGAATGGAAACTAAAAATTTTGCCGTCTTTCGAGTTATAAAGGGGCATAACTCAATAATGGTTAAAGTGACACTACCCAAATTCAACTTGATCTGTGTTTTATCAGTGGAAGTCAAAATTAAACATTGCATTGTATAAAGCATTGAATGTAGTTGATTCAATTATAATCATGGACAAAGGAAGATAACTCCAATTTTAATAGTAATTACTTGATATTTAGAAGAAAATAAAAATTTTGCAATTTTTCCATTTATAAAGAGGCATAACTCTGGAACGGTTAAAGTGACGCCACCAAAATTCAAACTTGATCTGTGTTTTGTGGTAATAAGCATTGTGTATAAGTTTCATAATATTTGGTTGAGGCAAACTACAGTTAGAGAACGGAAACAAAAATTCAGCAATTTTTCCATTTGTAAAGGGCATAACTCTAGAACGGTAAAAGAGATGCCACCAAAATTCAAACTTGATCTGTGTTTTGTGGTAATAAGCATTGTGTATAAGTTTCATAACATTTAGTTGAGGCAAACTAAAATTAGAGAACGGAAACAAAAAATTCAGCTATTTTTCCATTTGTAAAGGGGCACAACTCTAGAACAGTAAAAGTGATGCCACCAAAATTCAAACTTGATCTGTGTTTTGTGATAATAAGCGTTGTGTATAAGTTTCATAACATTTGGTTGAGGCAAACTAAAGTTAGAGAATGGAAACGATAAATTCAGCAATTTTCCATTTGTAAAGGGGCATAACTCTAGAAAGGTAAATGTGACGCCACCAAAATTCAAACTTGATCTGTGTTTTGTGGTAATTAAAGAACCTTAGTGAGCACACTCACATACCCCACGTCCTCACATTGTCATTGGAGAAATAAAATATGTGTAAGAAAAAAAAATTGAATCATAATTTCCTGTCAATATGCACATCTACATAGTATGTCCTTATTATCTACAAAGTTTCATGAAATTATGTTGTGTGGTTTCAGAGGAGTTGCGATGAAAAACTGTTGCAGAAGACATTGAAGCAAATAAGTTCAAAGGGGCGTAACTCCTAGAAAAAATATTGAACCGTAATTTCCTGTTGATATGCACATCTACATAGTATGTCCTTATTATCTAAAAAGGTTTCATGAAATTCTGTTGTGTGGTTTCAGAGGAGTTGTGATGACAAACTGTTGCAGTAGTACATTGAAGCAAATAAGTTCAAAGGGGTGTAACTCCTAGAAAAAAAATTGAACCGTAATTTCCTGTTGATATGCACATCTACATAGTATGTCCTTATTATCTACAAAGGTTTCATGAAATTCTGTTGTGTGGTATCAGAGGAGTTGCGATGACAAACTGTTGCAGTAGTACATTAAAGTAAATAAGTTCAAAGGGGTGTAACTCCTAGAAACAAAATTGAACCGCAATTTCCTGTTGATATGCACAACTACATAGTATGTACTTATTATCTAAAAAGGTTTCGTGAAATTCTGTTGTGTGGTTTGAGAGGAGTTGCGATGACAAGAAACAGGACTGACGGACTGACGGACTGACGGACGGACAGACGGACAGACGGACGGACGGACGGACGGGTCAAAAACATTATACCCCCCGCAACTCGTTGCGTGGGGTATAATAAGCATTGTGTATAAATTTCATAACATTTGGTAGAGGCAAACTAAAGTTAGAGAACGGAAACCAATTTTGGAATGTACGTACGTACGTTCGTTCGTTTGTATGTACGTACGTACAGACAGACAAGGGTAAAACTTAATGCCCCCTCCGCTACAGCGGGGGCATAAAAATCAAAAATCAACAAAGGTCAATTTTGTCTGAAGATATATTTATATAAATAAAAATAAGGTCTTAAAAAATTCAATCATTATATCATTTCCTAAATTTTTATTATAGGTGTACCTCCAGACAAACACACACTCTTCCATCAGCTAATCCCATCAAATAATGAGTCATATGGCCAAAACATGCAGGCGATACCATCATTTCTCCCTAAATAAAATAAAACAAATTCTTTTATAAGACCAAATAAAAATTTCTTGCGACAAACTTACAGCCATTTTTTACATCCTTTAACGTCACCCTGCCCCAAACATGTAAACACAGAGGTGATATCCACTACGCCAGATCTGATCCTCAAAAGAAGATTGTTCACTGGGGTAGTGTGACCTTTGCTTGTCACAGAAGCTTATTGAAAATATATTTATACATATAAATGAAATCCTCCCTCTCTGTATTTTTCTGGAAAAGATATAAATATATGAAAATCTATATTTTATCTGATCTTAATTTTATCAATAAAGTAAAAAGAATTTAAAATATGTAAACATTAAAAAAATAATCAACATTCTCTGTTGTCATTTGAATAGATTGGACTCTCATCCAAGTATAACTTGGAATATGAAGGATGAGAGTCATTCTAGTAATGGAGCCTGAGGCTCAAGAGGATGTTACTATAGCATTCATTTCCCGATGTACAACGAGGCATCTCATTTAAAAGAGGTCAAAATCCTTGACCTATGGGTATGACGTAGCTATACCTAGCTATAAATACTGCGGCTATTACCTGTGCCAATCATGATTCAAAGTTTGTTTGTGCAACCAAAACAATTGGGATGGGCAAACAGTACCTTCCAAACTGGGTGGGTAAATTGTAACATCCTCTTGAGCCTCAGGCTCCATTACTAGAATGACTCTCATCCTTCATATTCCAAGTTATACTTGGATGAGAGTCCATTCTACTAATTACACTCCTCGGCTCTTCGAGGATGTTACTATAGCATATTCAAAGTGTTGGCACAAACAAGTAGTTCCCTGAACAACTAACAGAGAGCAAATCAGAATTTGCTGAATCAGTCCAGAATATACTGGAGACTAAGATAGTTGTCAATCTAACTTATCTTTCTGACTTAATAATAAATATAATCTAAACATTAAGGTAAAGTACCAATATTGTTAGTCCAGGTATAAAAATTAGTTTCAAAAATATTTAAAGTAATTTTGAAAATGAAAACACAACAAAATGTATATTTCTCTCAATATATTTTGTAGTCTGAATTTCACTATTTTCAAGAATAATAACTTATTCTATACATTCAAGACAAATTATCTGAACTATATAAAGAGCATAACACTCATACCACATCTTCCTATATCTATATAACAAGTTTTGAATTTTCAAAATACCATTTGCCTGATACTTGCTTACAAACCATTATTTGTATATCTAAATATCTACTGACATATTATTCGGCAACACTTTTCTTAAATATTTGAAAGTGTTTAATTCTTTAGCCCTTATTTTTGTACTCTTCTAACATGACACTCTCTGTAGTTCAGATGTGTATGAACAAACAAGAATTTGAAGACAAATTCAGGAGACAGTAGTTTAAATAACGATGTAAACACAGCCAGATACAGATTTTCATTAGAATTCTGAAGCTTTCAATATTATGTATACATGATTTATCTAATATTAATCCATGGTAAAATATCTAGTATATTTACTACCTAAAAACTGTCACTGCAAGTTCTACAAGTATTATCTCTTTACATGACATTTGCAATTCAGTCTGTCTTTAATATTGTAAGAACAGAAAAATTGATTCAAAAGCTCAAGTAAGCAACGAAAGCTTCAAATAGTGTTAATATTCATAACTTTAACATAACTTAGCAATCAAAAACTCCTCTCTGAGTCATATTAAAAAGTCATAAATAGGTGATTACTGTCACACTAAGGTCACCTGTTAAGTAAAGGTTGATTTATTTAAAACTACATGTAGATGTCAAAGATGAACAGCCTCTACTGTAGTTCTTATTCAGGACACTTAATAAAGTGACTATATTTACAAATTTCTTCTTATTCATTTGTATCTGGCATATACCAACTACAATATAGTATTTGATGTCTGGTTCAGTAAATTTACATTCCATGTTTGTTTATGACAATGAGTATATGTAGTATGTGAATAATATTAATATATCAAACAGTATTGATAATAAATTGAATCTTAAAGTAAATAACTTCATACAGACTAGGTCTACGTATACATACTGCATCTAATGTACCATTCTGAAGTAAATCATCTCAAAAGTCTCATCGTTATGATATTTCATTAAGTATAAACAAATTATACAAAAAACAGTGTAGCTATTTAATATCTTATGTTATAAGAATTAATATAGATCAATATATCCAGAATTAAAACTTGATCCAGCGTGTTTTAAAAATCTTAAGATTTAAGTAATACTGTTCTGTGAACACTCATCTGATAATCTGATAATTTTCTTAAAAAGAACTGGAGAAGGGTTACAAAGTTTATACTTCATTGTAAACTGTAACATTTGAAAATGACCTTCACCCATCCTGATATCCATACACATGTTGGATATTGAAGGAATATAACTATTACTGTATATTAACCTATATCAGTCAAGACTTGAACTGCTCCTTTGTACAATATGCTTATGATACATCTTACATGTACTATTTTTTCTATATATATATACATCTAATGTTATATATGGCTATGTTATATTTAGAGCAATATAACTACATGTAATTAAGAAAAGTCATTTCTATCTGAACTGAAAAGAAAATTCAGTGTACATATACAAAATATTAGTTTGTAATTTGCTTTGCAAAGTCTAATGCTTTATAGAATACTTTGCATTTCTCGATGGAGCATAAAAATATATAAATGATATATAATATATATATATATATATCATACCATGAATATGTCAATTCTTATAAACTGATGATACAAAAGCATCAATATAGCAATTCTATTTCAAGTTCATTAAGTCTAGAAAGATCACCATTTTCAATTTTCATTTCCATCAAGGATTTCAATAATACAGATGCATAGATGCAATATTATCATTTGATTATCATTATAGAAACTTTATAAATTCTACATAAATTCATGTAATACTGCTTTCTTCAGTATTTGCTATCTGACACGAAAAATGTGTAGGAGATTAGTCCCCTAAACATTATATACAATTGTTTACAGAGATATGACTTAGCCTATAACAAGGCAACACTTAGTCACATTAAAATTAGTGATGCACATATCTAATGTACGTTATAGTATTCCTTTTATAAAAAGGAAAATATGTCAGATATTTCATGTCCAACATCAAAGCAAAATTTGCATGTTGAGAGAAAAATCTTCCTGTTTTGTATAGTTCTTTATCATTCATTGCTGCTACCATTTGCAATTTAATAAATATATATATTAACATATCATATCTAGTATCATTACTGAGATTGTAAAGCACAATTTGTCTTATCAAAATAAGCACATTTATACAATATTTTCTGCAAGTCAAAATAGGACTTTTGGAAAGAATCTTCCTTCCTTTGCAGAATCTAAATAGTTTTTATAGTTGAATCTCAAACTATATTTTACAGTAAAAAGTTGTTTACTATTACTGATACCTTGTAGACAACAAGATCAAGATCTACAATTGTGTTCTGATTAATGAGAACAATAACTATGAACTATTTCTCGCGAAAAGAGTAACTGTTTACCTATTCTAAGGCTTTGTTTGTTATATTCATAATTAATGTTATAACAATGCCAAGATTTAAGACTGAAAAACTGTATTGTCTTATTTCAACTATATGAGGATATCTTTAATAAAGATATGGTAATAAATGTACATGAATGTATCATTTTACAAGTGTCAAATAATTTTATTCATAATATGAAATCTACATTGATGAATTTCAAGGCAATGATAAAACCATCCAATGGAAATTATTTTTATTTCCTTCCACACTATGCATACATATATGGAAAATTTTAACGACCTTGACTGACTATACAGCCCTTGCATGGTCGGTAACACTATGCATGTTATGTCAACATCATAAAAACTATCCTTGAAAAAAGGAATTTACATCTGACCAATGCAGGTCAATCATATAATTTTTTCAGAAGATCCTATGATCTTTCTTTTTTAATATTTGATATCAACTAGTATGTTTTGATATGTTGGCATCACACTTCTCACAATTTGCAACATTATTATCATATTGTACTTATTCTTTTTCAAAAGCAAAGAACTCATGTTAACAATGAGCAATGCTCCTCTGCTTTAATTTTTGCCAAGATAAAGATATAAAATCTTAAATCATAGTAAAAGACATGAGATTAACTTCATGTACAGAATTATGCAACAAAAGTTTGCATTTTTAAACACTGCATTGTTGCAGATTTGTCAAACAATAATAATTGTTTTACTATTATTTTCTACAGTATGTTTCTACCTAATCAATTGTTTGTTAGTGGCATGTTAAATGCTCTACAAGGAACTATTCATTAAATGCTAATGTTCCCCCTTCGACCTATTTCTGGTCATGTTTGCCGTGATATTCCACTGGCCTCTCAATATTCAGATATTTTAAATATCAGTCACATAATATTATTTCTGTAAATGTTTCAACTGTAACACAGTTTTATTATCTCACTAAGAACTTATTTTGAAGCCTTAAATGGCTTTGTATATTACAGATATACATATTCTGTACATATTCTTGATAGTTTCAACAATATTGTAAGTTCATTCTGAACTGTTGTCACATTTATGATACACCAAGGACTTATAAAAGTCTCTAGGCTCATTAATTGCTTTGGACAAATAAGCTTTTAAAAAATAGCTATTTGAACATTATTTGATATAACATATCTTTCGCAAAGGTTTACAGATACCTTAGATTGGAAGTGGCACATAATGCCTTCCCTATTATCACTAACTTTGTCTATTTATAGTAACACACATACAGGTGTACATATCGACAAGTAGTCTAGCATAATATTCCAATGCACTACATTACAGTTTCTTATATTGGAATAAGAAATGTTTTTTAATCACAACATTTTGTGATAATAAAATCTCAAGTATATTTGCTATATTTTCTATAAATTATACGTCACTACGTGGGTACATTATAGCAAGAATGTACTAGTACACCTTCGTACATTTTGCACTTACCTTGAAAATAAAGAAAGACATTCTACTCATATACTTCTGTATAGAGTTTCATTCGTGTTAAAATAACTACGATAATGTATCAATTTATTTAGACGAAAAAATGTCAAAATTATTAAAAAGTGAACGTTCGGTCCACCATTGATTACGTGATAAGCACCTGTGTGTTACACACCACAGTACACGTGTATTTTTAGAACAAGGATTAGAAAAAAGAACAACGATAAAATACATTGTATTTAACAAACTTGGATAATAAGTTCTCACGATAACTAATGTTTATAAAACATTTTTTACTGGAACGACGTTCTCAGTTTTACAAAATCTTAAAATTCTGGACGTCGTCACAGATTATAACGAGTTAGACACCTCCCTGCTCGAAAAATAATATGATTGGCACAGGTAATAGCCGCAGTATTTATAGCTAGGTATAGCTACGTCATACCCATAGGTCAAGGATTTTGACCTCTTTTAAATGAGATGCCTCGTTGTACATCGGCAAATGAATGCTATAGTAACATCCTCGAAGAGCCAAGGAGCGTAATTAGTAGAATTATTTAATTAACTATATACCATATACTTTTATTTCTCATATTAAATCATTATTCTTCAGAAATTGTTATCAATATTACATCTTTTAATACATAAGCAAATATGAACCCCCATTCAGCATGTTAACAGGTTGGCACCTACAAGTGATTTTCTGTAAATTCCATATGATTTATATAAATGACAAAATGTTCTTGACGATGCATTTTAGGCAATAAACATTTTTAAAGAGCAGAAATACTTGGAACTGTTTGTCTTTAACTGTAAGCTGTAAAATTACAATAAAAAGGAAAGCATGTACACAAAAAATTTTTAAATCTTTAAATATGGGAGAATTTAAAAGACAAAACTCCATGTAACCTTACCAATTCTGAAACTAAATGGTCAATTATAGTTAGTTATTAAAAGTTATAAAATAAGACTTTGAGATTTCTAATTAAAGCAGAGTTAGTTAATCACATGGAAATATTCAGAGATTCAATACAGTAAATTCAGAAATTATTGCGAGGTTTTTATTAATGTGAATAATGCGACTGGGTGAATATCGCAATAATAAGAACTCGCATTCTGATATTGGACACAAATATATGCATGAGGCTTTTCCTGAAATCACAATAATTAATCTCGCATTTTTGTTCAGTCTTCACAAATCGCAATTATAAATGCACATAATAATTTCTGAATTTACAGTATTTCAATGTCATTATATCTGTGCCATTAACTGTGATGCTGAATTATTACAACTACCGTATTATCAAGGCTTTCATACAGACAAAATTGATGTTATTACAAAGCAAACAAAGCTCCCAATCAGAAACCATCAATTCATATTGTATTTTGGTTGTTGTCTCTTTGAAATATACCCCACGTTGCCTTTTATTCATAGATAACTATTGAATAGCAGCAGCCATTATGGTCAACCTACCTACATGTTTTTTTCAAATATTACTAATTAAAAACAGAAGGATATTGGTCATCATATATCTATAATATTTAGTTGTTGATACTGCTGTTCTAAATATCTTATAAAGATGCTTCAATACATCACATACCCTATATCAAATGTTCTTATAAGGCTCTAAATGAGCTATTCAGTTGGAATTGGATTTTACATTGTATCCTTTCCATTTCAAACTTCTTGCAGAAAGTCAAGGATTATACCTTTCATTTCCAAATTAATTTGAGGAGGAGTAAAGTAAATACACATTACATATACCTTATAATCCCCTATGGAACAATCATAACCAGCAGACACTAAAACTAAGTCTGGACAAAACTGTTAATGAATAAGAATTAACTGAATTAATTAAAACTTAGTATAAATAGATAAGTAAGGAATTTCCAATAGCACACAACATTTTTCTATAGTGTACTCAGTACATTTAATTCAACATGTTCTTTCTCTTTTGAAAATTAAAATTTAAGTATTGTAAATGCAGAGATGTTTCTATATTGCTATAATTGCAACAGGACAGTTGTTGTAAAAAAATGATGCTATCAAAAATGAAAATTTTGATAGCATCATTTGTATGCAGCATTTCATGAAATCTCAATAATTGATCTGGCACTTTTGTCAGTTATTAAACAGTCACAATAATAAATACAACCAAAAATTTCTGAATTTACAATAGTTATTTGCCGTGGTAAACAAAGTGATTTAAAAGTAAGTTTCCCTCTGCAAATTACTAATTAAATCTAATAAAATGTTGTGTACTATGGATACTACGACATTAAAGCTGTAAAGAAATCTATGATGTTACTAAAGAAAGAACTTACTAGAAACCAACATACTTTCAAATATACTGAACAAAAACAGTTACGGATCATTTCAATTTAAAATAATGTGACAATATTTTCATAATGTTACAAATGAAGAACCTTTCAGTCAATAGACCCATTCTATATTATCTGCATTTCTGCACTAAAGGATGGCAAAGAAATACAAATTCCTGTGAAATGATGTTCAAGATCAATCAGATGCAATCATTCAAAAACAAATTTAAGGATGTTCGTTGATCTTGTTTTTCACTTTATGTCAGATATTGGAAATCCTCTGGTTTTATCCATGTAGTCCTATTAAAAATTTTGCCCGCTTACACCTACTTTACTTTTCATCCAAATTTACTTAAAGTTTAAAAAGTCATTTTTAAAATCTTATAAAATCCTTTTTATTTTTTAAAGAAAAAAGGTGCCAATGTTAAATGTATGAAAAATCTAGAGAACCATTTCCCGCCAAAATTTCAATGACTTTTATTTCAAAAACAAGGAGACAGACCTCTTATTCTTTTATAAATGTACTATCAATTTATAACTGATTTTTTGAAAAGCTTGATATTTTAAGCAGAGCAGTGAACATCCTTAAGAAGGATTCTCTTAGAATATATATAATTTTGCCAATCAGATGTGAAGGAATGCAGGTAACATGAAAAATATTGTTATTTTACTTAGTAGGAGGTTATCTTCCTTGTAAATAAAATTCAAATTTCCGAGAGCATTGCCCAAGGCTATTATGACTTTTTCAAGGTGAAAAAATCTTCATTGTCATCTTTTTATTTCCAGATTGTATTTTTAAGAAAATTGTCAACAGAAAGAACATCAATTTTTTTCATAAGTCATTGTCATCTTTTTTCAGTTTGCATGTTTAAGAAAATTCAAATTTCCAAGGACATTGCCCAAGGCTATTATAATTTTTCAAGGTGAAAAAAATCTTCATTGTCATCTTTTTTTTTTCAGTTTGTATTTTTAAGAAAATTGTCAACAGAAAGAACATCAATTTTTTTCATAAGTCATTGCCATCTTTTTTTAGTTTGCATGTGTAAGAAAATTTAATTTTCCAAGGACATTACCAAAGGCTATTATGATTTTTCGAGAGTGAAAAAATCTTAAGTGCTATCTTTTTTCAGCTTGCATGTTTAAGAAAATTGTCAACTGTTTAAAAACAAATTTTTTTCATAAGTCATTGTCATCTTTTTTCAGTTTGCATTTTTAAGAAAATTTAGTTTTCCAAGGACATTATCCAAGGCTATTATGACTTTTCTAGAGTGAAAAATCTTAAGTGCTATTTTTTTTTAGTTTGCAAATTGTCAACAATAAGAAAATCATTTTTTTCATCAGTCATTGTCATTGTCATCTTTTTTCATTTTGCATGTTAAAAAAATTGTTAACTGTTTGAAAATCAATTTTTTTCATAAGTCAATGTCTTTTTTTTTCAGTGTTCATGTTTCAGAAATTTGTCAACAATTAGAAAATCAATTTTTTTCATAAAAATTTTTATAGATGTGTTATACTGGATTACTTTAATGTTATTAAAATGGAAAAACTATTGATAATCCTTAATTCTTTTTGTTCAATGTATATTTTCTTTTTTTTATTATCTAAATCTATTTACAATTTTAAGAAATTATCAGTAAGAATTTTTCAAACATGCAAAAAGCAGAAATAAAAACAAAAAATATACAAGTGATCTTGGTTTCCAGTAATGTGACATGCTGAAACAAAATATATGTTACAGAAACTGTACAGAGATCAATATCACACAAGCACAGTATAAAAATATACCACAATATACTGGTACCTCAGGACATCCTATTGCACAATCATATCCTGCTGACACTAAAATAAGGTCTGGACAAAACTGAAAACACATTCACATGATTACTTCTTACACAGAATTATACTTATAGTCAATGGCCAATAAAACAACAGTTACAGTTTGTGTTGCTTAGTCTTTAGTTTTCTATGTAGTGTTTTGTGTACTGTTGTTTGCCTTTTGGTTCTTTTTTGTTTTTTGCCATGGCATGGTCATATAAAAATAAGGGCATTTCTTTTTCTACTTATGAGTTTGATTATCTCTTTTGTATCTTTCCCCTCTCTATTACAATTTAAATCATTGGGTTTTTTTTAATCTTAAAGCTTATAATGCTTTTCGACATGATTTCAATAAAAAGGATTCCTTAAAAGGGATTCAGCCTTTCATTAGTTTCATTTGGATTAGTTGGAGGTTCAAATATTTACTTCACCTTTCTTTTGTCAAAAGTCAGTGGAACATCTTAAACTAAAGCATAATACAAAATATACTGTTTTGTTATTAATATGTGTACTAGCTCAACAATTTGAAAGGACTCTCAACAAAAAATTGCTAAATGTATGGTGTACTTATAGAACTATTCCGATTGTTCTATTTAGTTATGTGCCTGTACTTTGTCAGTGCATGTAACTGCATCTTCATACAGTTTACAGTCATAAATTAAAGATCTTCTATAGTGTCTGTTTAATCAATACACATCATGCCTGTGCCTTGCCACAAAGACCTCACATGGTGTGAGTACTTGCTCAACTTTGAATGCATATGGAGACCAGTAAATGCTCATGTTGGGTTACTGTGTGTTGTTTGGTAACTTATGGTTTAATTTGGGCTTTACTATATCTGTATTATTTATTTTAGGTGTTCACTCTTGTTTGCTGCTCATGTCTTTGTATCTCCAGATGTTCATTTCTAGTTGCTGTTTTTGAATTGAGTATCTAGAGATTGTTATTTTCAGTTGTTATATCTGTGCTTGGTATGTGCAAATGTTCATTTTGGGTTTCTGTTAGTGTGTATGTATCTCTCTAATTGATGTTTACCAAATACGTCTGTATATTGATTTCTTCATTTCAAAACTCACACGTTTGAAACAACTGTCTTAAAGATTTAACCTCACGTTATGAAACGACTAAGACATTCATTTCTGTAAAATAGACTCAAATATCTAACACCATTTACCTCATATGCTACTGGTAACAACACCTGGTGGAACACTGCTAAGTAGTCCTTGTCAGTCATACCCGTCTTTATTAATGAAGAAATAAATAAACTCAAAATTACAAAAAATAACTCAAGAATGCCGAAAGTGACGCCCCCCCCCAAATTCGAACTTGATCTGTGTTTGGTGATAATAAGCATTGTGTTTAATTTTATAACATTTGGTTGATGCAAACTAAAGTTAGAGTGGGTAAACGGCAAATTTAGCAATTTTTCCATTTATAAAGGGACATAACCTAGGAAATAGTGAAAGTGACGCCACCCAAATTTAAACTTGATCTGTGTTTGGTGGTAATAAGCATTGTGTATAAGTTTCATAACATTTGGTTGAGGCAAACCAATTTTGGGACATACAGACAGACGAATGGATGTATGAACGCACAGACATACTGACGAACAAGGGTAAAACTTAATGCATAAAAAAGAACTGTATATCAATAAATATCTATCAATGATTTGCATATATCTCAAGTATTCAAGTATAAATACAACCTTTGCTTTCAAATGCTTGGGTTTGACTGTTCCTGATTTAGGTAAATCCAGAGAAGCGCATCATTTAAGAATTGAATGCTTCTTTTTGTAAATTTATTGTGGTGTAAAAGCGTTGGCCCAAGTACATTTTGTATGAAGTGCGGAAGCGCCTCATTCTAAAAATGGTTCTCCTTTATGTAAATTTATTGTGGTTTAAAAGCGTTGGCCCAAGTACATTTTGTATGAAGTGCGGAAGCGCCTCATTCTAAAAATGGTGCTTCTTTTTGTAAATTTATTGTGGTTTAAAAGTGTTGGCCCAAGTACATTTTGTATGAAGTGCGGAAGCGCCTCATTCTAAAAATGTGCGCACGGTCAACGCTGTTACAACCCTATAAAATTACTAATAGAAGCATTCAATACTTATAATTACATTTTTTTGCTAGGATCATGAAAACACGATTTCTTTCAAGTTTTCTTTTATTTACCTGTGCACTTTATTGGGGAAGCTCGTGTCATCATGAATGTTACATTTCATTTTGAAATGAAGGTTAACTTCAGAATGACGCGAGATTGCTGTTAGCCAATCAAAAGAACGTATTATAATGAAACATACATGTAATGTAATTATTGTAAAGTGTTATTCAAATTAAATTTTCAATCACTGGTTTAAAACCCCTGCTGTTGTACTGTTAGTTACTAACTGTATCATCAGCTCAGCAGTCACGGCTTCTGCACTGACATGATTAATTACATACTTTTCTTAAATTCTCAGTCAATGAATTTAAAAGTTCCATTTCTCTCAGGCAAGGTTGACATTTGATGGATTATTTCGTTTGAGTGTTCCTGATGAAGGCAACTCCAGAAAAATAATTTAGGACACATCAAATTTATAAAGTGTTATGTTTATTGCAATAATAAATTTTAACAACTACCATAACAAGTGAAACTGCAAGCTACTGCTCACTGATGATACCCCCGCCGCAAGTGGATAATTTTAATAGTGTAAAAATATGTAAGTGTTCGGAAAACAGGAAGTTGTTCAGTGATGAATCTGAAAACACATCACACGGTATAGCTGACTTATATAAACCCTGAAACCAAATTTCAGAAATCCTTGTATTGTAGTTCCTGAGAAAAATGTGACGAAAATTTTCAACTTGGCTATCATGTGTAAATTGATACAAGTGTTCGGTAATCAGGAAGTTGTTGAGTGATGAATCTGAAAACGCATCACACGGTATAGTTGACTCATACAGACAGAGATAAAACAGTGTAGCGGGGGTGTAATTATCCATCTATAAGCACCCAGAAAATTGCGTTATCAGGAAAGGATAATATACAGATTTACTGGGTCCAGGTTCAGTGCCAGAGGATATTTCAAGCTATAAAGTTTTTGTTTAGCTTGGCTAGGAAAAATATTTTTATGCCTGAAAACAGTACCTTCATCTAATTTGGGAAATATAACTAAATATAAATTGTCCATGAAACATAGAATGGTAAATTTATAACAATATGGAACTCGCTGTTCTCAAAAGACATCATTTAAATGCATATCTCAGTAAAAATATATTACAGCATTCAATACAAATGGATGTCAAACAGATTTTACCATTAGAGCACAAAGTATACTTGTTAATCTTACTTGATTTAACGGAACATTTATGTTAAATCCTAAGCCCTTGTCTTTTCCTATGAAATCATAATCAGATTCTCTGAGGTTTGGCCAATAATTTCCATACTCGTAGCGATGGATTGAAAAATACAGTACTCTGAAAGAAAACATTCATATAATTTGTGCTTTTCATATTTGGAATTGGTATTTGGTATTGTGGCATTATAATTCCGATATACTTTATTTCTCTTTTTGATAAATACATATTACTAAACCTCATTACTGTAACTTAACATTTTTGGTGTACCAGTCATTTAACTTAAAAGTTAAAAGGGAAAAGCTTGCCAAACAATTAAAAAAAAATTTATCAATTGGTGAAGATTTACTGAAAATGAGTTATGCAAGGGTTTTTACTACTAATCTTCTTACAAATGATTGGATTCATGAATAGAATAAGGAAACTAAATGCAGTTTATGTTTGTGTAATATAAAAAGTTGCAACACGGAATTAACAAACCATTTAAGCTGGACTTGAAGTGCAGTTTACGTTGGAGTTAATTACAGACAAATAAATGTCTTACACTAGGCTAAGATGCATATAGATTCATCACTGCATCGAGTGTGATACGAAATTTCTCCACTTGAGACAGTTAACTTTTCAAATTCAAACACAAGGCTTAACGAGCTTTTTTTAATATTCAATACATAACTGTTGTGAATGGAGAAATATCCTATTGCTAGAGATTCAGCGGTGGAATTTGATTCTCTAATAATTCTTAGACAAATATGAAGCCAAATTTTATGTATGTCGATGATCTGCAAATCATATGTTCTTTCTATGTGTTGTCATCAGACATGGTTGCCTTTTTTGTGACATCATAATAGCAAATTCAGAAGAAAGCAAGAAAAATTGATGTCACAAAAGATTTTTTACCAATGAAAACCTGAGATCAAATGAACCACACATAAATTATAAAAAATAAATCAACCTGTCTAGGAAAGTACAAATAGGTGAAGAACTTGAGAAATCTGCAAATAGAACCAAAAATAAAGATAAAAATTCGTAAGGGTTCCGCGGAACCCAGTGTCTCGCCTACTTTTGCTGTTAATCGCAGGCTCAACAAAAATGAGGAAAAAAATTAATAAAAATATTCCCTCTCTATACTATCTTTTGATTGTAAGTAGCTTCTGTCCAAGTTTGGTAAAAATCCAGGATAGTTTATGAATCTAATAAATGTTTTAAAAACTTAAACTGCAGACTGTATGTAATGTTAACTGGAAGAAAAACTTAATCCATTTATAAGTAAAATACGGAAAAATTGGAATTTTTTTTTTATCCAAAATTTCCTTCTAGATACTAGCTTTTAATCATAAACAAGCTTCTGTCCAAGTTTGGTACAAATCCAGGATAGTTTAGGAATTTTTTAAAAACTTTAACCACAGAGTGAATGTAATGTTAACTGGCAGAAAAACTAAGTCCATATTTAAGTAAAATACAGAAAAAATGGAATTTTTTTTTTCCAAAATTTACTTCTGGATACTATCTTATGATCATAAACAAGCTTCTTTCCAAGTTTGGTAGTAATCCAGGACAGTTTAAGAAAGTTATTAAAATTTCAAAAACTTTAACCACAGAGTGAATGTAATGTTTCCTGGTAGAAAAACTAAGTCCATTTATAAGTAAAATACGGAAAAAAATGGATTTTTTTTTTACAAAATTTACTTTTGAATATTATCTTATGATCATAAACAATTTTATCACTTGGCTAAAAAACTGATTTGCAAAGTCTTTGGTGATGGTTTGAAAGAAGCATTTAATTTCCTATGCTTTACGTTTTATTTCTGAAAACTAACATGAATAACATTGTGTCAGAATTAACGGCTTGGTAAACATTCAATTCTTAACATTTCAAATTACAAGTTACTAAAGTTGTTTACTTAGAACTAACACCTTTTACAGCCTAAATGAACGTGAACAACATACTTTATTGCTTTCAAATTATTTCAATAATTCTCACAAGCTGCGATTACAACCTTTCAGATACGACATTTAGTGAATTTGATGAGGCTTTTAATGTTTAAGACCCTGATCATGACCTACAGTAAATGCCAGGAGGTTTTAATGTCAAAGACGATAAAAACATAAACTAGCAATATGTGACCCTCAATGACATTTCCAGGCTTATGGAGGTAAAATGTCATTGTGAGAACTAATAATGTTACGTCAAGAAAAGCATGAGGCAATTGTGAGAAAAATGTTGTTAACTAATAATGTTACGTCAAGTAAAGCATGAGGCAATTGTGAGAAAAACACTGTTAACTAATAACGTTACGTCAAGTAAAGCATGAGGCAATTGTGAGAAAACATTGTTAACTAATATCGTTACATCAAGTAAAGCATGAGGCAATTGTGAGAAAAACACTGTTAACTAATAACGTTACGTCAAGTAAAGCATGAGGCATTTGTGAGAAAAACATTGTTAACAAATAATTTAATTTTGGATGTAACGCGTCTTCCGATTGGCTGACGTTGTTTTGTTTATCAGCTCATAGACATAATTTTGTCATGTGACCTTGACGTCATCAACGTTTTTTCATAATTTACTCCGGTTTAAAATGGAATTAAGAATTAAATTATAAGAAATGACTGTAATATTTTTAATGTCTATTCGAAATAACATAAATAAAATGCTCCGCAGGGCGCAGCTTGATACGACCGCAGAGGTCGAACCCTGAACAGTTGGGGGAAGTATGGACACAACATTCAAGCTTGATACAGCTTTGGATTTGGATTGTGATTAAATATTTGACACAGCATAGGTTTCTAACACAGATTGAATGTGGTCTAAGAACTTAAAAATTTTAAATTGGACATTCACCTATTATGGTCCAATATCCAAAATCTAAATACATGGTTAGATTCAGCATATCAAAGAACCCCAAGAATTCAATTTTTGATGAAATCAAACAAAGTTTAATTTTGGACCCTTTTGACCTCAATGTGGACAAAGTTGATAACGGGGCCCAAAAATCAAAAATCTAAATACATGGTTAGATTCAGCATATCAAAGAACCCCATATATTCAATTTTTGTTGAAATCAAACAAAGTTTAATTTTGGACCCCGATTTGGACCAACTTGAAAACTGGGCCCATAATCAAAAATCTAAATACATGTTTAGATTCAGCATATCAAAGAACCCTAAGAATTCAATTTTTGTTAAAATCAAACTAAGTTTAATTTTGGACCCTTTGGACCTTAATGTAGACCAATTTGAAAACGGAACCAAAAATTAAGAATCTAAATACACGGTTAGATTCGGCATATCAAAGAACCCCAATAATTCAATTTTTGATGAAATCAAACAAAGTTTAATTTTGGACCCTTTTGACCTCAATGTGGACAAAGTTGATAACGGGGCCCAAAAATCAAAAATCTAAATACATGGTTAGATTCAGCATATCAAAGAACCCCATATATTCAATTTTTGTTGAAATCAAACAAAGTTTAATTTTGGACCCCGATTTGGACCAACTTGAAAACTGGGCCCATAATCAAAAATCTAAATACATGTTTAGATTCAGCATATCAAAGAACCCTAAGAATTCAATTTTTGTTAAAATCAAACTAAGTTTAATTTTGGACCCTTTGGACCTTAATGTAGACCAATTTGAAAACGGAACCAAAATTTAAGAATCTAAATACACAGTTAGATTCGGCATATCAAAGAACCCCAATAATTCAATTTTTGATGAAATCAAACAAAGTTTAATTTTGGACCCTTTGGACCTCAATGTGGACCAATTTAAAAACGGGGCCCAAAATCCAAAAACTAAATACACGGTTAGATTCAGCATATTAAAGAACCCCATGAAATCAAGAATAAAACCCCATTGAAATTGGTCAAGAAATAAGCAATTTATAGGAAGTATCTTCTTTTGCACAATCCTGTGCTATTAAATATTTCTTGCTATTGCGCAATACTGTACAATTGACAATTTCTTGCTATTGCGCAATATTGTGCTATTGGATATTTCTTGCTATTGCGCAATACTGTGCAATTGAAGATTTCTTGCTATTGCGCAATACTGTGCAATTGAAGATTTCTTGCTATTGTGCAATACTGTGCAATTGAAAATTTCTTGCTATTGCACAATACTTATTATATAATAATTTACACATCCTGTTTGGTGTCTATCTCCTACCATATCATTATTATTTGATTTTAAATATAAATCAGAAATAACCAACTTAAAATGGAAAATTTTAAAAGAAACAAAAAAGGAAAAAAATAAAAAAAAGGAAAAAAAAATAAATCCCCCCCCCCAAATTTTTTGAACCCCCATTATGATTCATCACCCCCAAACTCAATCCCAGCCTTCCCTTTGTGGTATGGTACCTTGCAGTACAATTTCAGAGAGATCCATACACTTGAACACAAGTTATTGTCTGGAAACTAGAAAAAAATGTGTTTTTTGGCCCCTTTTTGGCCCCAAATTCCTAAACGTTTAGGGCAATTACCCCCAAACTCAAACCCAGCTTTCCCTTTGTGATATGGAACCTTGTAGTACAATTTCAGAAAGATCCATACACTAACACACAAGTTATTGTCATGAAACTAGAAAAATGCTTGTTTTTTGCCCCTTTTTTGGCCCCTAATTCCTAAAATTTGGAGGCAATTACCCCCAAAATCAATCCCAGCATTCCTTTAGTGATATGGAAGCTTGTGGTACAATGTCAGAGAGATCCATACACTAACACACAAGTTATGTCTGGAAGTTACAAAAATGCTTATTTTTGGCCCCTTTTTGGCCCCTAATTCCTTTACTGTTATTACCATAACCCCCAAAATCAATCCCAACCTTCCTTTTGTGGTATTGAACCTTGTGGTAAAATTTCATAAAGATCAATTCACTTAAACTAAAGTTAGAGTGCGAAAACCAATGTGTCTTCGGACGACGCCGGACGACGACGACGACGACGACGACGCCGGACGACGACGACGACGACGACGCCAACGTCATACCAATATACGACCACAAAAATTTTTTTGCCGTCGTATAAAAATGTGGTGCACCACATTTTTGATGTTATTTCTTCATAGACAGAAAAAATATTTTAGTCATTCCTTAAATAACGTTACGTCAAGTAAAGCATGAGGCAATTGTGAGAAAAACACTGTTAACTATAACGTTACATCAAATAAAGCATGCGGTCATTTAGAGAAAAACATTGTTAACTAATAATGTTATGTTAAAACATCCACAAGTTTAATAGATTGGTATGTACATGTAGACAGGAAATGTCTCTTCAGTAATGATCGACGCCAACATATTTAAAATTAAAAACTTATTCAAAATCAAAGAGCTGTTAACTTAAGGGTTCAAATGCAAAATTACAATGATACCTGAGTTTTTCATAATGCTTATAATAATAAAAATTCGTAAGGGTTCCGCGGAACCCAGTGTCTCGCCTACTTTTGCTGTTAATCGCAGGCTCAACAAAAATGAGGAAAAAAATTAATAAAAATATTCCTCTCTATACTATCTTTTGATTGTAAGTAGCTTCTGTCCAAGTTTGGTAAAAATCCAGGATAATTTATGAATCTAATAAATGTTTTAAAAACTTAAACTGCAGAATGTATGTAATGTTGACTGGAAGAAAAACTAAGTCCATTTATAAGTAAAATACGAAAAAAATGGAACAAAATTTTATCAAAATTTCCTTCTAGATACTAGCTTTTGATCATAAACAAGCTTCTGTCCAAGTTTGGTACAAATCCAGGATAGTTTAAGAAAGTTGTTAAAATTTTAAAAACTTTAACCACAGAGTGAATGTAATGTTAACTGGCAGAAAAACTAAGTCCATTTATAAGTAAAATACGGAAAAAATGGAATTTTTTTTTTACAAAATTTACTTCTGGATACTTACTATCTTATGATCATAAACAAGCTTCTTTCCAAGTTTGGTACAAATCCAGGATAGTTTAAGAAAGTTATTAAAATTTCAAAAACTTTAACCACAGAGTAAATGTAATGTTTCCTGGCAGAAAAACTAAGTCCACTTATAAGTTAAATACGGAAAAAATGGAATTTTTTTTTTACAAAATTTACTTTTGAATATAATCTAATGATCATAAACAAGCTTCTGTCCAAGTTTGGTAGAAATCCAGGATAGTTTAAGAAAGTTATTAAAATTTCAAAAACTTTAACCACAGAGTGAATATTTGTGGACGCCGCCGACGACGACGCCGACGGAATGTAGGATCGCTATGTCTTGCTTTTTCGACAAAAGTCGAAGGCTCGACAAAAATGGCATTGGACATAACTACAAAAGTTAAACATTTAAGCAATCACAATGATCATTATTAAATTCTATATTTTTGCATTTTATTCCTATCTCTACTTTGGAAATATCATTTTGACCTTTTGACACTGTTTTAGACTCCCTTTGCAGAAAAGTAAATTAGACTTTGTGCTTTAAGCTATTTTCAAATTTAATACCAATATGATGAATAAAACAAAACATACATCATAGAGACCACAAGCCGAAGACACAGAAAACTAAAAGTAATCTTTTAATTAGTACATTGATTTTAACGAAAAATAACAGAGAAATGTGCTTTCCCTAGTAAACACCTAGTAAATCCTGCAAAGTTGATGGTTACCAAATAAATACTGTCATTTGTTGGCCATAACTGCTATAATATTTTGAAATAATGTAAATATTATCTATTGGAAATTCATAAGAAGCTGATGAAATACTTTATAAATAAAAAAAAATTGAGAATATATTGATGTTGGCTATTAAATTGGCAATCCACAAAATGACTTGAAAAACCTTTCTTTAAAGAATCTGTCAAAATAACTTGACTGGGTATTTACTTTCAGTCTGTACTTGCTAAATATGTGATAATAAAATTGAGAATGGAAATGGGGAATGTGTTAAAGAGACAACATCCCCACCATAGAGCAGACAACAGCCAAAGGCCACCAATGGGTCTTCAATGCAGCAAGAAACTCCCGCACCCGGAGGCGTCCTTCAGCTGGCCCCTTAACAAATATGTATACTAGTTCAGTGATAATGGACGTCATACTAAACTCCAAATTATACACAAGAAACTAAAATTAAAAATGATACAAGACTAACAAAGGCCAGAGGCTCCTGACTTGGGACAGGCGCAAAAATGCGGCGGGGTTAAACATGTTTTTTGAGATCTCAACCCTCCCCTTATACCTCTAGCCAATGTAGAAAAAACAAACGTACAACAGTACGCACAGTAAAACTCAGTTTAAGAGAAGTCCGAGTCCGATGTCAGAATATGAAACAAAAGAAAATAAACAAAATGACAATAATACATAAATAACAACAGACTACTAGCAGTTACTGACATGCCAGCTCCAGACCTCAATTAAACTGATTGAAAGATTATGTCTTCATCATATGGATATCAGGCACAATCCCTCCTGTTAGGGGTTTAGTATTATACCATCATCAAATATATGAGAAGAACATAACCCGTGTCATGCCAACAACTGGTTTTAGAATAAATATGTTTAATTCCGATGCAAAGACCCTATAAGTGAATCAATATTAAAGCCAAAATATGCAATCTTTAATGACCTGACAACAGTATCGTAACTATATCCCTTCTTAATAAGTCTGTTTAAAGGTTTTGTTAGCTTTTGAGGTGAATACTGACATTTTTGTGCTTTGTAAAGAATATTACCATAAAAGATTGGATGTGAAATACCCGAACGTATAAGATGTCTGCATGTTGAGTAATATTTACGAATGATGTCCTTATACCGATGATAAAATTTAGTAAAACCCTGGTGTAATTATTTTTTTTAGTAATACATAAATTTCTCTCGCTAAAATCTAATACGTTGTTACATACACGAGCGAATCGTACAAGTTGAGATATATAAACACCATAAGATGGTGACAAGGGAACGTCACCATCTAAAAATGTATAATAAACGATAGGAAATGAAAAATCATCTCTTTTATCATAAATTTTTGTATTAAGCTTCCCGTTAATGATATAGATATCAAGATCGAGGAAAGGACAGTGATCATTGTTAGTATTAGCTTTATTCAAAGTAAGTTCAACAGGATAAATTTCTTTAGTATACATACTGAAGTCGTCATTATTGAGAGCCAATATATCATCCAAATATCTAAAAGTATTGTTAAATTTTTGTATCAGATGTTGTTTCGATGGGTCTTTGCTGATTTTAGTCATAAATTGTAACTCATAACAATACAAAAACAGGTCCGCAATAAGTGGTGCACAGTTAGACCCCATTGGAATTCCAATAACTTGACGATATACGGAATCTCCAAAGCGAACAAAAATGTTATCAAGTAAAAATTCAAGGGCAGATATAGTATCAAAGCATGTCCAATTGACATAGCTCTTTTGTTTGTTGCTACTAAAAAATGACCTAAAAGAGTTTGAACATATGTATTCGCATTCTGACTTTTTAAATGCCCATTTAATTAGGTTAGTGAATTTTTCCTTAATAAGAATATGAGGCAAATTGTATATAGGGTAGAAAACTCAAAACTTTGAACAGATTCAAAATCACCAATATATGCATGCAATTTATCAAGTACTTCCAACGAGTTTTTGACACTCCAAAAGTAGTTAATTCCACTATTTTCAAAGGCTTTAGTTGAATAATTTATTATCAGGTTTTTGATTGTACCAAGTGTACTAGTAAGTAGAATAGACAATTTAGTAGTGGAACAATGACTTGAAGACGAAATAAATCTATATTTGTAAGGTGATTTGTGTAGCTTCGGAAGCCAGTACATAGTTGGGACTTTCATTGTATTTGGTTCTGCTTGTAAAGAAGTAGCTAATAGTTTATGTTTGTTACAGATATCGTTTTCTGAAAATGAAGTCAGTTGGAATGTTGGTGAATTCGTGATTTCCTTTTGCAGAACCTCAATGTAAAATTTACGTCAAACTATAATGATATTATTAGCAGCTTTATCAAACCCATTTTAGCCTAAGTACCTCCATAAGCCTGGAAATCTATTGACTAGTCACATATTGTACATAAAAAATAATACCTTGGATCATCATAAAACATTTTTTGTGTTGCTTGACCATGATGAACATCCCAATCCACAATAAGTACCCTGAAAAAAAATAAAGAGGAAGCTGATGAGAGATGAATGAGGAAATGCATCATACAGTTTAGCATGCTAACATGAAATGACAATCCAGTATATCCCCTCTATTCAGAGGGAGGTAAAATTAATTTATATATTTATGGATTGTTGAAATGAAACTTTAAATAATAGTACATTGTATAACCATCATGGTTAAAACACAGAACTTACAGAAATCTGGACAGACCCACAGACAAACAAATGGACAAGGATGTATCTGTACTGACCCAGGCCACATTTGAGGAAAGACATAAAATTTATCACAATTAAAAACATCTCTATAATGTAATAAAAATATTCATTTACTACCGGTATATCTATCAATGGTAAAATGTTGTAAATTAATTCCCCTATAGGAATATACTTACTTTTTGACACCAAGATTGTCTACTGCATGTTTTGCTGCTATGGCGACATTGTTGAAAATACAGAATCCACATAATGCATCATTCATAGAATGGTGACCTGGAGGTCTGATAAAAGAAATGTGTATAATATATGATAGCAGAAATAACCACAACTTATGGGCAATATAACTGACCACACATCAACTACCAACACTTGACTCCTCTTAAATAATTACAGATATACAAACAAAGACAAATGACAAGTTTCCATGCAAAATCTAAATAGCCTTTACTTGTACAGGTACAAAATGTGTTGGGGTTAAACCAGTTTCCTGTATTTACATTACCTGAGGTCAATATGTAGGAAATATTCACTGAATTTGTCTTATTACTTAATACATAAGAAAGATACATATAGCTAAGACTTTTGTGAATATTATATTAAATTCTTACAAGATTTGTGCCATGTCATAACAAAGAAATGGTCAAAGTATCAAAATACTTATTCTATGATTTGCAAGAAGGAGGCATCAACGTCACTGGTTCATGAGAAGCAATTCGCAAAATCAAATGTCAAAACTAGCTTCTGGGCAACAAAGTGATTACCAGGGTTATGCAATGTTTTATTAATGCAAAATGTCAAAATAATATCATCTTTCATGAAGACTCTAATTATAAATGCATGCATTAAATCTTAAATTAACAGTAGCTCATAAATTTAACATATCATCATTTACTGGGTCGTTTAACTTGGACAAAAGTAGCCATTTCCCAATAAATACTTGCAATAAAAGCTAACTAGAAAGTCATTTATCGTTTCATTTTTTTTTAACAGCACTGTCCCAGGTTAGGGGAGGGTTGTGTGCCCAGCTAACATGTTTAATGCTGCCATATTCTGTATGTGTCTGTCCCAAGTCAGGAGACTGTAATTCAGTGGTTGTTGCTTGTTGCTATATATCAAAATTTTTTTCAGTTTATAATTTTCTACATAAATCAGGCTGTTATTTTTCTCATTTGAATTGTTTCACATTTGTCGTTTCAGGGTCTTTTATAGCATGCTGTTCAGTATTGGTTTTGCTCATTGTTGAAGGCCATTCTGTGACCTATAGTTGCTACTTCTATGTCATGCAGTCTCAGGTGGAGAGTTGTCTCATTGGCAATCATACCTCATCTTCTGATTTTAAAATGAAGCGTTTTTTTTTTATTTTTAAGCTTTTTCTGAGAAAAGCTCTTGTTAAGGTTTGAAATTGACAGTCGTGGGATTCCAAACCAATGTTTAAACGAAATAAACAAACTCATTTGGGCGTTTATTTGGAATGATAAAGTTAACCAAATAGATAGGAATGTTTGTTGCTTAGACACTAAAAAGGGGGGATGGGTATGATTAACATTTTTTCTTTTGTAAAAAGTAGACAAATAAAATGTTTATACAAGATCATTCACTCAGATGAAGAAACTTGGAATATTTTTGGGTAAAAACTGGTTAAAAAAATTTGATGTAACAATTAAAGAAGAGTATTTATTATGTAGATGCACAGATCTATCTAATTTTAGTCTATCATCAATTCCACCATTCTATATAAATGCCCTTAACTCTTTATCAGAACTAAGAAATATATATAAACCTTATACGAAGGAAGAAATACTGAAAACTCGACTTTTTTGTAACTATGATATTAAATTTACCATTCTTTGGTTCAAGGTAACTGCCATTTTTGCAAAAATCACATTGAAACACAAAATCATCTTTTCTATAATTGTAAAAAGATCTACCCATTAATATTAGAATTAAAAACTATATTCTCAAAAGTTCACTTGACACATGAATTAATTTTACAAGAGATAAATATGATCCTAGGTATTTATGACAGGCCTATGAAGGAAATTATATTTGGCAATATTCTAATATGCATAGCCAAATGGACAATATGGTTTGAAAACATCACTTGCAATACAAATAGAATTATTAGACAATTTTATTGTGAACTAAAAGAAAATATCATTTTACGTTTAAATCATTTACAAATTAAAGAACCAGATATCAATAATGATCTGGTACACTTATTAGATCAGATATGTAATAATTAGGTCAAGTGTGTACTTTTACTTTTTTAAGTTAACGTATCGATACATTCCATTAGAAAAAAGGTGATTTTGTTTACCTTATTACATTTCCATTGTTTATAAAAAAAAAATTAGAGCAATGTATATAACCTGATTAAAAACTTACCTTGTTGTAGACCGGTATCACTATTTATAGATCTGGTGTGATCAATTTAATGCATTATGTTGGGTGTGTTTGACTTGGTTTTAATTTTATCTAAGAAAACTACAATATGTAATTTTATCAGTGAAGTGGACATTTATCTCGCCTGTTTTCTCTGGACAGGAGTGAGAATGTAACACAGGAACCCTAAGTATGCTCTCCTGGGCTACTAAGGTAATTGTAACAGGATATTGGAAATAAATTGTATTTGAATCTAAAAAAAAAGATTGATTTTCTGATACTGCAAGTTGATTTGGGTTTTGATGCAGATCATTTGGATTCTGACATTTACATGTACCATGGAATTTGCTATACTGTGGATTCATTTATTTTCGTGGGTATCAATTTTCGTGGATAGAGAAAAAAAGAAGTTTCGTGGTATACGTAAATTCGTGGATCGCTGATTACAAAAAAAAAATCAGATATGTAATTCGTGGATTTCTTTTTGATTTAACCATATAACCTCCTTGGTTTGATCAATAATAAAACAAACAAAAAAGAATAATTTAATTTTGGATGTAACCCGTCTGCTGATTGGCTGACGTTGTTTTGTTTATCAGCTCATAGACATAATTTAGTCATGTAACCGTGACGTCATCAACGTTTTTTCATTGTTTACTCCGGTTTAAAATGGAATTTAGAATTAAATTATAAGAAATAACTGTAATATTTTATCTGTCTATTCGAAATAACATAAAAAATGTGATGCACACTTTAAAATAACCCGCTACGCGGGTTATTTAGTGTGCATCACATTTTTGATGTTATTTCTTCATAGACAGAAAAAATATTACAGTTATTCCTTAAAGGAATTCATTGAAAAAGTTTTGAATTGTCAAAATCCTTGCTTGGTCATTCTAGGTTAAAGTGTTCATTGAAAACTTCTATTACAATAATGGACAGAGACAACTAATTATTTGTTTGTTTTACAATTTATAAATTTTGGTGGAATTTTATAAGGCATTCAAAACTCTATGATTGAAAGCTCATTCCCTAATCACGATATAATAAACAGTCATATAAGTAAAAGGTGTGAAAATAAATGTTCCTGTCATAAACAATATTACCTACGGGCAATATGCCCGTACTTAATCCTATTGATTTTTAATCACCAGTAAACCAAACTATGACACGGTAATTAACAACCTGCAGTTATTTTCCATGAACAGTTTTAATCAATTTTAAAAAGTAAATTATCACTGATATTCGATATATTTATTATTGATTTAATCAAAATACTTGTATCTTCTTTCACTAAAACATGTGTTATGTTACAATGTTTATTGCTAGTCAACACTATACTAGAACTGCATAACATAACCGGAAATAAACATCCGACTCCATACACATTTCTCGGGATTATTCTGCGTTGAATTCTTAAATTTGTGGTTCGCTGTGACCCACGAAACCACGAAAATTGGTATACCACGAATAAAAATGAATCCACAGTATATGCTTTTTTATTTTTATTTTGTCACAATCAAAGGGAAACAGAAGTATCTCACATAAATACATTTCTATTTTACCTTGTGATAGCCAGTCCATTTGTAATTTTCTTCTTTAAGATTTGCTCCATTAATTCTACTGTGCTACCCAAAGCAACAAGAGCACATTCATACGATGCCTGAAAACAAATGTTATGATCAGAAAACTACGGAGGTAAATACTGTAGATTCATTTAAATGATGGTACTGATTATGTGCTTTTGATATCACTTATCTATTAATCAATCAAAAATGACTAAGAAGGCTGGGAAACAACAGCAAGCATAACAACTTATTTTTCATATACTGTTGGTTCATTATTATTCGTGGGATACAAATTTTCGAGGATTTCATGGATAAAGGTCAACCATGAATTGAAATGTTCAATAAAGTACAAATGTCCTCTAAGTTTGTATGCAGACTTTGTCAAAACCACAAAATCAAACATCCACTAAAATCCAATTTTTCTTCAATCAACGAAAATTGGTACCCACAAAAATAAATAAACCCACAGTACTGTGAATGATATTGATAATACATCATATTCAATACCATAATATGAATCACAATCTTAAAACAAGCTGTCATATAAAAACCATTCATAACGTTCTTGAGGTAGTTAAAGCAATAAAGGATGTATATTTTGGTTTGTGAACTCCTCTCTTAAAATGTTTTAAAATGATTTCTATAAATATGTAAGTTACGAATAAGAACACAGATTATTTAAATATAGGAACAACAGCACTGTGTTTAAAGAGTTGCAAAGGTCAATTGCAAATGCAGTATTACTGTTGATGCTGAGCTGTGCCAGTAAAACGGATATTCACGACCAGGGCTTCCAAAATTTTTTGCCTGATTATATGCACTTAATTAAAAAATGGGATGCCCAGTTTTTTGCTAAAGTGACAGAACTTGAAATCTATTGTATAGCTATCTGAACATCTGATCGTCAACAAAAAGGCGCAGTTGACCTTTAAATTTTATGTTAAATCTAACAATAGAAATTCTGTTCAGTGAGGCATAACTGAGTAGAATTTACCTGATCATCACAGCTTTCAATTATGATGAACAATAGATTGTATATTCAGTCAGTTTAGCAGTAAACTGGGCATGTACAAATTAAATTAAGTACATCAATTGATGCATACAATACTATAGATTATAGCCAATATAACCAGAAAATGCCAATCTGACCTATTTTGCTTTAAATCCAGTATAAACAAAAATACCCCTCTAAAGAGGGATAATTTTATCCCTCTATAGAAGGATTATTACTCTATACAGGTAAAAACACCATGTAGAGGGTTTGTTCCCAACCTGTTAAAAGGATATTAAACTTTACTTTGATATAAATTCGATGTTCTGACGTAAAGTGTTAAATTGAAAGTGCAGCATTCGAAGTGTGTAACATCAGCGTACTAATTCTGCTTAATTCTGCTTTAGACTCTTTATTTGTGCAAAATAACGCTGTCAAAAGCTTTACTTTCGTTTTTAAAATCACATTTTCCAAATGCCGGATGTTGACTTGATAATGGTAAATCACGGATCAGAGACGGATGCTTAATATCCGTGTAAGTTTACGATTGAGTTAAGTAGCCTTTTCAAGTTATTTCTTCAAGAAAATACTCGAAATGAACGTTAGATAAAGGTATCAATGATAATTTTAGCATTATTGAAGAATTAGGATGCATAATTAAATTTCCCACCAGCGGACAATAGACACATGCGCACACGTGTACTAGTTCAAACAACGTGGTTCTGACGATTATTAGTTTAAAACCTTTTCAAATTTTTCATCAAATCATATTTATTAACGTATTTCTTATAATTTCAATCTTTTAAACTAAATTAATTAGATGCAACCCGCTGAAATGTAAGAAAATAACTTTGAATACCCTTTAGCGTACCCCAGTATTTAACACGATGTACAGTGTTTTTATATCAACACGATGTACAGTGTTTTTAAATATAATAATGAATAGCATACAAATTCGAATTCATTTATAAATATTCTTATTTGAAGAATTATTTTAAAATCTAAGGATACTTTTTTAAAACTGAATGCTCATTTACAATAATATCTACGAAGCATAATTAAATAGGATGTTGTTCCATACACGCTTACATGTTTGACTTTGTTTACCTGATCACCTTTATCACCTGTTTATGTTCATTGTTATGCATCATCAATTCTATTGATTAAGACAAGCTAAGGTCTCTCATCAAAGGTAATGAATAACCTGTAATCAGTGAATGATTTATGGCTTCAATATTACTTATTGAAGGGATAATTGTTTGACAGCTTGTTGTTTTTTAAATAAAAGAACAAATGTTTTTTTCTACTTTTTATTGATGTACCAAGCCGTGCATTTGTGTACCCAGATGATTAGACTAACTGAGACACTTCAAAGTATGAAATACGCTGCATCTGTTTAATTAAACCCAAATATGACCGAAATATCTTTGTGAAATAGATTGCCACAATTATAAACTATAATGCCCAAACGGACATTTTTACCGATCGATAGTTGGTAAAAAAAGTGAAATGACCGTTTTATTAAAATGCCTTGAATAACAAAAGTGGCAAACCTATGATATTTGACCGTTTGAGGCTGAGAGCAGCCGGACTTTTTATATAAATTTCGGTCAAGTCCGGAATATATGACCGTTTTGGAAGCCATGTTCACGACTGCTAAATCCAAACTGATGGTGGAGACTCTTCAAACACAGTAATGTTATTTTGATTCTAATGCAATAGTAGTAAAATAGTTGAAAATTAAGCATTGAACTATCTGAAAACATTATTTGCAACTTGGGCTACATTGTTGCCCTTGACTCTGAATAAAACAGAATAAAATCAAAGCTAATTCTTTCAAGGTAAATGAAATATGTATTTTTACAATCCCATCCATAATAAAAAAAAAATGGTTTGCAGTACAGCATTTTTTTCTACTGATGTGATTTAGAGAATATGTTCGTAAAAAAGAATTCATTGTTTGAAATTCATACGTTATTTTGTTGAACCCTGCATGTTTTGGTAAAAAATTTTGCTATTTTTCTCTCATAATTAGGACATCTGTGCCAAGAAAGGTAACTCCATTTTATCACTAAATATTCATTTGGGTTGGCATAAATAAAATTAGGTAGATCTGGATACTAAAATATTTTTATTTAACTAAAATCCACATATGAATTGTTCACAGGAAAAACGACCTTACTGTAAAACCAGAAAACTTCGCTCTTTAAAATCTAAGATCTATATTATGCATTAGATAAACAGTCCAATCACACTAATGAAAAGGCAATACATAAATCCATATCTCCAATTGACTTATTATCTGTACCTACCTGATTACAGTACACAGAATCATAATGTTGACTGAATTCTTGCAACTGTTGTTTGTTCATTTGACTTGTTGATTTGACTTTTTCTAATAGTTCCCTTGTATGCTGTAATAATACCATATCCTCTGTTCCATACTGTGTCTGAAAATACAAATTACCATAAAATCTATATATTTTTTTTTTATTTATAGGAAAGTCTAGAACCTTGAACCTAGAAAATAACTGTATACATGGACATCCTAATATTGAAGTTATGGATGAGTGAATAATTCAAATTATAGGGCAATCACAAAATAAGATGTTTATTTAAGCTTCATACCACTAGTTCCACAACCAAGACAGGAGCACATGTGAAAGTCAAAGTGATGGTGTGGTTTCCATAACTAGGTATTTTATGTGACAGAGGTTGGGCCCTATTCACAAACTTTCTCCTTTTGTCTATATTAAAATAAGGACTAGTATTTTTACAAGCCATGATGGAGTCATGTGAATGTTATATAGGTGAATACAAAAACAGTAACATACAATTTTTCTTATGTCGATGTGGGATATGCCGAATGCTGAGAAGATAAAAACACTTGGAATTTATTTGAATTGAATTAATTAAGGTTGCATGGTACAATGAAACTGACATTCAACACACAAATATGTTGGGGTTTTTATTACTGAAAGGCTGTTAGACATTTTATACTTACTATATCAAGTATTTAACACTATAAAATATAGTCAGAGTTCCTGTAGATCATAAATTAACATACATGAAGAAAAAAAATGTAGATTTGAAAAAAAATATTGTTAAGAACTTTTTTCTAAAAATATATGGTTGACAAACGGACAATAAGTTGTGTTTCATTGGTGAGCATAATAGTAACCAAAAAGTTTATACATATATAAACATGTTTCATGATGTCACAAATTATTGTTCTACACATGCAAAATAGTTCTGTTAGGAATGATGAATTTTTTAATCTGGACATAATTTTGAGTCATATTTTTTTGAAAGATAAGTTATACAATTTTAGATGTATTTTATTGGTGCTGATCCTGAATATGAAAGATTCTTACCGCCAGCAGTTTAAATGCTGATTGTTTCATTTTTGACTCTTTAATTGTTTAAGTAATGAATAAGATATCTTTCGAATTTTAAAATTATTGCAATGCAAAAGGATTCCATCTCTTTAGACAAAAGAACTTTTTTATTTTATGATATTTTTTTTGCCCATACTTTATTAATAATGGTTATTTTAAAGGAGTTTATTGTAGGGTAAACTTTGCCATCTGTCTCAAAAACCAAAAAAAAGTCTGAAGTACTTTATGTTAATTTTGTTAGTGAAGTAACCATTATTACCTATAATTTCTAAAAATGTACAAAAATTTTGATCTAGATCAACAATTTCACGCACACTTAAAGAACTATTTGCTTGAATAGGAATTTATATTTGTGGTGTCATGTAACAGGTTTATGCCGATTCACCCAAAAAAGGATTGACTTTATGGTATTTGTAAGTGAATTGTTCACATCACTAAACTTCTTCAAATTGATCTTTATTTCTATAATAAATTCTACATTACATCCTCAAAGCGGTTAATTAAAGAATATTACAAAATAGTGAAGATGGAATTCACTGAAAAAAGTATTACAGAAGAAAGAAAAAGAAGATTATTACCAAAAAAAACAATTTTTCCTACCTCTATTCTTATACATCTTTCTACCAAATGAAGCTCAGAACATCTCTTGAAAGGCTCTGAAATCCTTTCTGGTTTCTCTGGAAAATTGGGGTCCCAGTCATTCTTATGCTTGAGCATTAATTCATCATAAACCAGACCTGTTCTGTAATGAAATATAAGTATATGAATAACAGAAACTACTTTTTATATGTAAGTTAAATATATAAATGCAATAGCTTTGCATGTATCACAAAAACTTCAAGTTGATAAAGTACCACAAGAACAAAGCCAAGATCAGTAAATAATGAAGCAACATAAAAGGAGAAAGGATCCAAATCTTAAAACAACAAACACTGGAAGAATTATTGGAGGTAATCCTAAAGAAGCTGGGTCTGATATGCAAATGATGACATAGAATGGATTTTTTTCATGGAGGACAGCACAAATGGATAAAGCATTGACATGAAGATTTTATATACAAACATTGCTTTATGAAGAAGCCATTAATTTTTAATACTCAGCTGCAATCAGTATTACTGCAACTTTAAACAACATTACTATACAAATTGAAACAATTCTGAATATACAACAAGAAATGATTGTAACAGGATGCTGTTACGAAGTCTCCCAAACGAAGCTCCCATAATTCGTAATTCCCAGGGTCGCCTGACATTGGGCAACGTCCAGTGAAAATTGGTTTGGTCCAGTAAAGTTATATGCATTAGTGATGCCTGGGGACTAACACTGTATATCATTCAAATCATCTTGGCATGATAAACCAGAATATATATGGTTTAGGGGTGGGGATCTTGACCATTTACAAGATACTAGAACATTGGGGGTGGGGGGAACCCCTGGGGACTGACCCTATACGTCATTCAAATGTTCGTTACATGACGAACAGGAATATATATGGTTTAGGGGTGGGGGTCTCAACCATTTACAAAATATTAGAACATTGGGAGTGGGGGGAACCCCTGGGGACTGACCATATACGTCATTAGGGGTGGGGATCTGGACCACTTACAAGATATTAGAACTTTCTTAAATAGCAGGGGGTGGGGGTGACCCCTGGGGACTAACCCTGTTTTTTATTTGATGTGCTTTATCATGACAAACCAGAATATATATGGTTAAGGGGTGGGGATCTCGACCATTTACAAGATATTAGAACTTTTTCAAATGGCAGGGGGTTGGGATGACCCCTGGGGACTAACCCTGTATATCATTCAAACCATCTTAGCATGACAAACCATAATATATATGGTTTAGGGGTGGGGATCTTGACCACTTACAAGATATTAGAACTTTCTTAAATGGCAGGGGGTGGGGTGACCCCTGGGGACTAACCCTGTATTTCATTTGATGTGCTTTATAATGACAAACCAGAATATATATGGTTTAGGGGTGGGGATCTCGACCATTTACAAGATATTAGAACTTTCTCAAATGGCAGGGGGTCGGGATGACCCCTGGGGACTAACCCTGTATATCATTCAAACCATCTTAGCATGACAAACCAGAATATATATGGTTTAGGGGTGGTGATCTCGACCATTTACAAGATATCAGAACTTTCTTAAATGGCAGGGGTTGGGGTGACCCCTGGGGACTAACCCTGTATTTCATTTAATGTGCTTTATCATTTAGAAAATTTTCAAATAAAAAGATTGTGTCTATCTCAAACGATTTTCAATTTATAATCATTTGAAAATTAAAAAAAATAAAATCCCATAGGGTTCTATAGTAAAACCCTCCTTCATTTTTGCCCCTCAAAGTACCCCTTTATAAACCCCATTGCACAAACAAAACCCTGATTGCACCACTACACATGTTAGTCTAACATATTGTGAAACCCTAAGTTAATCTGACAAGCGGTTTTGGAGGACGGGTGCGGACAAGTTCAAATTTAAAAGCGGCGGAAGAGGAAGAAGAAGAATAATAATAATAAGAACTGAGCAAAACCAATAAGTCTTATCAAACTTCGTTTGAGAGACTTAATTAAAGACTTCTTCAAATTTCTCAGCCATACATCCTGTAAATTTACTACAATGTTAGGTTTAAAATTTCATACAAGAATATATATATGTCTTGATACCATGAGGGCTCTCACAAAAAATAATTTTTCAGATGTTTGGCCATGGCTCATCCACAATTCTGAATAAATTTACCTTTAACTTAATTATGCCTTATATGCAAAGTTTTGTCTTGTCTTTAACTACATTTTTCAAACTTGGATAATTCATGTGATTTCAAGAATCAGTTTTCTGTAAGTTTTCACAAAATGAATTGAATAAGCTAAATCTGATTTCTGATCACAAGAATCTCTACTGTTTTTTTTTCCCCCAGAAATAATCGATTCAATGTAAAGACATTAAAGAATATCTACTGTTTTTTTCCCAGAAATAATCGATTCAATGTAAAGACATCGAAGAATCTCTACTGTTTTTTCCCAGAAATAATCGATTCAATGTAAAGACATCAAAGAATCTCTACTGATTTTTTCCCAGAAATAATTGATTCAATGTAAAGACATCGAAGAATCTCTACTGTTTTTTTCCCAGAAATAATTGATTCAATGTAAAGACATCGAAAATCTCTACTGTTTTTTTCCCAGAAATAATCGATTCACTGTAAATACATTGAAGAATCTCTACTGTTTTTTTCCCAGAAATAATCGATTCAATGTAAAGACATTGAAGAATCTATAATGTTTTTTCCCAGAAATAATCGATTCAATGTAAAGACATCGTTTATCAGTATCATAAATAATCAAATACTATATCATCATGCACATAGTGTTATTTCTTTTTCAACATTGGTCTTGTAAAAATAGATTTAAAGCAGACGCCTCAGGTTTCCCCTAAATATTTGTGGTTTAACTTCCTCATTGTTACCTGTGGAGAATTTAATGGACAATTCTTACTTTTTACAAACACTTGATAATCTTGATAAATTAAAAATTTAATGCAACCTATACAGAATTTGTTAGTTTTATTAAGCCATTCCTGTTTTGATAATCTAAATCATTTCATCTCTATTGATTCCCAATCTTTGGTCTGCAGAGTACTTCATAAGAGTTTTTTAAGAGATAAGTATTATATATATACCCTTATTTTATACAAAACTTTTCTGTTACCTAACAAAATCATTCCTTCCTGATTCTAAATCATCTTCATATTGTAATTTGATAATTTGTTCACCATCTGTAAGTAGATAAGCTGTATCCCTTCGACAACACTTTTCATTCCAAAATAATTTACGAAATGGCAAAGTAATGGTAGAGGCTGCATTCCTTACAAGACCTTGACCCATTATATCAGTCCTACAAATTGTTTCTTATTGATCCTTTCAATAACTTAAAAAGTTAGTAAGAGAGCAGCTAACATTTTGATCAACACCAAACCACAATTTCCAGAATCAGTTTTCACAAAATGAACTGAATAAAATAAATCTGCATTCTGATCACAAAAATCTTTTCTGTTTTTCCAGAAATAATGAATGAAAAATAAAGGCATCATATATCAACTGTATCATAAATAATCAAATATAATATCATCATGCACTTGATGTTACTTTAAATTCTAAATCCATTTAAACCTCTTAACCTTATCCAGTTTACTTCCTCATTCTTACCTGTGGAGAACTTTTTTTGAAGATGATTACTTTTTACGCACTAGATAATCAGATAGAGAAACAGACCTGACCGTTTATAATTGTATCAAATTTATTGTCTCATAAAATTAAAAGTTAAATTTTTTTTTTGCACCTCCACTTCTTCTGTAATCAAATGATTAAACGTGCATTTTTCTTTGAAACATTTGTTTTATAATTACTAAATATTTTTTTGACAGTTTCTAAGCTCCCAATGACATAAGGTTTTAACTGGCATTAGTTTCATTATTCTAGTTTTCAGTGTTTATAACAAGTTCAAAAATAATAAGCAATAACACAAACATTTGTTAAAACAAATTATTTCAGGGTAGTTAGAGCTAATTTCCTAATGCTTGTAGATTGAAGATTATCATAAACATTTAAAAAATGTTGAACAATTGAACAATTGAAGGATAATAACTCCTACAACGAGTCAATTGATGATTTAGGTCATGTTCATCTATTTGTAGATCTTATCAGGCTGCTTACAGCTTCTTTCTATGTAATTGCCAGAAAAAGCAAATTTGATTTGAGTTAAAATCATCATACAAGGGCAATAACTACTATAAGGAGTTGATTGACAATTTCTTTCATTTGATTACCAGTAACTTGCAGATCATATCTTGTTGAACATTTTGCTGTTAACAGTTTCTCTGTATCTATTACATTTTTCAACAAAATAGTCAAAGGGATAGTCAAAGCAGCCAAGGGATCTACTCTAACTAAATCTATGTCATTTTGGAAAACTATCTACTGAGCCTGAGGATTTAATATTATTCGTGGGATACCAATTTTCATGGATTTCATGGGTATAGTAAAGCGCAAATTTTTTAATGTTCAACACGGTACACATTATCTATAGGTTTGTAGGCAGACTTTGGCAAAACAATGAAATCCAATTTCCACAAAAATACAATTTTTCTTCAAGCCATGAAATTTGGTACTAACTAAAAAAAATATCTCCCCAGTATTTCAACAATTAATAGTTTAACAGAGAAGTTACATAACTCCAATAAACTTACCCAAGTACTTTCTCTGGTTTCTGTAGTGATATGGACTGAAAACAAAAAGGGTATGTTAGTTAAATCAACTTCAAATCTATTTTACAAAACTCTTATTAAAATGTTAAAATTCAACCCTATAATTTACATTGCACAGCACTTTCAAGAGATATGCAATGTTTATTAATATACTGGATCTTTGTAACAAATATGGTTTATCTTCTCCTCATGGAGAACATGTGGTAAAGATAAGACTAAAGCATGAATCCATTTTACATCCTATATGATGTGCTACTGACATATTTCAACTTCACATTTTATAAGACAGAAGAGCTTGATAAGATGCCTCATGGTCTTCTGTCTGCATAAGCCTGTTGTCATAGACGTCCTTTTTATGGTTCAGTGATTAATTTTAAAAGTGGTATATAGACAAGACTGCTGACTTTATCCCTCCAAAACTTTGTACTACAAACTTACCATTGCTGAGAGAGTTCTGATATAATAATCTTCCTCATCAGGTGAATCACTTTCAGCCATACTCTTTTCTTCTCTTTTTGTCTTTCTTTCTTCTCTATTTTGAGCAAGTTCTTCTCTTCCTTTTCTCTTTATTTCCTCTAATAATTCTTTATGTGACTTCCTTTTCTGTAATAGTTCTTTAACTTTTGTCTATTTAATATTACATATAAAGGTACATAAGGCATTGTGGTAATTATATTTACTTCAATAAAACAACAAAAAAGGAATTGAAAGAATAAAGAAAAATTTTGCTTATTATGGTATAGAATTAAGTGCTTGTTAGTCAAATCCAATGAAAGCATTCAAAATACATGTTGTTTTCCTATACAAACAAGATATATTTCATTAAGTTCAATACACATATGACTAGTTAGTAAAATACATGTCAATGTATGTACAAACATGTGTCCATATTTTGATCAATGAATTCTATGATATGTCGTGGTCCAAACAAATTTCCTAAAAAAGATTAGTATTTTCTAGCAATGGTCCTATTTAGTTCTATTATATTGATTGTTAGTTATATTTCAAATTTTAAAGAAGCATTTGTGTTTGGACTTTATTTTAGATATTAATTATATGACTTGTAAAGGAGCAAGTGCCTACAAGACAATTTTTCATACAATAAATTTTTTCAGGGACCCTATTTCCAATGAAAAAAATTATCATGTAAAAAGTAGTTAATACGAGTAAATTGTATGGGTAGGACACTCAACGGCAAACGTTTTTTATAATTCATCCTTGATAATATAGATTATTATTATTGATATAAGTCATGGTTGCAAAGGCTTTATCAAACTCCTAATCTGTATTATGTCATGTTACATGAAAAACATCTTTTATAGGTATGACGTCTTCACACTAAATCTGTAGGATGTGTACTGATTAATACTTTAGTCTGGGAGAACATTATTTATTTGTTAGTTTGTATGGACTTTGAACTAGATTTCAGTACCTATGATTACTTTTAGATCCGTACTGTGTGTCTTAGTCTATAGGGGGCCTCAGAGGCGGAGTGGTCTAAGTAGTCCAACTACTGTATCACTAGCCAGTCAACACTGAGGTTGTGAGTTCGAATCCCGCACAGGGCAGGTTCACTCGACTCCAGTCTTAATTGACTAGGATTGTCAGTTTTCCTACCGAAGGTTGGTGGTTCTCTCCAGGCACTCCGGCTTCCTCCACCAATAAAAACTGACCGCCATGAAATAGCACAATAGTGTTAAAAGTGGTGTTAAACACCAATCAATCTTTAGTCTATATGTTTGTTGTTTTTTTGTGTTGGTACCGATCTGATGAGTCAAGCCATTTCAAACTGATTTTTACAGTTTGTTCTTACATGTATGTTTTGCTATTACACCACTGTCCAATGTTAGGAGAGGGTTGAGAACTCACAAACATGTTTAACCCTGCCATATACCATATGTGCCTCTCCCAAGTCAGGAGCCTGTTTTTCAGTGGTTGTCAATGGTTGCTGTCTGTCATATTTGTGTTCCGTTTATTGTTTTTATAAATCAGGCTGTCAGTATTCCAGTTTGAATTGTTTCACATTTTGTCAAATTTAAGCCTTATATTGCTGGCTAAACGGAATGGGTTTTTCTCATTGTTGAAGGCTGTACAGTGATCTATAGTTCCTTATGCTTCATTTGGACTCTGTTGGATAGTTGTCTCATTGCCAACATACTATTTTTTCAAAATTCTTCAAGAATTGTGGATGTGAGAATGTTTACATGGCAATTTTATAATTATTTTTGTTTCATAAATTCTGAGGGGCATTCAATTAACTCCAAAACTTTTTTTCATTGACACTGATGGTGAGTTCAGTCAAGATATTGTTGACATAATCTTTCCTGCATGAATTAGATAAAATATTATGTCATGAACTGTAAGAGTGATCGTTAATAATTTTTTAATTCAATTAATATTACAGCAAGACAATAACATATTAACAATCAGTGCTACTTTATCCAACCATGTGTATTCAAAGCAATTCTATAGCAATATATTTATTGATCTGGCGTAAAATGACTCAAATACCCCTATTGTTATTTTATTCAATCTGCATTCTGATCTTCTGTATATAATTTCTTATCCTCTATTTAATGTTTTTTCTTTTCAATTCTATAACTTGTTCAAGCCTATACAATATTAGCCACACAGTGACACCAACAGGAGAACAATCAAGAACTATCTTTTGTTAAGTTATGTAAATTCAAAATGGTGTGTAAACATGGTAAATGGTATAAACTAATATTATCGTGATGCTAGGCAATAAAATCTTTTAAAAATCTGTTACAGCTCACAAAGAAATATTTCACATAATTTCCATTGGGGCATAAGGCCCTATACTAGAACACAGTTATTTCAAAACACGTTTCTTTTAGACAAAAAATCTAAATCAGTCCAACTTTCAAAATAATTTGCAGAGAGAATACAAAATATCTGCCATTAACATCATATTTTCTAAAAACATAAACACTAAAATATAAACATAGATAACGCTTGTCTTGTGCTGATGTCACTTGGGACAGGCACATTAACATGTGAAGAATTTTTTAGTACTCAGCCTGGTCTTTTTTTTACATTAATGAATAACACAAATACTGGACAGTACAACAGACCACACCAACCAACAATTGACCACTCAGCCCAAATAGAGGCATAAAGTTAAAAAATAACAAAGTATAACAAACTGCTCATTGTTGAAGGCTGTACGGTGACATATAGTTGTTAATTTCTGTGTCATTTGGTCTCTTGTGGAGAGTTGTCTCATTGGCAATCATACCACATCTTCTTTTTATATGTCTAGATAGCCTGACTAGGTAAAGGCATGAAATGGTTTTGGTATGACCAGTTTTATATGCACATGAATATCCCCCCCTTTTTCCTTTTGCCTATAGCTATCTTGATCAAAAACTCCACAGTTCAGCTACCAATAGGTTGACCACTAAACGTGAACAAGGAAAGAAATGACTGTGTATAGGTATTTCAGCAAATACAAAGCTGCACAAAAGAATTATTTATACATAACATACTTACTTCCTCTTCTGAAAGATGTTCATCCTTTAAATTACTTTCTTCATCACGATCAAAGTTTGTCGGAACTGCTGCCATTGTCCATTTGTTCTACAGAAAAACAAATTCTTACATTTTGAAATTTATTAGGTTTAATGTGTAAGTAATACAAACTTCCTTTTTGAACGAGCTTTACATACCTATAGAAATTGAAACTTGTAAAAAGATCTCTCCATTAAGTATGAAACTTATCTTATGGTAATAGGTGACATTTTATTCCAGGTGCAAACTATGTAGGATTCTTTATGACATTGATCTTATACTGTAAATTCATAAATTATTTTGAGGATTTTATTAATGCAAATAATATGACTACATGTAGGTGAGTATTGCAATAATAAGAACTCCCATTCTGATATTTTATACATACATGTATATCTATATGTAGATTTTCCTGAAAGCTCAATAATTAGTCTCGCATTTTGGTCCATTCTTCATAAATTGCAATGATAAATGCAAGCAATTATTTCTGAATTTACAGTACTTGTGATTGTCAATAAATAACTTACTCCAACTATTTGAATTTCTTGTCAATTTTGAGAAGGAATAAACTAAAAACACAAATAAAGGTTTAAAGAAGCTTGTATGACTCTCTTGGCTTCAATGTATTACTCAACAAAACAAAACCCCTAGTGATCATGAGCTGGATTCAACATAATCATGATCAAAACTGCACCCACAGAACAAACTGAGCAACAAAATAATCCTTAAGAGGCTTAGTACAATCCATCAAACCATCCCTATGATCCAGGGACCGCGATTTTTTATTTCATTTGGTGACAAAATACAACTGCTGGCGATATTTCTGGCGCCAACATTTTCCCGTCAAAATTTTCATATTTGACTGTAACGGTAATCGTATAATTATAAAAGTAATAAAAATAATAGTATCTATTCATAGAAAAAGTGTAAACCAAATTTAATGGTGATTTGGATTATAAAACATAATTCCAAAAGGGCATTTTGAATATAAATATATATATAGTGGATTCATTTTTTTTTTTTTTTGGATTAAGGAAATTTTATTTTCATGAATTTTTTATTCTGTGGTCTTGCCAAAGTCTGCATACAAGCCTTTACAGAATTTGCACTTTGTTGAATTTAAAAAATTTGTGGTTCAACATCACCCACAAAATCTACAAAAATTGGTATCCTATGAATAATATTGAATCCACAGTATATATATATATATATATATTTATTACATTGGTAGCATTGAATTACATTGATTTCCCAGTCAAATAAAAACCGATAATTTCACATGTGAAATATACGTGGTTATTTCACTCTCTGACGTCATACAACAATAGGCGTTGTCAAGACGTTGATAACGTCCGATCAAAACAAATTGTGAATGCGTAGAAAAAAGATATAGTTCCTTACATTTTCTACATTAATTTCATTAAAAAAAGCCATTTGCCAATGTAATAAAAAGAATAACTAATCAAAGAATTCAAATATCGAAAAATATTCAACTCATGACCGAACAACACTGATATGCGCATTCGTGAATTAATGTGTTGTTCAGTCACTCATTGAATATTTTTCTCTATTTGAATTCTTCCATTAGTTATTCTATAAATATTCCATAAGATTGTAGCAATGGAGGAGGATTTGGGGAGTGATAAGACATGTTAATTTGTCCCTGAAATGTTTATTAAGACTCTCTAATATATCAAAACTCTGTGACTTGATTATAAGTATTTCCATCCATCTATTGTAGTTTAATCAAAATTCTGATCTAATTGCAATTTGTTTTATCAAATATATGAAACGGCTAAACCGGTCAGAAATTTTAACCAACTGCTGAAAAGAAACACAGTTATTGAAGTCATCAAAGTGCAAGTGATAAAATACAATCCAATAAGATTTGAATTCACTTCATTGCTGTTATTAAAGTGCTGCTAAAAATATATATGCATATTGTTATTGTAAAGAGTCATTTCAAAGGTGAGAGGTAGTAATTTTTAATTGCTATATAAATGTCAAAACCAGGGTTCCAGACAAGAGAAAGTCAATAATGAATAATTTATACTTTTGCAAACAGTTAATTTATAAAAATGACCATATAATTGATATTCATGTCAACACTGAAGTGCTGACTACTGGGCTGGTGATACACTCGGGGACGAAACGTCCACAAGCAGTGGCATTGACCCAGTGGAAAACTGATTATGTGCGTGAATTTTCTAAGTCTGAGGAACATAACTCTGCAAAAAAATCATTTGAACCATACAAACTTCAAATTCGATCTATAACTTGTTATGGTCAAACAATTAACCAAATATAAAAAAAATATCTTTTAGCATGATGAAAAAAAATGCTGAAAACTGATTACTTGCCTGAATTTTCTAATTCCAAGGACCATAACTCTGCACAAAATCATCACACCAGAACAAAAATTCAAACTTGATCTGTAACTTGTCATGGTTAAACTTTATTCTAAATATCTAATCAATATCTTCAAGCATGACAAAAAAAAGTGCAGAAAACTTATTACTTGCGTAAATTTTCAAAGTCCAAGGACAATAACTCTGCACAAAATCATAAGACCGCAACAAAATTCAAAATTAATCTGTAACTGGTCATGATAAAACTATATACCAAATATCAAAACATCATCTTCAAGCACGAAGAAAAAAAGTGTGGAAAACTGATTTACCTGACTGAGGGATGGACAGACAGACCAAGTGCAAACCTATAGTCCCCTTCAACTTCGTCAGTATGGGACTAATAACAGAAAATTAGAATATATATATATATAAATACATTTACCTGTCAAATTAATATATGAGCTTTCTCAGCATTCAGCCATATTCTACTTAAAGTAGGGGTTTCTGTGGGTAAAAAATAGACAACAGCCACTTCAGTATCTATTCTTGATTACCCGGTAAGTATTAAAATTGTTTTATTCTCCCAGTGTTTTAATTGAACAGAGAGCAAGTAACGTTCTAAAATAACATATTCCCAAGCCCTATGATTCAAGGTGGCACAACAACTTTCTCTGGTGGAGTTTCGAAAATACCAAAAATACAGAAAGCTGAAAATGACAAAACCAAAAAAGTAAAAATGTAAGAAAGAGGAACATGACATTCATTAAATCCCAGAAATACTTTAAGGGTTACTGGTATCGGAGATGGTGTATATTAGATAATTTGTATACAAATACTGTACAGGACAGACAAATAGGTTCTCTAAAATTAGACAACAAAAAATAAACAGAAAACTACAAAATTTTATGTTATGATTTAAACATAAATATTTTGCTTAGAGTTTGCTCTAAGGTCACTGGTGAACTGGTGTGGTTCAAGTGGCTTGATACAGCACTTTTGGTAAACCACAACATTTGATTCTTGTTTTAGTTGCATTTACCTGATTTTAAGTCCATAAAATGGCAGTTTAAAATTTCTTAAGAAAGTACAGACTTTGGACAAGTAGTCATCTCTTTCAGTCAAGTAATATATCATGGTTACTTGCCAGAAGGGCAAATTGTTAAAAAAAAAGTTAATGTTGAACCCTGCAAACTAAGTTTTTGTACTATTTTCTTTAAAAGGTCTTCTATATTTATAAGAATTAGACATCAGTTTAAATTTAAACATGTTACATTCAGTAAATATATATTTGAAGTTATAATATGTGTGTTAATAAGTTTCCAGGGGGAGACAATCTAATATCTATTCCTCATATTGATTGGAATCAGTGTCTTATTTTAGTTATCTCCCTTTAAAACTTCACAGAAATATATTACAAGTAGCAATTTAATTTACTGACAGCGTTAAAGCATGTATAGAAAAACATCATTTAGAAGAGATGATTCAAAAACTTAAATGGGACATTTTTTTTTAGCATTTCAAAAATATCATTGCAGTCATGAAGTGGAATTAAATTCTAGTAGGATTGTAATTAAGCTTTATTTTAACACCTTGCACTATGATGACTTGACTGTTTTTTTACAGAGCTCAGTTGGTTAAAATTTTGTTGACCAGTAGAACAGTTTGATAAAACAAATTGCAATTTGTTCACAATTTTGAATAAACTGCAATAGTTGGAGAGCAACACTTACAATCAAGGCACAGTATTTTTATCAATAAGTACACAAATGATGTATGGTTACATTATTGTGGAAATGCCCCCATGACATCACACACATGTAGTTTCTGATAAAAGTATCTAAAAAAGAAGACCTAATTATAAATGGTTTGATTCTGATTTAGGTGTAAAGAAGAAAACTCTAGTATCAAAAGGTCAATTATTGTCAAAATTCCGTTTGATCCTATCATCAGAGGTTCATATTATAAATGCTACAGAGAATATAATAAATTGCCTAAACATAAAATGTGCATATTTAAACAGTCTTTCCTAAATAGTCTTGATAATTTAAAAGATTCTGATCCAAAACAATACTTGAAACTCATTAATTCTTTGAAATAGTCTACAGATGATAGTAAAGAAAAATCAGTAGAACCAGAAACCTGGTTTAATCATTTTTCATGTTTTGAATACATCTCCTTCAATGAGTCAGACAAGAATTAAAGAAATTAATTCTAAAATAGATTATATGGATAAAAATAAAACCTTCTTTGATTTAGATTATAGATTCTCTGCTAAGGAAATAATTGAATCAATATATCTAAACTCAAATGTGGAAAAGCCTCCGTCTGGATGGTATACCTAATGAGATGCTAAAGGCAGGAAGTTTAGTTCTAAATGCCTTAATTCAGAAACTTTTAAACCATGTATTTTCATCCGGCATATATCCGATGCAGTGGTCATCAGTTTATTTATCTGCTGTTTTTAAGTCTGGTGATCCAAGTAAAACAGATAATTATCGTGGCATTGCCATTTATTCTTGTAAATTATTTAAATCTGTTTTGAATAACAGACTTGATCTTATTTTGATAAAAGAATCATTGATTAATCCATGTCAAATTGGATTTTCAAAAAAATGTAGACCATCTGATTATGTTTTTGTTTTAAAAACCATTATTGATAAATATATTAGTAAAAAGGGGGTAAACTATTTGCCTGTTTTGTAGATTTTAAACAGGCTTTTGATAAAGTGATTCATGAAGGTATCAGATATAAGCTATTAACAAATAATATTACTGGAAAGTTTTATTCTATCATTAAAGATATGTATAATAAAAGTGACCTATGTGTTAAAATTGATAATGAAATGACCCCGTGTTTTAAATCATTTATAGGGGTTAGACAAGGTGATGTTTTAAGCCCAAATATTTTCAAAATATTTATCAATGATCTACCTGACAAGTTTTTTTTTTCATGTCCTGATCCAGTAAATATTAATAATCGTAGAGTAGATTGTCTTATGTATGTTGATGATGTAGGGATTTTTTCAGAAACACAGAAAGGCTTGCAAAAGAGAATTTATATGTTACATGAATATTGTTTAGAATGGTGAATGAAATTTACATTTCATTTGTATCTCATAGAATTTTTATTTTGTTATGCTTCATTCTTTATATTTATTAAGATACTTCTTAGTAGTTCTTTAATTCAGAGTTTATTTGCCAAAATCATAGTAATATTAGCTTAAATTCAAACCAGGTTATTTTTGATGAATTTTTAGATAATGTAATTACAATAGATGAGGTTTATAATGTTTTAAAGGAGTAGGTCCGGTAAGGGCCGATTTTGGCCTCAAAATTCAAGTTCATCTGATGAAAGATTTTGGACACGTTTTAAACACCTAAGTGTCTACTTCAGTCGATTCAATTAGTTTATGTGAAAGATTTGAACTGATTTAGTCATTAAAGACGCTCAAATTCAAGCTTAAATATGAAAAATCTATCAGATATGACATAATATGTCACTTTTTAGATGGTTTTTGTCAAAAATGAAAGTGGCCGCATCCGTGTTCATTCTCTACCTTTATATATGTTATGTATTATCATCAAATACAACTTGCATTTAAGTATTAAGAATGAACACAAATGCCGCCACTTCCATTTCAGACGGAAACCATCTAAAAATTAACCAAAATGCTAAAATTGCGAAGATTTCAGTAATTTAGCATGACTTAATGATGCTAGTACCCGATACATGTGCATTGTATTGTCAAATACAACCCATATTTATGTAACAGAAGTATTCTTCTTTCCAATAAGTAGCTAAAAATTTACATTTTAGCAATTTTGTAAAACTGCTATATTTTGGGGCAAAAAAGGGGTCTTACTGGGCCTACTCCTTTGTCTAATAAACTGCTTCGCTGAGCGCAGCTAGATACGCCCGCAGAGGTCCAACCCTGAACAGTTGGGGCAAAAATGGACACAATATTCAAGCTTGATTCAGGTCTGAATTTGGATTGTAATTAAATATTTGACATATTATAGGTTTCTGAATAAATGTAGTCAAAGAACTTGAAATTGGTTATATGAATTGAATTTATATTCAATTAAAGATTTCTTGCTGTTGTGCAATACTTAGTAAATCTGTTGTCAGACTATAAACAAATAAAGTTCAATAAATTCTCAATGTCATATTAGAAATTTATCAAAATAAAAAGGGAGCTTACATCAATAGATATAAACAATTCACCAACGTTTCATGAGAATTGGTGACAGCATTTTTGAGTTATTGTCCGAAAACTGGAAAATTCCCCCTTTTTTTATGAATAAAACCCCATAACTCGGAAACGTAAAATCTAAAATTTATAAAAATCGAAAGCGAGCTCATGTCAATAGATATAAACAATTCACCACAATTTCTTGCAAGTTGGTGAAAGCATTCTTGACTTATTGTCCGAAAACTGGAAAATCCCCCTTTTTTTAATGAATAAAACCCCACAACTCGGAAACGTAAAATCTAAATTTTATAAAAAACGAAAGGGAGCTCACGTCAATAGATATAAACAATTCACCAAAGTTTTATGCAAATTGGTTAAAGCATTTTTGAGTTAATGTCCGACATGTTGACGACGGACAGACGGACGGACAGACGGACGGACGGACAGATGGACAACGGTATGCCATAATACGTCCCGTAAACGGGCGTATAAAAATGGAAAATCACCTGGGATAGATGATATTCAAGTTGAATTGTTTAAAAATAATACTGCTTTGAATGCATTGACACGTATTTTTAATATTTGTTATGATTCTGGAAAAATTCCATCTTCGTGGAGTAAGGGTATGATAACGCCAATTCCAAAGTCATCCACTTCTGACCCACATGATCCTATGTCATACAGGGGAATAACTTTAGCCCCGTCATCTTATAAACTTTATTGTGGAGTACTTAATGCTAGACTTACAAGTAAGCTTGATGATTTAGATTGTTTAAATGATTAACAGAATAGTTTTAGAAACGACCGTAGCACTATTGACTATTTTTAAACATTAACAACTATAATTGAAAGCAGAAAATTAAAAAAGCTTTCAACTTTTTGTGCATTTATAGACTTTAAAAAGGCCTATGACTGGGTTAATAGAGGCTTATTGTTCACCAAACTTGAGTCATTGGGTATAAGTTCCAAAATGTTAAAAGCATTACATGCTATTTATAATAATGTACAGTCATGAGTTAAAATAAATGGCCATCTGACAGAATGGTTCAATGTAAAGTCAGGATTAAAGCAAGGATGCATTTTATCACCTCTTTTGTTCCATATTTTTATTAATGATCTTATTGATGAAGTCAAGAGGTTAAATGTTGGCATAAAACTTGATGATGATATTATTTCTGTACTTGTATATGCAGATGACATTGTATTTATGTGTGATAATGAAAAAGACTTACAAAAAATATTAGACATTTTAAGTCAGTGGTGTAACACTAATGATCTTGTGGTAAATTTAAGCAAGTCAAAGATTGTTCATTTTAGACCCCAGTCAGTACAAAGAATTAAGTTTCAATTTATGTTTAATGATCATAGCATAGATATTGTAGAAAAATATACATATCTGGGACTAGTGTTAAATGAATATTTGAATTATATAGATATGGCAAAAGCTGTTGCTAAGTCTGCCAGTAGGGCATTAGGTTTGTTAATTGCCAAAAGTAAAGCTAATGGTGGTTTTGAGTTTTCAATTTTTACAAAACTTTTTGATACACTGGTTATGTCAGTAATTGAATATGGTGCCTCAATATGGGGAGCTAGGGAATTTACATGTATTAATGCAATTAAAAATAGACCCATGCAATTTTTATGGGTGTTGGAAAATATACCCCAAATTTATCTTTATATGGAGATACGGGCTGGATGCCATGTATAATCAAACAATGGTCATGTACTTATTTTTAGAAATTGGTCAAGATTTTTGGAAATGAGTAATACCAGACTTAATAAAAAAAGTGTTCTTATGGGCAAATAGAATACATTGTATGTAACAGTAAAATTAAAAACTGGAATTTCAGAGTTCATAGTAAATTTAGAGAACTCTAATATTGAAAATTTTTGTAATATAAACTGTACTTTTAATAAAAATGATATTAAAAATATTGAGAATAATGTTTTTGATATGTACAAGAGAAAATGGTGTAATGATTTAAACACAAATGATCGCAGTAAACTGCGTACCTATAGGTTGTTTAAACAAGAATATCATAAAGAAAATTATTTAAGTGTTCATATGGAAAATATAAAAGCGCCTTTGCTAAATTTCGATGTGGTGTGGCGCCAATTAGAATTGAAACAGGCAGATATGAAGGGGTTTTATGTGAAAATAGATTTTGTTTTAATGACTCATGTATGCAACAGAAACTCATTGAAGTTGAGAAACATGTTTTACTCAAATGCCCTTTATATTCTCATGCAAGACAAGAGCTTTTTACTAGAGCAGTTTCTTTTAATTGTGGTTTTTTAGACTTTATTGATAATGAAAAATTTATATTCTTATTTACAAATGAAAATTTGTGCTTTCATTCTACCAAAATCTGCCATGATATTTTAATTCAAAGGAAGAATGTTTTATATAGATAAAGAAAAAAAGTGTTTTTTATTTTTATCGATTTGTCCATTTTTATGTAAAAGTCTCTCATAACTCTTTTGAGAGTGGCTCTCGAATGTTTTTAAGATTTTTTTGTACTTTTAATTAAAACATGCTGTAGATATTGTATTCATGTTTGTATAGTACATGTAGAGAGGTGAGACTATAATAAAATATTTGATTTGATTTGATTTGTCAGTTATAATCTATGATCACATGGTATTGCATTTGTATTATAATCTTGACATATGTATAAATTAATATGACTACCTGCAAAGCCTAAATAAAAGTTTTTATGTAAACAGTATTTTCTTCTGAATTAATTTATGTTAGATTGCATGTGTTGTTTGTGTGGATATTGTACATGTTGTATGAACTTTGTGATTTGTATTGATTTATCATGTTTATTTGCTCTATATAACCCCTTTAATTGGGAATAAAGAAATTTGATTGACTGGATTTGATTGTTCTAATCTAAATAATAAAGCACTGAACAGAGAAATGAATGTAGTATATATATGTCTCTAGCGTTGAAACAACAAATGGGTATATAATCCTTATCCTAAATACAGTATCAAAGTAGTTACCTTTCTTTGCTAATAAAAATTTGTATGCGATATTCTGTATGTGTAGCTGTTGACAGTGGATTGTCCGGTTTGTGAACAGGTAAATCAACGCGAGCGTCTCGCGTGTATAATTTCTCACTGGTAACTATCGTATATTATTTGTCATATTTGAGCCTGCATATTTGGAAATTCCACAATAGCATGCGGCGACGTAACAGGAGTGGGGAGAGAAACGTGGCCTCACATTTGATATGATGGTTAACCTTACTTGAGTACTTGAGTAAGGAGCACCACCACAACAAAATTTTATTACTGCCCTAATGTTCATCAGAAGGAATATATGACAAATATGTAAATTAAATATGACCGTTTCACATTTCAAAAAATTACCATGGGACAGATAAACTTTTACATTCAAAAAGTTTATTAAGTCGTAGTGTAAGCGTACTTTCATTCCGCCGTGTATTTATTCCAGGTAACTGTTTAGTGTGAAAGCATCGATCTTGATATTGTTGTTTTGTTTATATTAGACCAGTTTATTGTTTACATAAATAAATAGGTTAAAATCAAAAATAATTTTCAAGGAACCAGTTTAATTAATCTGAGTCAATCTAGTAAATAATATTGATGATGACGAAGAGGATATTTTTATAACTCAAAATACTTTATCAATGATCAGGACATTGAACTTGATATAAACCAAATTTAAAGAGCAGTTTTGTTCTTGCATAAAGTTTCAATTATAGAAGCATCCTTTGATATTGACAAAGAAGATATGATTTTAAATCATTTTAGAGCAAATACACAGAAAAACTTCGGCAATCCAATAAATATAAATATTACAATTAGTGACAATTTAAAAGCATATGATTTTATAGATTTGCATAGAAAAATTATTTAAATCTTATTCGTTAATAAGCATTATTGTGTTATCGTGTGTTCAAAATGAGTACTAATCACTTCATCAATGTATGGATCTAAAGCACTAGTGTAATTAGTCCCGGTATAAAATAACTAGTGCAATCAATTCGGTACAAAATCACTAGTGTAATCATTCCTGGTTCAAAAACACTAGTGTGAACATTCATTGGATGAAAACTCTCCACTTTTTATATAAATCAGCTATGCAAGTTTCAAATACAATAAAAACTTTTAAGCCACATTTTATATATATTTCCCCTTCAAAAAACCTTTTTTAGAACCTTATAATGACTGGTGGATGTTTTACACTGGACCCGGATAGAAAAACCTAGTGAATTTTTGTTGGTGGATAAAAATCACTGGGGATTTTCTTCCTCCGGATAAAGTACACTGGCGGAATCAAATCACTGTTACAGTAGCAGGATATGAAATGTATCGTCGATGATTGAAAGTTCGTTATTCTTGCAAGTTCGTGACATTTTTGGGATTTCCACTTTATTCGTGACGTCATGCAAAAGTATTTCTCATCGGCAACGTGCTACTTCAAAAAACTTAACCGAATATTTTTCATTGCATTTTCACTAATATCGGCTTGAAAAAGGGAAGTTGTGTATGTTCTAGTATATTATTTGTTTAAGCGTCTATTTACACTACTACTGTTTTATTCCTCTCCTAGAATTTCGTTGAATTCTTGGGAAAATCCTTTCAGCAATGTTATTGACATCTCAACAAAGCGTCATCATCTATTTTTAGGTTATGTGGCCTCTTATTCCTTTTTTTAAGGCCAAGAGTATTATTTTTTAAAGTCTGTATGTGAGCGGATTTTTTAAGATCAGAAAATGATTTGATATATTTTGATGAAAACAAAACCTGCCGAATATTGGCTGGCAAAAGTAATTTAATCCTATGCCACTGAATGCAAATTGCATGAAAAAATACTTTGATGCATTAATGACATTGTGACATCGTTATAGTTATCTTAAACGTATTTAAAGTGTTTAATTCTGGACTTTCCAGTTGACCATTGAAAGTCACGTGTAAAAATTAGAATAATCTTTGTAGGGAGAATAAAACGTGAGAATGTCCCAATTTTTCTTTTTTTTTTCGAGATATTCATTTGTTATTTGATCTCAAATTTATTCTGTAATGTTCAAATACATAATACAATAGGCCTGACCTATATATTGTTGCACATGCGCAAAAGCCACCGCCAAAGACAAAGGTCACGAACTTACAAGCATGTCTACTTATTTTTACGGAATCGGGGCACAATATGAAACATAGAAAGATTGACCATGTTTCTGAAGCTATTTTATGGCGCGGAATCAGGGTCATAAATATCGATTTTAGTATATCCTAAAATGATTTTAGAATATCCTAAAATGATTTTAGTATGTACTAAATTTCATTTTAGCATACCCTAAATTGATTTTAGCATATACTTAAATGATTTTAGTATATACTAAAATCATTTTTGGGTATCCTAAAGTCAATTCAGTATATACTAAAATGATTATAGTATATACTAAAATCATTTTAGGATACCCTAAAATCAATTTAGCATATACTGAAATATTCAGCTTATACAGAAATATTGGCGCGGAATCAAGGTCATAAATATTGATTTTAGTGTATCCTATATCCAATTAAGGGTCTTCAGCTTAGCCAATGAGAGTTGTCGTTACATGAATGAAAATGCTGACAACATTCAGTGCGGCACTTATTATTAAAATAATTTTAAAAATGTATGTTCGCGAACTTTATATCTTTTTGTTTATTTTATGCTGTTTTTAAAGTAACTAACTTTTATATACGTTAACGTTTCCTTTTAAAAGAAGCAAAACAAAAATATATTGTTTATTGTCAATGTTGATTGAATGTCTTTTTTTTTGGTAGATTCTAAATTTGAGTGTAAACAGGTTATTTCTTTTTTTTTTATTGTGATTCAATTTTTTTTAAAACGGTAATGGTTTGGTTTTTTTTGCTACGTGATCTGTCTCTTTGATAAAATTACGACGTCGCATTAACTTTCCGGCATTTAGATTTAGATGACAAAGGTACATTGCCGGCTCATCTGCATGTTCGACGAAATAATTGTCCATTAGATTGACAAAAATTCTGTCCGCAGTGAAAGAGGGTCTTCAGAAATACTGTGAAACTGTTTACTCGCGTAGTGGTATTAACCATATGTGAATTCTAAAAAACTCTAAAGAACTTCTGGATAATTTTAAATCTCGATCTTTTTCTGAAATAAGTTCTATCAAAACTTTTGATTTTCAGCCCTGTATACCACCATTCCCCATGTCAAATTGAAAAATCGTCTAAAAAAAATAATCCACAATGCTTTTCAACATAAAAATGGTAGCATGCGCTATAAATTTATTACTTTGGGATACCATACGGCATATTTTGTTAATAGTGAACAAAAAAGTAAAACATGCTTTTATATAGATTAGACCGCTGGTTTTCCCGTTTGAATGGTTTTACACTAGTAATTTTTGGGGCCCTTTATAGCTTGTTGTTCGGTGTGAGCCAAGGATCCGTGTTGAAGGCCGTACCTTGACCTATAATGGTTTACTTTTATAAACTGTTACTTGGATGGAGAGTTGTCTCAGTGGCACTCATACCACATCTTCCTATATCTATACACAGAGGAACAAGTGATCAGTATGCTGGATTTTCTTATTGACAACATATTTGTTGAATTTGATGGTAGAATTTTTCAACAAATTGTCGGCATTCCTATCCGAACGAACTGTGTGCATCTCCTAGCCGACCTCCTCTTATTTTCATATGAGTTGGAGTTCCTTCAGACACTTGTCAAAAACAAGAAGATCAAAGAAGCCAGATCATTTAATTTCACCTTCAGATATATTGATGATGTTCTTTCCATTAACTATCCAAACTTTTCTGATTGGGTTCCATTAATATATCCACCAGAACTAGAAATTAAAGAAACAACAGACACGGCTTCCTTTCAATGCCAACTTTCTTTGGATTTGACCAGACCAGGGTTCGAACCCACGACCTCCTGCACTCGACGCGAGAGCACTACCACGAGGCCAAATATGCGTTTTTCTTTGTTTTGTGTCAACTTGCTGGTAGATTTTGATTGTCTCCGAGATGAAAACAAACACAAAAAATACTACTTTTGTGTCATTGTGATTTTTTACGGACGCCTTCAAACAAATTATCAATATGTAAGTCATGTTCTTGACCTAATATTTTCAAGATTTTATGATTTATCAAGTCTAAATGAAGATGTCGTTGGTAGATGGTTGAAAATTTTCTCTTTTAAAACATTCATTTGTTGCATCAAAAAATATTTTTTCTTAAAAAAATTAAAATTGGTAGACTTTATTGAGTTCTTAAATAATCTCAGTCACCAAACATGCAGCTTTACCATTGACGAAATCAAAAGCTTTAAAACTAATATGAAAAGATTTTTTCTAGATATATGTCACACTGAACTGGTAAAATATTCAGGGGTTAAACTAAGAACTTAAATCACATTTTAGAGGAGCTTAACAAAGCACAGAATTTCATCGCACAAGAAATGAGCCATAAATGTATCAGGATATTCTCCTTATTGATTGAACTTAATTGTTGTAACTCTAGAGGTGTGGATGATGATGTTCCTAATATCGTAATTACAATCCAGCCCGCTTTTTCCATATGTGACCTACCAAATTAGACTTATTATCGGGTTGTAACTAACATGAGCAACACGACGGGTGCCACATGTGGAGCAGGATCTGCTTACCATTGCGGAGCACCTGAGATCCTCTGCCTCATTTTTAGACTTATACCTCGAATTTGACATAAGCGGTCATCTCAGTACCAGAATCTATGACAAACGAGACGATTTTAATTGTAAAATTATCAATTTTCCCCACCTTAGTAGCAATATACCAACTTCACCTGCATATGGGATATACATTTCCCGAACTCATTCGGTATTCAAGAGCTTGCACCTGCTACTCAGACTTTGTAAAACGTCACCAGTGTCTGAGCAGAAAGTTGATGAACCAAGGGTATGTCAAAGAACGTCTCGTCCTTTTTCTAAAAAAAATCATCGGAAGATACCAAGACCTTGTTGATAAATATTCAGTATCAACTTCACAAATAATACACGATGGTCTTGAAGTATAGATTCTGGTACTGAATTTGTTTATCATCTTAATAACGTGTTATAGTATTCTTTTATTTGTCTTTGTAAATTATTACTTTTACTGTTTAGTATATTTTTGGTTATATCCATTTAACGTGGCTCGGTACTTATACATCCC